TTTTAAATCTTCAATTTTGGGAAGCTAACTCTATTTTGACTTATTAAATTGTGGAACCCTTTTACCCCCTGATGTACGTGAGATTCCCACCTTGGCTAGATTTAAAGGCAATTCATTTGACTTTTGACGCAATTTCGGCAATTCATTTGACTGCTCTGTGAATTCTTTCTTGAGGTATCTTTTTTTTCTTTTTTTTGGGTGTGTTTTGTGATTCTGGGTGATCAATTGTGATCTTGTTTTGTCGCTATTCAACTGAATAAAGCATATAAAAATATAAAAAAAAACGATTGATAACACGTCAAGTTAAAGTTAAAGTACGGAGATTCATCATTTTTTATGAAAAAAAAAACGGTGACAATGAAGTGTTTTCAATTCATAAACACACTCTATTACTTTGAAATTTTTCCCTTTAAACGTTCATTAACCAAATCGAATACAGGAATAAAGCAATCGAGACTGAGCTCTTTTCAATCGTAATTCGTAGATTAAACTACTAAATTCGACTAAAATTCGACTAAAAATTCATTGGAGAAATCGTTGAAATGGTTCTTTTTTTGATTCTTGAGAAGAAGCAGCTTGTTCATATTCTAGGTCGAGATAATTTTGGCTATTGACTTTAACGCCTTGTGGTACAAGTCAAAGAGCTGTTTTTCCATCCGCTGTCACTCCAACTGAATTGGAAAGAGAAAATAAACATGTGAATGTAGATTGGAAACAGAAACAGAAAGAAATGTGGTTTAAATCAGGATTTAATTGATCATTTGGCTTATTAAGAACTTGTTAAAGAGTTTTTTATCAGTAACGCTTCTCATCAGCAATGAGTTTGTCCAAGAAAACGATCCAGAAGGTCTTGGCTTCGGTCTGCCGATAAGCTGAGCTAGGCTGAGCTGAGCTGAGCTGGGCTGAGCTGAGCTGAGCTAGGCTGGGCTGAGCTAAGCTAAGCTGAGCTAAGCTGAGCTGGGCTGAGCTCAGCTGAGCTGAGCTGCCCTTTCCTTTAAGCTTTCCTTTAAGCTCTCCTTTAGGCTTTTTCTGATAATATCTCTTGTGACTGAGCACTTTCTGACTTTCACAAAGCACAAAACTTGACAGAGATTTTAAAATTTCACACTAATTTATCCTTTTTAGAGTTACTAATTTCAATAAATACTTAAAAGCAATTAAAATGAAAAGAAAATTTCGAAATATTTGAAAAACAAAAGTTTAGCTTTCTGGTTTTTCTGTTTTTTTACATAATATTACCGTAAATCCTGTAATAGTACCCCACCCGCATAATGACGGTGCGGAGTGTTGCGTAGTCGAGCTTTGAACGAGTTTTTCTCGACACTGGTTTATGCTACAATGCTCGCTTAGGTATCAAAAAATAGCCCTGAATTTCAGCTATTTTTTGATACCAAAGACGCATTTTTTGAAAGTACAGGTGCTTTGAAAAAAAATTAAATACTAAAAGACTTTTGCGATTACGCGACTGTACGAGGGCGGTGGGGTGCTATTACAGTATTTATGGTAGTTTGGTTAACTGAATATCTTTAGAGATCCATTTTGAGTGCTCTTTTTATCTATGAAATATTAAATTTTTGACCGCCGTTTCACAGCCTTTATCCATTAGGTTCCTCTCTGGCGGGCGGCGAGAGAAGCCTTATAAAGGAATCACTTTTCAATCCCGATTTTGCAAGCTAGATTCCTTGCGCTTTCGTGGCTATTAGTGACACTATTAGTGACACTTTTTGTGACACTTTGTTCGCCATTTCCGATTCTAGGCTATCTCCTGTGTTTCCAGTCGATTCTGAACTTTGAGCTGAGACCATTCTCTTGTAAATATGGAAAAAGTCAAATCAAGAAGTAAAAGCGAAAATGATTTGCGTTCGGGGGGAATCGAACCCCCGTCGAATGCTTGGAAGGCATCCATGCTGACCATTACACCACGAACGCCCATTGTCCGGGAATGAATTGGGGGATGAAGAAAGCTGTCCTCTTCCGTCAGCTTTCCTAAAGCAATCTGCAAACCGGATTTGTTTCTTTTCATCAATCGGTTATTCATCCCTTTCCATTTGATCTAACCAAACCCTCTTTCGTGGTGTAATGCTGAGCATGGATGTCTTTCAACCATTTGATTGAGGTTCGATTCCCATAAACCCAAATTGTTTCTACTTTTTAGGCCATTTAGACTGTTATTTTTCGACAATCCACAAAAACATAGAAAATAGCCGTCAAAACTAGGAAAAGGGATAGGGTGACGAATTCTTGTAGATAAATTTTAAATCTTTCTCATGAGAAAAGTTTAGAAAGCGAATACCTTATTGCTTGGGGAAATGTTTGAGATTTGATTAGGAAAAAGCATCAAGAGAATGGGGGAAAACTCGATGAAAAAGAATTGAAAATGTTGGCAAGAAAGGCTCATGTGGAAGCTCAAAATGTTGTTTTTATTTGGAAATCGAGTTTGTGAAATCCGCGGTTATTTACAAATATTAATTGGAGTTGAAATATGGAGAGAATCAAGAGAATCGGCATGTTCATTCGATTTCTATTATGTTTTCTATTAATCGGCAGAGTTCATTCGATTTCTATTAGATCCATGTGAACGAGCATCATCTCAACGAAAAAAAGAGTTTCCCCGCCTCGTAAAAATCACTTTCTGGATGTAATCTTCGTGAAAGAGCTTAAATCTTTCTGAAAATTATAAGGTAAATGCGATATTATCCTATTTTCACATTTCTTTTTATATTTGCTGAAGTGAAGTAAAGAAATTAGTAAAGAAAACTCATTTATACATTTCATTATTCAGCATTTTACTGATTTTTCAATATACAGCTCTAAAAAAGGTGCTTAGAAAGATGTTTTGACTCGACAAATGTCTTTGTTTTAATAATCTTCTCGATAATTATTTTGTCTTTTCTAATAAAGTTGATTAAGCGACACCGATTTGGCAGTTCATTTTCAGCAAAATAAGTTTAGTTTGTGTCCGATTTAGATTTCCGTCCGATTTAGATTACAGTCTATATCGGACGTCCGATTTAGATTCAATCTAAATCTTATATAGATTGAACAATAATACGTCTTATATAGATTGAACAATAATATGAACATGCTTAATATATGTTCTTAAGCGTTTTCTGTAGTTTTCTGCATTTTTCAATGAACGTTCAACTTCCTTTCGTGCCGCCATCGGTGACTCTTCTATTCACGGGAAACAAGGTAAGTAACTATAACTTTATTTCATTTTTTGCGTGTTCCATTAGGCCATAAACATTGCTTATGTGCTGGAAAATGCTCATCCAATCGATGTTCGTACCAAAAAGGATGGCCGACTCTGCAATTCAAGATGTCAGAATAGCCTAAGCTACAAAAATAAATAGAAATTTTTAACTCGTTCGTTGTTGTTGTTGGTTTTTTGTTGTTGTATGTTGTAATTTCGCATCTATTCTGTTAACGCTAATAAATTGTTTCATAGTTGGGTTTTCTTTTCAGAAAAAGACAGTAACAGGCCTTTGAAAAATGCAGAAAACTACAGAAAACGCTTAAGGATATATATTAAAAATGCTTATATTATTGTTCAATCTATATAAGATTTAGATTGAATCTAAATCGGACGTCCGGGATAAGTTCAATCTAAATCGGATGTCGAAACCAAACAATGTCGATCACTTTCATTTTCTTTCTAATATTCTTTTCATTGTCACTTCCTGACGAGACAATTGAGTTAAAGTTTTGTCCTGAGAATGCAGATTTATCAAATAAAGCAAATTTGGTGATAAAGCTTCCTCGAACATTGATCAATCCCTTCAAGATTGATCAATCCCTTCAAGATTGATCAATCCCTTCAAGATTGATCAATCCCTTCAAGATCAACCAGTAAGTTTTAAATTTTATTTCAATTTCAATAGAGATTCAATTTATTACAATAAATGCTTTAAAAGTCTCTGCAAATGGTAGTTTCTAGAGAATACGAAATATGGGAATTGGAAAACGGGCGTTTATAAATTGAGAATTGTTTTATGATTGTTGGATGTCATCAGAGTAAATTAAACAGAAACTTTTGAGATTATAACAAAAGAAACGGGTGACTATGGACAAAACTATACATGGATTTCTATGGAAACTCTTTTTTTGCTGAGTGAGTAACTTTTTTTTCAATTTAAAGCTTTTTAATGTGAAGTTTTTAACAGCATCTGTTTGTATTCTGTATTGTAAACAGTATTCCGTTTACATGGGGATACAATGAGCCAAACTGCTTACATAACGTCATGGCTTTTCGCTGAAGCGGGACGGATGTTCTCTTTTCAATCTGACGTGTTATCAGCTTCATTGCCGGATCGAAGATAAAACTTTCATATTTAAAGCAAGAAAACTCTTCGTCTCTTCCTTTAAAGATCTCTTATCAAGCTTTTCAACAAATTACTTGACTTCTGTTTCTGTTTTTAAGCCTTTGCTAAAGTCTCAAGCTTTCATAGGTACAAAATTTTCAGTTGAATGGCTTTATTTCTGACTTTAAACCTGTGTCAAAGTCTCAAGCTTTCATTGGTACAACTTTTTAGTTAAATGACCTTCTTTCTGACTATAAACATGTGCCAAACGCTCAAGCTTTCATAGGTACAAAATTCTCAATTAAATGACCTTCTTTCTGTTTTTAAACCTGTGCCAAACACTCAAGCTTTCATTGGTACAACACTTGCTTCAGCTTTCCTTATAAGCTCTAAATATTGCTTTAAGATCAGATTTAAGACATTTAATTTGATTTAGGACACAATATTCCTATATTTTTGAATCGATTTTAACTTTTCCTAAATGATTTACTCAATTTCTATTGTTACAGAGAAATGGCTCGGCTACAAAGAATCTCTTTGCTTTTTATTTCTCTATTTTGTCTAATGGTTCATTTGACTGAAGGAACAAGAAGAACAAACTTTGGAATAAACATTGAAAAGGCAAAAGCTGAGAAAATCTTGGCAAAAAGTATGCAAGTATTTTATTTCATAAAACAAATTGTTTAAGTGGATCGACGAATGGCTGCTTATAAGGCTAACAATTCTGGGCCTCGTGCAAAGCCTCCATTGTTGACACAGAAGGAAAATCCTGTTGTAAGTGATAAAGATTCGAACAATTATTCCAATTTTAATCAATGAAATAAGATTTTTCCAGAAAAAAGGTTTTAGCTGCCGCGATCTGTCGGAGATAACGGTTGCCCTGATGGTTATAAAGGACCTGATTGCAAAAATCGTATGTTGAATAGGAAATATGATAGATTTAAATATACAAATTTAGTATAAGATAAGAATTTTGATCAAATATCAAATAATTTAATATTTCCAGCGATTTGCAACAATGAAACATGGCCTTTCTACACACACGACGGTCTCAATGATGGTTTTGGAGACACGATTGAGTTCGATATTGCGCCAACATGCTCGGAAAGGTTTGGGAATATGAAAGAACTAAACTCTCAAGAGTTCTCTCACTCAAGATTCTCTCAAGATCTCTTTCAGATTCACGATTCCATTGGACATTAGCACCCCACTTGATGTTTACATCACAGTGACATCTGATGTTAACGGAAGTTACCCGTACTCGCGACTCTTTGATACAAAAAGTAACGTTTAAAATAACTATTTCAAATCTAACTACTTATATTAAAGATCCGTACTCACGACTCTTTAATACAAAAAGTAACATTTAAAATAATAATCGTGAAACTATTTCTATTTATTTAGTGAAAGAAATCATTCCCTGTGGAGATACAATCATAAACGATCGATCAACTTTACAAAAATACTGCCAAGTGCTTTCCTATTATGGAGAAGGATTCTTTACATTGCGGCTCAGCGGGAACACTGTCGAGTAAGATCAACAACAGATCAACGACAAATGAATCTCAAAAATTTCTAGCATGTGCTCTTTCCAAGTCGAAGCTCCAACTTTTCTGTACCCCGATGGTGGCTTTGTTGTCTCACCACAAAATGATGTCATTCAAGCGTCTTTGCCTGGCCCAAATCAAGCTATTACACAGTGAGTTTGAATTTTTTTTTTGAGTTAAAACGTCTAAAGGTCTAGGAAAAACGTTTTTAGAAACCCAATCGATGGAATTCCATCCTATTTGGCGTTCAAAATGACTCATGATGTGTACCCAGTGGCTCCTCAGGTTTTTCATCTAAACTTTTTTACTTTAACTTTAATCTGAACTTTAGATTGTCCATTTCTACTCAAATGGTGCTTGGATTCAAAGTGAAAACTTGATCGCCCGGTAGTTGGAAAGCTTTCGAAAATTTCACTTAACATTTACAGATTCCAATGCTCGACTCCTCATATAACTATTGGAACTTTCACCTGTTCAGCGAAAAACAGCTACTATGTGAAATTCCAGGGAATCGATGACAATGTTAAAACCGAAATCAACTAACAAACAAGTTTTCGAATTCTAGGGCTATCCGTGGCAACGATTGTATGACTTTGACTGTGAATCACCTCCACCAACAACCCTTCCCCCATCAACAACCACTCCACCACTTCCCGTTTATCCAACTTGTAGCAATGAAGTGCCAAAGGTTGATCTCATTCTTGCTTTTGATTCATCAGCAACAATGGATCAACTTGAATTCACCAAGGTACGTTTATTTTTCATTTTACTTTACTTATCTGTGAAGCTGAACTTTTTAAAGTCAACTTTTCTCGAAACTTTTGATAGAAAACGAATTAATAAGAAAAATTCTGATATCAGAGAATAAGAAGTTAACTAAGCAATTAGTTTCCTTTGCAGCTATTAAAATGTTTAAGTTGATTTATTAGAGTATTAGAGTTAACTAGTAGTTCGACCTTTCCCTTACAAAAGTGCGAGCCAGTCTCTTGGAACCGAAGCCTCCGTCTAGAGGAAATAAAGTATCACCAGAATCCAGCACTGGTTAAAACTCTATAGTACAAGTTTCACTAGGGAGGTCCACGTTTTCCACGCAATCTAAGCCCCGTCCCTTTTTGTCAATAGCTGAGCACAGACGGACAGGCGGACAGACGTCTCTTGCTTTATATATAGTAGATTATAAGCTAATATCTAAATTCTTATCTTTCAGATCCTCGATAAATTCTACGATCTGGCTTCCCTTGTCCAATTTGGTCCAACTCAAACCCGTGCCATTCTTGGAACTTATGATGGAGCGGTGAAACTTTTTTGACATCTTCAAAATCACCATATTTTAGATTTACTTTAACAATCAACACTTCACTCATTCTGCTACGATGGCCAGTTATCTCACACGACTCGTTGAGTTGATGTATACAGGATATACAGGAAATATGGGAAACAATGTGCTGAGGTATTGTAACTGTTCAATTCTCAACTCATTCTTAGTTTTCAGTCTATTCAATTATGTGCAAGGATTGCAGAAAGGAGTTGACGCTTTTCGGTCAAATACGAGGAAAATCGTGTTTTATGTTAGGTAAGTAAAAGTAGAGTGTGTTCCTCGTATACATTTCGAGTGTCCCCCCCCTGTGTCCCCCTTTTGCCCCCCTAAGTGTCCCCCTCAAAGTGTCCCCTTTTTGTCCCCCTAAAGTGTCCCCCCCCCTAGTATCCCCTATTTTTTTCATATCAAATCACAACTTTTTGCTCTTTTTAGGCGCACTTTTTAGAAAACGCATTACTCGACAATTACTCGAGCTATTTACTCGAGTAAAAAACTACTCATGCAAATTTACTCGAGTAACTACTTACTCGCGAGGAACACACTCTAGGTAAAAGCAAGCAAACATTCATGAAAAGTTTAGAATACTGAGATTTAAAAATTAAGCCTTTGAAACAATAATTAGAATCTAGTTTAGCACAACAAATTGTAATGAAGATCCAACAAATGTTGCGCAACAATTGAAGAGTCAAGGAGTCGAGTTCTTCCCAATTGCATATGGACCAACTGGAAACTTTACACAAGCATGGGTAGATTGATTAGTTTCTCTAGAGTGGTTAAGGCTTAGCAAGTAGTTCACAAGTATTACAACTAACAAGAAGTTAAAATGGTAAGCTTTCAGTTGTCTTTAAGTCTAAAATGACAATTTTGAATATCTTTAACAAAATTGATTCAATTCTTTTCAGATGATTTCTCCTAAATGTGCTCATTTGGCGACTTCTGATTGGCTTCTTCAAGATGCGATTAACTATTTCTTTAGTCTTCTTTGCAGGTAATACAGAAAGACTTAAAGAAGATTTACAGAATTAGAAGCTGATAATGTTTTTCTTTGTATTAAAACAAATTTTTAGTTCGACTCCAACTTGCTGAGCAAATGTAGAAAAGCAAAGAAAATTTAAATTTGTGAATAAAGAATCAAAAATAGATATTATTTGAAATGTTAAAGTGGGGAATTTTAGAAAAACAAATTCGAGTGCCCGAGCGCTAACGAATGATTCGTTAGCGGCTGAATTTCGTAAACGGCTACGACATATAGATACTTTATTCAGGATTCAAATAAAGTGCGCTAGATTTAAGATTAATACACATCAACATAAACACGAAAAGGGCCGATAAAAAGCAACACGATAAAATGCATGTAATGGTAGCACAGATAACGTCAAGGATCTACTAGAGCTTCAAGATCAACATCATCTACAGATACTTGAGAGGCTTCGAGACTATGGGACTCTCTCAAAACTCTGGGGGGTCGATTCCAAATTCTGGCAGTTCTTATTGGAAAAGAGTTATGCACAAACTTATTGGAGGTGACTGGAATTTCTAAAACGAAAAAATCTCTCCTTGAACTAACCGTGGGATTAACTTTGAATAAATTTATCACTCAATTAAAATACATTGGTTTTAGAAATAAATGTTTATAAAGAAAAAATATATAAAATCAGTTCTAATTGTTATAAAAATACTAATCTCTCACACCAAAAAAATCTGCTTTTTTGATATTTAGAGAAAAATTTTGAAACTATCAAATTCTGTTCCAATACGGTTTCAATAGGGTTCCTATTTTGTATCAATAAGGTTCCAATAGGGTTCCTATTTTGTATCAATAAGGTTCCAATAGGGTTCCTATTTTGTATCAATAAGGTTTCAATAGGGTTCCTATTTTGTATCAATAAGGTTCCAATAGGGTTCCTATTTTGTACCAATACGGTTTCAATACGATTCCTATTTTGTATCAATAAGGTTCCAATAGGGTTCCTATTTTGTTCCAATACGGTTTCAATACGATTCCTATTTTGTACCAATACGGTTCCAATACTATTCCTATTTTGTACCAAAAAGATTCCAATAGGGTTCCTATTTTGTACCAATAAGGTTCCAATAGGGTTCCTATTTTGTACCAATAAAGTTCCAATAGGGTTCCTATTTTGTATCAATAAGGTTCCAATACTATTCCAATACGGTTCCAACACAGTTCCAATACGGTTCCAATCCCAATAAACTGTCAAGTATTCAGTTTTTAGACTGATAATTTGCTTTTTAAAAAGAAACTTTAAATTTTCCAGAAGATTGTCTAACCTTTGATATCATTTCAAGTTCAAATATTGAATCTTTACAAAAAAAGAGCTAGACTGAATACCCAATCTAGACCAAATACCGCAATCCTGAAACTGAAAATCCCCCGCCGCCCACGGGTGCTCAATGTACTCAATGTACAAAAGGGCAATTAAAGGGTCTAATTTTTAAATCCCGATAAAACGAGACAAATTTTTTAATGAAGAGAGTATTTTTTTTAAAGATTGCGATGATTTTCTTCATTCATCAAAAGCAATTTTCGCAAAAAAACGATGAGATTTCATTAGGAGGGTTATTGTTTGAAAAAGACTGGATCGGGTATAAAATCTGGGAAAAATTAGATGTCGCATAGGTGAAGAAATTGTTTTTCTTCAAAATCTAACCATTTTTCGGATTTTTTTAAAACAATTTGAATAGTTTTGACTGAATAGAATGACTTTTAAAAGGCACCAAGAAACTAGTGTAATTAAATTGTTTCTTTACGTTCAATTTGATGTTATTTCGTGTGGAATCACTAGACTCATTGTAAAAAAAAACTGAGTTAATTAAATGTTTATTAGTTTTATTAAGTTTTTAAGTTTATTAGACGTTTATTAGAAGTTATAAGTTTATTAGAATTGAAAGTTTATTAGTATTAGCGCTTGGATTACGGTAGCTTTCGAAAATGTCCTTTAGAAAGTTTATTAGAACTAAATCTTGTCATTAGAATTGGAAGTTTATTAACATTATCATTTCCTTTTATCTTTTAAAGCTTTCAGATGTGTTCTTTTGCTAAAATTTCTCATCAGAATCTCTCTTAGGTTACAGTAGCTTTCGAAAATGTCCTTTAGAAAGTTTATTAGAATTAAATCTTGTCATTAGAATTGAAAGTTTATTAGTATTGGCGCCTGGGTTACGGTAGCTTTCGAAAGTGTCTTTTAAAAAGCTTATTAGAACTAAATCTTGTCATTAGAATTGAAAGTTTATTAGTATTAGCGCTTGGATTACAGTAGCTTTCGAAAATGTCCTTTAGAAAGTTTATTAGAACTAAATCTTGTCATTTATTAGTAGTTTATTCGTCGTTCATTAGAAGTTCATTATTTGAAATACATGAAACTGAAAGTTTTTAATGATAAAAAGGAAATTTTCTAGTTGTTTATTAGTATTTCATTAGTAGTTCATTATTTGAAAAACAAAAGCTTGAAAAGCTTCGTTTAAGCCAGTTTTAGAAAGCTTATTAGAATTAAATCTTGTCATTAGAATTGGAAGTTGATTAATATTATAATTTACTTTTATCTTTTCAAATTTTCAGATGTTCTCTTTTGCTCAAATCATCAGAATCTCTCTTTTATTATTCTCAATGATCTTCCTATTTGCTGAGGCTCGATTTTGTGTATTTGGAGGTAAATCTTTAAAGATTTCTTTAAATTCTTAAACATTCTTCTTCAATAAAAGTAATTTTAGACAAAATAGAAAAAGCTCCTTTCTATTTCGAGAAAGATTTGCTGAGGAAATATGCTCGACAACCACAAATGCTTGGTCAGTGATTTGGGAAAGAGTTTCTCTAGGGTTTTTTGCGGATTCTCAATTGTAAAATTTCATTCTAAATGTTTAAATCTAAGAAAAAGCAACGGCTATAGTAGTTTTCAAAAACGAAAACGTTTTCGAGAACTCATTTCAGATCTTTATTAGGTTTCTTGACGACTTTACCAAATAGAACTCACGGCAAAGTTTATTCCTTTCAACTAAAACCTTTTCTAAAAAGCGTATTCAAAGTATTACTCCAATCATTATCATTAGTATCATTAAAACGCCGTGTAATTGTGGAAAATTTGATGTTTTCCATTGACAATCTAACTTTAAGCTCAAATTTCTTGGTGTTGGGTCATTCAATTCAAATAGTTTTTGTAGAAATCAAGAGAGAAATACTTGACGCATCTAATATCAAGAATATTTCAATTCAACAGCCCAACACCAAGAAATTTAAGCTCAAAGTTAGATTGTTAATGGGAAAAGGGGTGGGGCGGGTATCAAATCGCCGATAACCGTTTCTATATCAATTTAGAATGCTAATAATCAAAATAATCAAAAGATAGAAAAACAATAAACACCTAAAAATCAAGAAATTCGCATAACATTTACCGTATTCTCTCTAATAATAGTGCACCCTGAGCTTTGCCTAAATTCCTCGAAATCTCGAGAACCGCTTATCAGAATCTATCGATGTGGGATCGGAAAATGTAGCTGACGATGAGATCTTGTGGGGGATTTGAGTGTTGAGCTTCTGCAAAAGCTTGGAAAACGTAAACCAGTCATCAACTTAGCTCGGCACTACTATTAGAGAGAAAAAGAATAGAGCAAGCAACTTTGGCAGATTAAGGTAACATCTGTGAGGTCATACCTCTTTCTTAGGCATTTAATTTCTAGATTACAATAGTTTTAACTGAATCCAGTGATGGCCGAATCCTGTATTCTCTCTAATAGTAGTGCACCTTGAGCGTCCCCTAAATTCCTCGAAATCTCGAGAACCGCTTATCAGAACCTATCGGTGTGGGGTCGGAAAATGTAGCTGACGATGAGATCTAGTGGGGGATTTGAGTGTTGAGCTTCTCCAAAAGCTTGAAAACCGTAAAATCGTCATCAACTTGGCTTGCCGGGGTGCACTACTATTAGAGAAAATACGGGGTATATTTTACATTAGAAAACTAAACAAATTGATCATTTCTAGGCGGAGGCTCGTTGCCAATGATTGGACGATAATTTTTCAAAATAATCTTATTGTTTTTCCATTGTTTTCAATTACTTTTTGGTTTTTATATGCGAATAAAGGATTTTGATTTATTTGATTTAAATTTAGATAAACACAAATACTCAGGTCTGTTTTTGAAAATGTGTTTATTAGCCAGTCTCGACAAGAATCATTAACGTCATCACAATTCAGCAATAATATTTTCGTTGCTTTTCAGAAGAAAAACAACCCTCATTTTCCTATTTCAGAAAATTATTGAAAAAAAAATATTTTGAATATTTTGAAGAGGAGTTTTGTGACAAAATTCTGAAAAATTTGTAAATTTTTATTAAATTCTATTTAACAAATTGATCTTAATGAAAATCTTTGAAAAGTTTGCAAAAAGTTTGCAAATAAACGTCATTAGTAGCTGTACATCTGGTCATCAGACATTTTTCGCGCCTTAAAAAACATTAGTATTTCAAAATTCCCTGGTACGAATAAAGTTCGAGGGCGGGGGGCTCTAGTAAGGCTACAGTTAGGAAACAAAGGTATAAAAAGATTAAATATAGAGCAGATTTTACATGGCAAGAAGATCTAATTCGTTTAAAGATACTTTCAATTTCCCTACAGATGAGAAGATACCAGACGGGAGCTTATTCCAAACCCTACTAATACGGTTTGCAAAAGAATGATAAAGGGAAAGATGATGGGGATGAGAACTGACCGAAATTTGATAAGGATCACTACGTGTATTTCTAGGTGGATATAACCAGATGTAGAATTTCATTTAGTTTGTCTAGTGACTGATTACGGTAGTTTATCCATCAACTTTGAATTTTAACTTGTGTATTGAATTTTTGACTAACTGCAGAGCAGTGGCAATTCGCCACAGGCAGATTTGACATGGCAATAAGATCTAATCCGTTTACAGATACTTTCAATTTTCTTACAGACGAGAAGATACCGGACGGGAGCTTATTCCAAACCCTACTAATACGGTTTGCAAAAGAATGATAAAGGGAAAGATGATGGGAATGAGAACCGACCGAAATTTGATAAGGATCACGACGTTTACTTCTAGGAATTTCCACAATTTTCAAGAGGTTTTGAAATTCTGGATGCGACTTAGGGTGGAAAAGAATTTTCTAGCAAAAAATAAGATCAAAGTAAATACGGCGATATAAAAGGGGTTTTAAATCAAAAACGATAAGTCTAGTCTCATAATTTGGAATAAGAGAAGAAGAGAGACAATGAGTGTATGCTTTTTTAGTGAAACATTTTTATTTTGGACATTTTCAAGCAATTTTATCGAAGCTATACTTGAAGGAGTTTATCCTATTGATATTCAATGGGTTTATTTGTGAATGAGGGAACTGAAGATACCTTTGTTTAGTTTTAAGTTTCTTAATGGAAGGTGACCATACGATGGTGGGCATACTCGAGCAAAGGCCGGCAATAGGTTATACAAGCTTATTCCAAGCCCTACTAATACGGTTCGCAAAAGAATGATAAAGGGAAAGATGATGGAGATGAGAACCGACCGAAATTTGTATGCTTTTTTAGTGAAACATTTTCATTTTGGACCTTTTCAACCAGTTTTATGGAAGCTATACTTGAAGGAGTTTATCCTATTGATATTCAATGGATTTATTTGTGAATGAGGGAACTAAAGATACCTTTGTTTATTTGTGCAAAAAACCTTAACTTTATTACATTAATTTGTTGAATTTGTTGTTGAAAAACAGTGAATAATTACTTTTTATCTTTTTTTTTATAAATTTCTTTCAATTTCCCAGTTATTTGGTTGATCTTGAATCAATTTCTGAAGTTAAAACTTTCAGAAGCACAAATATTCAATGACTTGCATCACAGGCGCTTATAATTTAGATATAATTCTATAGAATTGTAGAATTCTATAGATTACACCGTTTGGGCTATTTTGGAAGGCAAGATCTCGATGAAGACGTATCAAACAGTGGATGCTTTAAAATCTGCTCTGAAACGAGTCTGGGATGAAATAACTGTTTAAGCGTGCGCCACCATCGTGAGGAACTTCCCAAAGCGTTTAAAGAGGTGTATCGAAGCGGATGGTGGAAATTTCGAGCATTTGTTAGAAGTTATTTGTTGTTATGATTCGAATAAAGAGTTTGTTATTAATTTTTAACTTTTTAAAGCTAGTTTTTAAACCTTTAACTATCTTAAGAAGCGGCTCCAAACTTTTGCCGCACCCTGTAATTCTATAGAATTAAGCTCTTATAGAATTAAGAATTTCTATAGAATTAAGCTCTCTACAAGACTATAATCTTTGTTCATTCTCAGAGCAAAAATTCTAGTCTTGATTCCCAGAAAATCCCAGAAAATTTCACTCAATTTGGAAATCCAAAGATCGGTGCTTTTGTTGAATTTCATAGAATTCAGACAATTTTTATATAATGCACTCATTTTTGGCCTCCAAAACACGAGACGACACAAAACAAAACCTCGTGCTCTCACTAATCATCTCTTATTGTTCCATTTTTTTTTTTAACCAATTAGATATATTTCTAAAATCGTGAGAAGATGAGTATTATGGAAATCAAAAGAAGTTAAAGTTTCATCTGTTTTTATCAGAAAAAAAAAAGTAGAAAGTAGAAAAGATGGGAGTGGGACAAATGCAACCTTTTTTTTGCGCACCTGGACATTTGCGCGCCTTTTTTTTGCTGGAAAAGGCCTTAGGAAAGGTCGTAGAGCTTCAAAAATGTTTTCATAGAAGGGAATCGGAATCGTATGCGGAATCGTTTGCCTAAGCCTAAGCCTAAGCCTGAGCCTGAGCCTAAGCCTAAGCCTAAGCCTAGCTTAAGCCTAAGCCTAAGCCTAAGCCTAGGCTAAGGGAATCGTATGCGTAGATTCCGAATTTCGACAAATCAAAGCAAATCAGACCTCGCTGACACGTCAAATTTGGGCTAAAAGGCAAAAACTGCAGAAAAGCGTTAAGTTGCGTAGTTTTTGCCTTTTAGCTCAAATTTAACGTGTCAGCGAGGTCTGATTTGCTTTGATTTGTCGAAATTCGGAATCTACGCATACGATTCCCTTCTGTGAAAACATTTTTGAAGCTCTACGACTTTTCCTAAGGCCTTTTCCAGCAAAAAAAGTGCGCAAATGTCCAGGTGCGCAAAAAAAAGGTCGCATTTGTCCCACCCAAAAGATTATGAAAAAGAAAGAAAGATCTCATTTGATTCGAAATCTAGATAAATCTAGATAAAATTTCGGTCTAGAAAACATTTTTCCACGAAAAAAAAAACAGAATCGATTTTCCAATTACAACTCGCTTTTTAGAGCTCTAAGTTTTGCGTTTTTAGCTTTAATTAATCTTGTAATTCATCTAGAAAAGGGTTTAAAGCAAAAAAAAATCACTTTTGATTCCTTTTGACTGGCTAGATTTAATTCAAAATTTCACAAAATTCAGATAGTTTTTGAGAGAAATTCAAGAAATTCAAGAAATTTAAAGAAACTCAAGCGATTTAGGTATTTTGATTGATTCTGGCTATTTTATTGTCAATTAATCCCTATTTTTTTCCCTTGTAAAGCCATAAATTTAACATAAACTTGGTATAATTACAAGCTTTTATAAGAAAATTTAGCGTTAAATCGCTTTTTATTATCTTAAAAGCTGAATTTGATGACGAAAAAGCAATGTGTCCTTTACTATTTCCATAAAAACAATCAAATTAACATTTATGCAACACAATTTTGACAATTTAATCGATAAAAGTTAAAGACAGATGTCAAAGTTCTCGTTTGATTCAATGACTGGTTGAATTGTCTCCTCCTTGTGTGTCTTCTTTGAAATGATTTTCAACTCTTTCTTTCATCAAATCTTGCCATGATGAGATTGAAAAGTTTGATTTTTGAATGCTCTCCTCTTGAGCGTCGTGCATCTGAAAGGATTCATTACTTTGAGCTTTTTAAAAACCTAAAAATCTAATTAAATCAAGCCAGATAACAATTCAATTCAATAATTGTGAATTCAGTGAAGAGTTTACTTGAACAGTAACCGTATTCTCTCTAATAGTAGTACCCCCTGATCGTCGTCTAAATTCCTCGAAATCTCGAGAACCGCTTATCAGAACCTATCAATGTGGGGTCAGAAAATGTAGCTGATGATGAGATCTAGTGGGAGATTTCTGTGTTGAGCTTCTAGGAAAACTTAGAAACTGTAAAATAGTCATCAACTCGGCTCGGCACTACTATTAGAGAAAATATGGTATCTAGTATTGTAACTTACAATCCAACTAAAGTATATGAAACTAAGAGTTATTTATCTTAAAAGATTTTGAATTTAAAGTATTCAATCTTGTCAATTGAATACTTTCTAGAAGTAACGAAACGGAAATTTGCAGTAATCCGAATTCTTTACTCACCATTTGTATCGTTTCATCATTGTGTTGCTTTGCCCCACTGTTTGGACTCTGTTTCATCATACCTGAAAATCAACAATGAAACTTTCATACAACTATATGTTTAGTTTAATCTTGTTTCTAATCTAAGTGCATGATTTGAATGTTAAATAACCTGTAGCAACGATTTTCTCCTGTCCATAAGCCATCACAATCAATCCAAAGACGATAAACATCAGAAAATTCATCTTACTCATTCAGAAATTGTTTGATTTCAAGAAATTTGAGTATATGAGAAAATGAATTCTGAAAAAAACTTCTCAAAAATAGGCACCTGTTTCTCAAAAAATTTGAAAATTCCCATGTCTCCCCGATAATTGCCTATTTAAAAAGCAAAGAATTGATTATAGAAAAAAGAAAAAGAAACTTGTTTTCCTATTTTATTAAGGAAATAAATTTTCAAACAAAACTGTAAAATATTGGTTTATATTAAGATTTCACACCCAAACCAATGAAAACATAACAGTCAATCAACTGAACCAACTACAAGGTGTGCAACCGATTGTCAAATGTTTAAATAGCTGCTTTGTACATCACTTGAACTTTCTGTTACAACAAAGCTCTCGTTTATTCAACAATGTCACTTATTTTTCTTTCTTGCAAATCTTTTCGCATTCCTCTTTTGATTCGAAACGATTTTCATTTTCACCGCATCCACCATAGATAAACTTTTTACATTCGTTGTTTTCTTTGTCGTAAAACCACATAGGAAAATAGGCTCTAAAAAGGATAGAAAATGTTTGAATAGCGAATGTTTCCGACAAAAAAGCCATCTCTTCTTTTGGATTTCCCGATAAACTGCACACGGATTTGGATTTTGGCTAAAAATGGGTAAAACTGTAAGAACAACAACACCAAGAAGAAAACAACGAACCGGTTGGGTCGAATTGTGACAGTCAACCTCGCTGAAAGGCCAATTGAATCCTCGAGCAAAACTGTCAGCTTCTGAGAGTCTCAGCTTTTGGCTAAAATAGAGAAAGACTGTAAGAACAAGAACACCAAAAAACAAACTGGTTGGGTCGAATTGTGACAGTCAACCGTTTATTTGATTGTTTGAGAAAGTTTAAATGAAATTTACATGACTTTAATAAAAAGACCCCAAAGCTCCTCCAAAGCTTTGGCAATAAATTACGCGAAAATCGCAGAAATCTCTTTGTTAATGAATGTTCAACAGAGCATTTAAAAAGTGAGCAATAGCATGCAAATCAATCGTCTGTTTGGTGATGACATTGACGAAAGTTTGTGTAAGCACTAGTGAGTGGGAGAAGCAGATAAAATCGAGTTGATTTCACACGCAAACCAGTGAAAACATAACAATCAATCAACCGTCTACAAGGTGTGCAACCGATTGTCAAATGTTTAAATAGCTGCTCTGTACGTTGCTTGAACTTTCTGTTACAACAAATCTCTCGCCCTTTATTCAATCACTTATTTTTCTTTCTTGCAAATCTTTTCGCATTCCTCCTTTGATCCGAAACGATTTTCATTTCCACCACATCCACCATAGATAAACTTTTTACATTCGTTGTTTTCTTTGTCGTAAAACCACATCGGAAAATAGGCTCTAAAAAGGATAGAAAATGATTGAATAGAGAATGTTTCCTACAAACAAGTGAACTCTTCTTTTGGGTTTCCCGGTAAACTGCACACGGATTTGGGTTTTGGCTAAAAATGGGGTAAAACTGTAAGAACAACAAAGCCAAGAAAAAACCCGGACAACGAACCGGTTGGGTCGAATTGTGACAGTCAACCTCGCTGAAAGGCCAATTGAATCCTCGAGCAAAACTCTCAGCTTCTACCCATTTTGAGTCATGGTTGCACTGAAGTTCGAGAAAAGGAGAAGCCTGGCTGACGATCGCGTTGCTTGTCTTGTAGGTCTAAGTGAGAGAAATTGAGTCTTGAGTTGACTGTTGACTATCGAGTAAGCCTAACGAGAGTAAACGAGGAAATTTGCCTAAATTCTTTCTCGTTAAACTTAATTGGCCTTCAATTTCTTTGGAATTTAAGTCTTTTACTGTTTCCGAAGTTTACGGAAAAGAAGACTTAAACAGTTTTTTTAAACAAAAACCGAAAAAGTACGCAAGTTGGACCGCCAACGATTGGGCAAATGTTATTTTCACTGATGAGTCAAAAGTCAATCTTTTTCAACCGGATGGTAACCATTTGGTTCGGAGACCTGTGGGACAACGATTCAGCTCTAAATACTTGCGGCCGACGGTCCGACAAAAACGAAAACAAAAAACTTTGATTAATTTCAACGGAAAACTCCCGAAACACACAAACCACATAGTTGGGCCTGAAACAAGTGATATTTCGCCGCAAACAGCCATTCGAATCAGTGCTTAAAATGTTTATTTTCGATTTCTTTTTCTATAAATGTTTCCCCACCTTGTTTCATCTTCGTTAAAGCCGGAAACGCCGAGCGGTTCGCTAGCCAAACAACCACCACATCCTGAAGTTTTTACAAGTGAAAAAGCATTAGCATCTTTATTTCCCTACCGCAAACTCACATTTCTTTTTTACTAAAATATACTAGAGATTTGAGACTATCTCTTGGTATATTACACTTGATTATATCTCTAATAAGCGTTAAAAACGATCATGCAAAATTAGCGTCTATGCTATATAACGTTTTTAGTTTATAGCTTTGATAAAACGTTACTTGTAAAACTTAAACTCACCTTTTCCGGCACTGTAAACACTCGAAAAGCACAAGGCAAAAATATAGAAACCCTTCCGCATTTGAAATCGTTCTACTCAATCCTTTCAATCAGCCCTTTTATAGGCTTTTTTCTTTCTTCCGTTCACAGCTCTGTTTGGTCAACTTTGTTTATCAAACGGGAAAAGTCGACCCGAGATTGGAATCGATTGCAGCAAATGGAAATGCTCTTCTTGTGGCTTTTTTTGTGATACACACGCGTCACTGGTAATTTTGTTTCCCAAGTAAAGATAAACTATTTGTTCTAGAGCATAAAACAAGAAGGTTTTCTTTGCGTAATTTCTTTTTCGATTAGCCTTTCAAGAAAACATATATTGACCTTGAAATGCAATATTTTCAAACTAGAACTCGAGACAGAAGTGATTTGTGGCTTTGATGTGAACTTTTGAACGATTTTTAAACGAATGATTGCATTGAGAATGATTCGACGATAACTTTGAGTGGCATAAATGACGATGGCATTTGAGAAATGTCACTGGTAATTTTGTTTCTCGAAAATTTCCAAAAACCATTTTCACTGCAGCGCACCTTTCTAAAAAAGCCCGAGTTTTTCCGAAGACACATTTATTCATCAAACAAGGCGTTTATAAAGCTTACAAACAAAAATAGAAAAAAACTAGACACAAAACACTCAACATATTTCACAGATTGACGAGCGACGGTCGTTTATTTGTTTATTATATGATATTTAGATGAATATGGTATTTGCAAGAAAAGATCAACTATTTTTTAGGACTTTTCTTTGCGTAATCAGTTTTTGTGTAGATTAGACTTTCAAGAAATCATATATTGACCTTGAAATGCAATATTTTAAAACTAGAACTCGAGACAGAAGTGATTTGTGGCTTTGATGTGAACTTTTGAACGATTTTTAAACGAATGATTGTATTGAGAATGATTCGATGATAACTTTGAGTGGCATAAATGATAATGGCACTTGAGAAAAGAGAGCGAAGAGAAATGCCCAAGAAGACACACTGAAAATTAGTAAAATCGGACTAGTAGCTTGGATTTTTAAAAGATGCATTGAAAAATAGCAATCAACGGAAACATTGTATCACTAGGAAATTTCTTGATGCTAACTTGCCGCAACAAAGTCCCATGAGGAAACTCGAAGCATCGAGGCGACGACGAATATCGCCGGAAACTCGACAAAAACACACAAAGCATGTCTGATATTTGAAATGTTTGATGTCAAAGTAGTAGCTAATCCGTAAAATAATAATCAAACTCAGATATTTCTTGCGTTCGTTCGTTGACTGTTATTTGCCTTGGGGAATATTGCTCTATAGACAATCGCCCCCACAAATCCGATCACAAGAATCGCAGTGAAAGCGAAGGAGTAACAAAAAGTTGAAGAGTTTGAAAGAGTTTTTGGAAAGAGAGAGACGTTTAAAAGAGTTTTTGGTCCATTTACACTTCTAAATTGTTGGCAAAGTCTCGTTTAGCTCGGAGAACTTTCGCTGGATCTGAACAAAATTTTGTGAGCTAAAAGTTTAGCTAAACGTCTTTTCTGTAGCAGTAAAGTTAAGATTTTTGTGCGAAATCCTATTTTAAGCACATATGAAGACTTTTGCTTTTAAATCTTCAATAAAACTTTTTTCTTTCTTATCTCCCAGGTGAAGTACAAGTACAAGTACAATTCAATGCCAATTTATTCTTGGAGCAACTTTTTTCAGTCTGATTAGGTACTTAGATCTTTTTTTCTTTTAACAAACCTCACTCTGATCACAGATGCAAGCTCCTTGCAAATACCAATCAAGAAAGATTAAGACAAAGAAAACAAAGAAACCGATTAGGAGAAGAAACATTAGCAAGTACATTAAGGATTGAAATAAATTTGAAATATTTTTATACTTTAAGACGTGGCAATATATTTATTGAAAATTGAGAAAACTTTCAAATACTTTGAATTGTTAGTAAACATTTGCTCAATGCTCGTCAACCTTTTTCCTCTCGACAATCTTTGACTTGTTCTCTCTGAAAGTTGTAAACAAAAAATGCGTTTAAAAGTTTTGTGTACTCAAAATACTCAAAATAGTAGTGCACCCTGAGCGTCGCCTAAATTCCTCAATATCTCGAGAACCGCTTCTCAGAACCTATCGATGTGGGATCGGAAAATGTAGCTGAAGATGAGATCTAGTGGGGGATTTGAGTGTTGAGCTTCTGGGAAAGCTTAGAAACCGTAAAATCGTCACCAACTCGGCTCACCGGGGTGCACTACTATTAGAGAAAATACGGTAATCACCTTAGATTTAGTTTCACTGGGTGCCGATTGAGGTCGATCAATTCGATGACTGTCGCCTGGTGCCATCTCTTTAAGTTTCTTCTTTGCCTGAAAATCAAAAAAACATTTATTATTCAAATTTGAAGTCTTTTTCAGTTTTGGTTCAGTCAAAACACTGAGAAAACCCACAGCTTTTGCTGCATTTTTCGCGTCATTCATTCTTTCGATAGATTTGTTTGAAGATTTGAAAATTCTAAAAGTAAAACTGAAAAGAAACTCAGCATTTTTCAATTTAGCAAGAAAACATTGATTTAAAAGTATTTGAAAAGGAGAATTGAGAATCTTTTTTTTATCAGTCGCTAGTGTTTTTATGTCTCAAGCTTTGCCCTTTTGTTGATTTGTTGGCTCTTGTGTGTGACTGAGAAAAAGCACAAAGAAAGTGCATAAACAAATTGAAACTAGACTAAAATAATGAAATAAATGAATATTTTTTAAGAAATAACTAAAATCAAAAGAATATAAGGTAAAATTTGATTAGAATTTGAATTTGAATCAATGAAAGCTGAGGGACAGTTTGATTTGAAAGTTTTTGAAATCCAAAAAGAAATAGAATACAAAGCCATAATCACTTTTCGATAGGTTTTTGTAACAAAAATCACAATGAAATTTGTGTAGAGCGAGTGGAAAATGTCGACGAAAGAAAAAGGGACTTTTAAATGGTAAAAAACTTTCTAAAAAAAATAGTCTTTAATAGTTTTAAAGTTTTTTTAGTGTATTTAAATTATTCAGTTTTTAGCAATAAAACTTTTAACAAATTTGCGACGACTTCGGCGATGGGATAATTACTATGATAGATATTTGGTTCGAACTGAAGCATTTCCGGAATGACGGCAATTCGGTGATGCGACGAAACGTTCGCTTCACGTGCTCTCGGTACGGTCGATAGAGACATAGGATGGCTATTGTGTTGCAGAGTCCATGCTGAGCGAACAATAGACCGATCAGTGGACAGAACTCTGCAAATATGTGCATTGGTTTAGTACAGAAATATTGGGTTGGTGAGTTGAAAATTGCCGGACTTTGAACTAAAATTTATTGAAACATAAAACCATGAATTCATTCCAAATAATTTCCATTATTATTGACGACTTCTGCCCATTTTACAGGCAATCTGCGGATTCCTCTTTCGTAGTAGGATTTTGGTTTGTGTGTGAGACAAGTGTGAGACTCGAAAATGGAGGACTGGAGATGTCCCAGTTTGAGCACTTTCTTCAAAAGAAACCCATTTTGGTGTCAATAGAAAAGTTGTAGAGAATCAAAAATTAGGCTTATAGCCAAATTTCCAAAAAGATACACTTAGTAGTTTCGCTTAAAATGCAAGTTTTGTAAAAATTCGTAAATTTCGCATTTCTTGAAAACCAGTTTTTGAATCGTTCTGAAAATTTGGATATAAGCTTGATTTTTGATTCTCTACAACTTTTCCATTCACACCAAAATGGGTTTCTTTTGAAGAAAGTGCTCAAACTGTCACATAGGACAATAGCCCGCAGTTTTCAATTCACCAATCCAATATTAAGTTTTTTTGCAATAAACCTTTAACAAATTTGCGACGACTTTGGCGATGGGATGATTACTATGATAGATATTTGAGGCTTCGGTTTGAAGCATTTCCGGAATGGCGGCAATTCGGTGATGCGACGAAACGTTCGCTTCACGTGCTCTCGGTACGGTCGATAGAGACATAAGATGGCTATTGTGTTGAAGAGTCCATGCTGAGCGAACAATAGCCCGATCAGTGGACAGAACTCTGTAAATATGTGCATTGGTTTAGTGCAGAAATAGCTTGCAACGTCGAGCAATTATTGTGGATGTCTATGACTCAACTAATGCTGGGTTTTCCAAGTAAAAGCTGTTTAACAAGAAAAAAATAGCTAAAATAGGAGTGAAAAAGTGCTGAACAAACTTGTCAAATCGGTGTTATCAACAAAAATGACAATGGCTCCAAGGCAAAAGGGAATGATGACGGTTACCATGGGGATTGTCACCTAAAAGCTGGAGGTAGTTGATTTTATAGAAAGACATAGTCTCAACGTTGAGTTATCGTGTCATGTAGAATTCGTTCTACCTGTATAATCAACGCTTTGATCAGTTGCCGTTCCTCGTCGACGAGCCGCTTTTCTAAGAAGTTCTCTTGAAGCCGAAGGAAATAGAAACAGAGAAACGAGCAAGCTGTGCAATTTTTTTAACAGATTCCCCTGGCAACCACCAACCAATCATAAATGATCCACAGACGGCTAAAAAACCGAGAATATTGACAAGGAAGAACGTGTGACTGCCCCTCGCGAATCCCAGAAATCTGGGCATCATGATGAACTGTCGCAGTTGTGGATAGATCTGAAAATCGGAGAAGAAACGAATGGTTTTACATTAGAGAGCTTTTGGATCATAGGCTGATAGTCGATTCTATAAAACCTTTACATGTACGATTTGTTCAGATAGGTCATAAGTTCATTTTATTATTTATAGAAATGTACATAGATAGCTATTTTATATCAGTCTTGAGTTTATTTCATTATACTCATTTCTCATTTCTCAAAACTACACAAAATACCCGTAGATAAACGTCATTGGTCGTCTGTTTTGGTTCCCAATTCAGAATCATCGTTAAATACCAGCAACAGTGAATGTATGGAGCTATATGTAGAAAAAGGAAGAACCAACTCCGAGCACTGAAACGAAGAACTTGTTTCTTTTTCAAAGTTCTTCATAGTTGACATTAAGGTTTAAATGTCAGAAATCGGAAGAAAAAAGGAAGAACCAACTCCGAGCACTGAAACGAAGCACTTGTTTCTGTTTCAAAGTTCTTTATAGTTAACATTAAGGTTTAAATGTCTTAGAAATCAAATCCTTGATAAATCTTTTCTTCATAAAGTATGCTCTTAACAGAAAATTTTGAAAATTAAGAGAAACAGAAAAGCCTACGCTTTCCCGATTTTCAGCGGGTGATCGTCGGGTGCGATGAAGTGAAGTCGAAGAAAGAAAAGCATCATCGTGCATGTTTGCGTGTGCCCAATCACCGAGAACTCGAGAACCTCAATAGTGAAACTTTTGATGATGACAATAAGATCAATAAACAATAAAGAAACAATAAAGAAACAATAAAGAAAACTATAAAATACCCGCTGACCATTACCGACAGGGCTTTTGCTTATCGATTTTGCAAAATGATAAGTAAAAGTAAATCTATTATCTACCAAATCTACATTTACATTCACATACGGTCAGGATTTCGGTGGATATGCCGATCCACGTCATCCAGCCGAACGAAGACGATCAGCGGAAAGAGCAAATATGGGGACGCTCCATCAGCCGTTATATGATCACAACAGGTCGTTGTCACCTAAAAGAGATTAGCTAATGTTTTTTCTAATCAGAAATACTATTTCTTGAACCAATTGAATTTTGCTGGCTTTTATTGATAAAATTGGCTGATTTTTGCAGATTTCCTCACTTGTAAAACAGCCAACGCCCACGCGTACTCCCCCATCTCTTTTGGAGAGTGCCGCAGAATGGTGTAGAGACCAAAGAGATTCATCAATGTGCCACCTACTGAAAAAAGTTGATTTTCAGAATGAATATAGTCGGCGTTGGGTGCAGATTTTAGAAAAAGATCTAGACTTATTCATCATAAGCCTGGAGCTCCTAGAATAGAATAGCCTCCCTCAAGTCTTATTCATCACAAGCCCTTCTCCTAGAAGTCCAATCCAATAGCCCTCAAGACTAAACTATTTTTCTAGCTTATTTTGTTTGTTTATAAGCCAGAAATGTCCAGCGAATGAATCAAAGATACCCCGCCTGAAAGAACTTCAATTATCGTAAAGACAAAGTCTTGCGAGTGAGCATCGAATTCGATAGCAGCTGAATTCATGAATGCTACAAAATTATATTTATATTGGATGGATGAACCAAGGATTTGACTCAAATGAGACTCAAACCAAAACTCGGAAAATTTAATAGAATTTCGCGATAAAGCTTTCTCAATAAAGCGAATTTGGATCAAAAACTAAAAAATAGAATCAATTAATGCAATAAATTGCAATAAACCATTTTTTTTCTAAATAAAGTCATTACAAAAAGGCTAATCAAGTGCCGATTGTAGCAGAGAGATGGTGAGAGTTTGATAAAAAGAAGAATAAAAGGTCACCGAGTTGACAGGTGCATTCAGCTTTCATTTTTGCATAGATTTCGGCTACATACCAGAACTCTGGAAAGTTCTATGACTAAATATATATCCATTAGATCTAAAATAATCCTGTATCTGTCTATTTAACAATCTTTTGTGATCTCTAGCCACATCCCCTGTCCACTGAGAAAGATTTTCATGATTAGAGTTTCAAAAATATGAACGTTGCTCGTCCGAACTTTTAGCACATAATAAATCTCGTTGCCCAAGTACTCTAGGATCAATCGCAGTTCCCAGTATGTTCGAGAACTGCCGCCTCGGCCAGTGCAGCCTTTTGAACCGCTTCGAAAAAGTCTCGTGGACTCAAGTCAAATAGGAACACAAAGCACGGAGACTTGATGTATTTTCGTGCTTTTTCGAAAGGCAACAGTTTTGTAGTCCATTTGATTTTCTGAACTCCAGAAAAATCGGTTCTGATGAAAAGCAGGATTCGGTCGAGCAGGAACCAGGAGTCCTTGTTAAAAAACGACCCCTTGCATAGCGCGTTTGACCTCCTTTCATAAATGAAATAATTGATGAATCAAAGATCAGAGCCCAAAAGAGTGCAATGGCAGTGGTTGATTGCAAGTTTTCTCGATGATGATGATGTTTGGTAATGTCTGTGTGAGAGCTCTAAGTTCTCTACGTTGCTCGTGAAAATGCATTAGGTAGTCGATGACGGCATTTCTTCGAAAAACAATCTAAAGAATCAGCCCTAGAATCTGAAGCTGCGGTTTGTTTTGCGAAGGTTTTATTGTATTTCTTGCACAAAAATCCCCGATTCAGATTGAATGGTTAAAGCACTGTGCTCTGAACAAGCATTTCTTAAACAAAAGTTCTTAAAATAGAATCTATATGGGAATGTTGTGGCTCTAAAAAGAAATTTTTTTTGACAGAAGAAACCTTTATGCTTTTTGAGTACGAATTAATCCTTTTCAAATTTCTCCACCAGGAGGCGTCAAAGCCCGCAAAAAAAAAACCGAAATTCGGTGAAATTCTTATTTTAAAAAATTGCACATATTACACTTAATAAAATTGAATAAAAAGTGAATGGTCACACAAAAGTAACTTTCCAAACCATAAAACATGAACCAAAAAGGTGAACCATTCACGAAATTTACTAAAAGCCTAAAAATAATTCATGAAACAAAAAAATCAGACGCTACTACACTTAGGTGGCATTTTATACTTCGCTTTCGTAAGTTTTTAACTTTTTCTGGGGTAAAATAGGGTTCATTTACAGTATCGGGGGGGTTGAATGCATGAACTGAACATGAACTTCACAAAAAACCCATGAACACATGACATTATAAAATGATTTTTGCGATATTGAGATATTCAGCTAATAGCCTTGTCTGAATCTTTTGATTTACTTAAAATAAAGCTGGAAGAAAAAACGGGACCATGACAATACCGCACCGCCATTTGCGCACACAAACAAAAGCGTCTTTTGCGCACGTGTTTTTGCGCAACGTCATTTGCGCTCACGAACAAAAGCGTGATTTTGATGATTGATTGATGACATTATAAGATGATTTTTGCGGTATTGAGATATTCAGTTAACAACCTTGCCTAAATCTTTTGATTTACTTAAAATAAAGCTGGGAGAAAAAAAGGGAATATGATTTTGTATTGTTCGATCGAACCAAAATTCTATTTCGTGCCCCGTCATGAAACTGTTTGAAGTACCGTAGGAAGGGCGTATATAACACAAGAAATTTGGCAAAATTTTCATTCTGGACTTGCTGGATTGCAGTTTTGTAACAAATTTTAGTAGAGTGTATATTCTGGCATTCAATGAAGCCAATCTCCACATGAGTTGATCAAACACATAAAATATTATTTTGTAGACGAAAAAGAAAAGTTTACGCAGTAAAGCTTTTGCAGAGAGTCACAAAAAGACATTTTTTTGCTCAACTCACTATAACTTTCTTCTGAGCGGGTCAATTCTTATGATTTTAGTGTCATTTCGCTGCACTCAACAGGAGCAACAAAATAAAAATAATAAAATCATAAAGATCGGTTCACTCCGAAGAAAGTTATGGTTTAAATCTGATTTTGATCTGATCTATCGAAACTTTGATCTGATCTACCGAAGCAGTCATCGTAACTAGTACAAAATGCCACCTAAGTGTAGTAGTATCTGATTTTTTTGGGTTTTAGAAGTTATTTTTGAGCATTTAGTAAATTTCGTGACTCGTGGTTCACCTTTTTGGTTCATGTTTTATGGTTTGGAAAGTTAATGTTGCGTGACCATTCACTTTTTATTAAATTCTAGTAAGTGTGATACGTGCAGTTTTTTAAATAAGTTATCCCCAACTTTATAGTTTTACTTGCTGCAGCTTATGTGCGTGTGCTAAGTGTATACGTACGACATTGTTGCTTGATTTTAACTAGCAGCAATACCTACTTTTGGGCGCAAGTGCAATCTACCTTTAGGCTCTATTCTAAACATTCTTTTAAAATGTTTCTTTATTCAAGAATTTTATCTACTTAATTATTTTTTATCTTTAGTCGGATTTTCGCTCGTTACTTGCTGCTCAATTGCAAAAGATGGATGGAATCGCTCAACAACATGTCAAGGCGAACGCTGGAGTTGCCGTTCAAAAGCGTGAGTTTGTTTTTTTTCATCTAACTACTTGCTAAGTAAGCACTGGTCTCCAGTTGGCTAGTTCTAAAATGTATGTAGTTTGCCTAGATGGCATGTGGCTGAGTGTAGTTTTAGGTTACTGAATAGATCTTTTGGTTCCTTTTCGTACATCCGTTCAAAACCAACAAATGCACCAATTGAACCACGGTTTGTTTCATTAGAAAGGCCAATTATTTTTCTACAAAATTACATTAAAACTTTTTAAATGTCTTATCTCTGGATTTTTTGGGAGTGTCAAGTCCAGTAGTCAAAAAGGGCGACGGCTTGATGATGCGATTTAGACACTTTAGCTAAGGACAGCCTAGATGACATGTAGCTGAGTGTGGTACAAACTCGCGTTTTGCATTAAGCTAGAGTATAGTTTGCAAGTATAGGTCATTAGCAGCTGTAGCGTTGTTTTAATTTGCCTGAATGACTGAAACCTTAATAGAAAGCCGATATTCTTGTTGTTTAGTCTAATGCTACCAATGTTATTTCATTTTTTTTTCGGGTAATCAAACATACTGGATCTATTGATGATATTTTTAGAGTGTTTTGAATAGTTTTCACTTTGTATTTCTTGCACCCCTGGCCTCATTTTCGGCACTGCACCAAATGCCCCCCTCGAACTTTACCAGGGAATTTTGAAATGCTAATGTTTTTTAAGGCGCGAAAAATGTCTGATGACCAGATGTACAGCTACCAATGACCTATATTTGCAAACTATACTCTAGATTAATTTAAAACACGAGTTTTGATTAGGTTGGTGAATAAGTCTTTTCGTTCCTTTTCATACATACATCGTTGAAAAATAACAAATTGACCATTTAACCTATGGTTTGCTCTAAATAAAAAGTGTTTATTGTTTAATTTCCCATCTTATTAAGTCACTATCAGCAAATTCGACGGTGAAAACACGCGTTTTTCGTAAAAATCGTTAAAAAACTTTACGGAGAAATTGGTGAATCATTTTCTTTGAATTGGCTATATACCTAACTTTTTGTGCTCTATCTTTTATCTATTGACACCAATATTGGTCCCCAGAGCTGAAATGTCTAAACAGCATCATCGAGCCGTCCCCCTTTTTGACTACTTAACTTCACGCTTCCAAAAAATTCAGACATGTGGCATTTTAAATTCGTTTTAATTTTATTTTGCAGAAAAATAATTGACCTTTCTAATGAAACAAACCGTAGCTCTAAAAAAGTCAACAATTTGCATTTGTTTGGTGCATTTGTTCTTTTAAACGAAAGGACGAAAAGACTTTCTGGACAGCCTAATTAGTACCAATTTCCTTCCTTCAAAACTACAAGGAGGAATAAACAGCATGAGTATTATTTTTTTTAATTTCATTAATTTCCTTCATTTTAGTTGCAACGGATCGTGTGATTGAAGGCTTGACTTCCAAATTTCGACGATTATCTCTTATTGACCTTAGATCTGAGAGAACCGCCATCGTTCAGGGGTAGATATAGTTTTCACTTGCTTTCCCTAACTGTTATCAATTATTATTTAGCATTTCAAGCAAAGTTCGATCTGCCCGCCGATCAGCTCGACAGTCACTGGATTCGTTCCCCACATGCTATGTTGAGAGGAATGATCGAAGACGCATCGAAGAAGCTTTGTTTCAAGCTCATCTCACGTCAGGTATTGTACGGCTATTCGTTGTGCTAATGGTTCTAGCTTTTTTCTATATATTTATTTTAGACGAATCGGTGTTTCGATCTATTTCTGTTGCTGCGAAAGAAATAGGAGATGGACTACGAGCAAACTATGGAATACGAACACGTTCAATGGCTGCCAATCCGTGCCATCTAAGCGTCAATGAAACTAACAAGAAGCTCGAAGATCTCGTTGCACAAATTGATGAGAATCGAGTAAGTGCCCTACTACATGGTAACTTACATTTACTATGAATTTAGCTTGTTCAATTTTCCTCTCGGGCTTGTTTGCCGCTAGAGCTTGCAGATGTTGGTGGAAACGATTACGCGTTCGACATTATCAACTATTTTCTTCACAACCAGGTACTTACTATATTCTGAAATTACTTATTAGATAAAATAAGAGAACATTTAGAAAAATTTCCTAGATTGATTTTTAAACTAAAAACTACAAATAAATATGTGTTGTTCTCTTTGTAGGATATTTTATGGATATTTAACATGCGTCTTTTTTTGAAAAAAAACCAAAACTGCCTTTTTAGATGCCATGCGAAAATGTTTCTTCCCACTTTCCTGAGATTAAACGAGCCCAAATGGTTGATTGGATTTTTTGGATCTCTCGCGTGGTCAGGCTACCAAATGAATCGTATTTTTTGGCAGTACACATGTTAGATAAAGCACTAATGGTTAGTTTATCATATTTTTACCTAATAAAAACTTTTTAGGTTGACAAAAATATTTCTGAAATGTCGGATGTGGAAAACCGAGTTGTTATGGTGGCAGCGGTGAAAATTGCTGGAAGATTCGAACTAGGTCCCGAATATGAAAATGAAATGGTATAACTTGTCACGTTAATTTTTCAAACAATCTTTTAGTGTAATCGTCTTAAGTCGGTTGTTTGCAATGATAAACTACAGTGCCAAGAGGACAAAATTAATCAATGGGAATCACAGGTTGACCTTCCTTTTATCTTTTAAGGTGACTGGAAAAATGTTTTAGCTTCTGAAATTTTTTGACTTTGCCGTTTCACGCAAACACTTATTACACTTTCTTCGTATTTTTGGGTAAGCTTTTTTAGATGCTTTTAAGGTCTTTCCTAAAGTATGTTTTTAGTTATTGATCGGTGATGTCATGAGTGAAATTGAGCGAGAAAATGGTTGGGCGACGGTGAAGGGATTAGCGTATATCGCAATGACCAAAGCACCTCTGATGAGTAATAGTCCTTCGCTTGTTGCTGCTGCCATTATGCGGATAGCTCTTCACCTGTTTTATAATCGTCGTCAACTTTCGGAGAATAAAGTTTGTTTTTCTAAAGAAGTGGTGATAAGTGAGTTTACACAGTTTCTCCAAATCGTCTCGAGCCTTCTACACGAAGAAAGCCAATACGTGCCAATCGCCACAAATTTTTTAAATTGGATGTTGTCTTCTCCAACTTCAAAATACATTCCAACGGTAAGTTATTTCAATTATTGATCATAGTTGTTGGAGTTTGTAGATCGCTCGTATGTTTAAAGCGAATCAAGATCATCCCAGTAAAGAAGAGCTGGAAATTATTGCCTCTGAACTAAAGAACTTTGACAAGTATTTGCGTAGAGGCTAAAACCTTGATCTAGCATTTGTGAAAGAAAGTTTGTATTTTATGTATTTTATGACATTTTATTGTATACTACCGTGAGTGCTTTAATAGAGCGTCCCCTATAGGAGCGTTGCGTAGTACTAGAGGGGCGTTTTATTAAAGCATTTAATCCTGTGAGTGCATTTAAAAATTTGTAACATGCTCTATGCCGAAATAAATATAATATAACAAACTTAATTGTATTTGACATTCAAATACTTCATTGCATTTGCAGAAAAGGCGAAAATTGCACCAAAATTAGAGTATGTTCCTCGTGACTAATGTATTTTGCAAAAGGTAACTGATTTTGAAAACCACGTAATTTTTAGTACGGCAGCCCGGATGAGCTCCTAATTAAGTGGATCGGGAAAAATTTAGAAGAAAGATTACGGTAGCTTTGCTTTTTGTGTTGATGACAATCCCTTGGACGATCTCTGTTTGTTTGTGCTCTAAAAATCATTCTTGTACAATTTTGTTCCTTTTTTGCGCTCTCAAACAAATCGAAGGGTTTTTTTGCATAGATAAACTTGTTCTTTGCCCAAATTTTGTGGTACTATATAAGTCTGAAGATTTCTTTATTTCGCATTTCTACAAAAATTTTATATTTTCGTGGCTTTGCCGAAAGAAAATCCTTAAACGTTCATGGGCTTTAAACAAAAAGAGAAGCAAAGATCAGTCACCAACTTTTCTAGATAGTGACCACCATTGGTGACTTGACGAAAGCGGAGACTTGTCAGCAGTGCGTGAACCATTTCGAGACTAGGATCAATCGACGTTTTGGTTATTTTTTTTGATAAGGTTTATGTTTTTTCGTTTTTGTTTTTCGTTTTTCAAGTGAGTGGGGTTTTTTTTCAAAAACTGCAACTATGTGGGTAGATTGTATCGGGTATTTTGTAGATATCTGTAGGTATTGTGTCTTTAAGTCAGAAATGAGCTAGAAATTCAAACAAAGAAGTTTTGATGATGAATTTGAAATCAAATAACTCGAAAAATACATATAGCCAAGTGTATTCACTAAAATCGATTAAAATATTAACCCTAGAAATTCATATTTTGCGAATTTGTATGTGTAATGTAAAAAATGAACTTATAAACGTATAAAATGGAAATGTTTTGTAACTTTGTAAATCCTCTAATCCTGTAAATCCTTTTATAATCAATCTTCACTCTTTTTTTAGTAAAGCTTTTAGAAATGCTCTCAAAAAATCCTTAAATTCAATTTTACAGGCGTAATTTTAACAGTAAAACTATGAGAATTTCGTATGGTTTTGAGCAGCCTTGTCAGGATATAATTGACAGGCGAAATGGGGTAAATTTGAAGTCCCTTCCCGAAACGCCTGCGAGCCTGCTCAAATGCTGGTGGTTGATTAGAATTTGATAGTTGATTCTTAATTGTTAATGTACAATAAATGTTATTCAGTTAAAAATTTCTCTTTTCTTGCTCTTGTTTGCCTTAAAATCAGAACTTCTTGTTGGGTTTTGAGCAGCCTTGTCAGGACACAATTGACAGGCTAAATGGGGTAAATGGCGCACCCAGTATCTTTTAGAAACATCGTATAGTGTGGTCTATAGGATAGACTCACATTCGTATAGTGATCACAAAATCGAACACTCTGTGGAGTGTTGTTTTCTAAAAATAAAACGGAGTGATATGAAAACCGTACCTAGCCATAGAAAATCTGTAGTTGGACTAAAGTCAAAAACGAATGTCCCTTTGTTGTGGTTTCAATTTTGCAAAAATCCCCAGACTCGTAAAGTCCAAATGTTCAAGAATCGTATAAATGTGATATTGGATTTGATTCTTTTTCGAAGAGATCATCCATTCAATTGGATCCCTATAAAAGGCTGGTCAGAATACCGGAAATGCAACAAAAAAAATCGAACGATGAAACTGTTCTTCTCGATCCTTGTTCTCCTCTCAATCATTCATGTTTTCGAAGCTTTGAAACATCGGGTGCCTCACCGGAAAGTTGTCCCAAAACGAAAAAATACTGTCGCGAAAAGGGTAGGTGTGAACTTATAAAGGTATAAAATATGTGAACAAATTACTAGCAATATAGACTTATATTTGGATACCGTGGATGCCCATTTTCCTATGTTCTTCTTGTTTGGATCACCTATTATTGTTTGATTGATTGAATAGACTGATTAGGACTAGTATTGTAAGACTAGATGAACTATGAAATGAAATCTTGTGGGGCTACAAGCTATTCACACATAAATCGCATTTCCCAGGGCGCAGATGATCCGATTTGTGAGTGCACGCCTCCGCTGAGCAACCCCCAACCACCGTACTACACTCAGAACAAGCCTGGGCTAAGGTAAACTGATATTCTTTGGTTTTAGAGCTAAAGATAGGCATTGATTGGTATTGGTGAGCCGAGTCGAGTCTCCTAAAAAAAGACTTTTCTTTGCAGTGACTGTGTGAAGCAAGACTGGTCATTTGCCTGTGATGGATCGGATTCTGATGTGCTCGAGATCGCCCTTTACGATGATGTGAGTCGGTCGCTATATCACCACTTAAAATGTTTCAGCATGGGAACGCGTTGTTGAATTGGGTTTATTGTGCTGCTTGGGACTATACTTGGAATGGGGAGTGTGCCACGTGGAATGGGGGAACTTTCGAACTCAACTATCCAACATACGATGTGGGTATTGTTTGTGTCATTAGAGTACATTCACACATTCGTCTCCGGCATCTTTTGAATGCTTCTTTAGGGTTCTCTCGTTGCCTACCATAACTGTACAAACTGGGGCTCGGACTCGAGTCAGTGTCCTTGAAACAATCAGATCAAACAATGAGAAGTATCCCAATATTGTAGTTCTTCATTTGTAAATAATATTCCGCAATGTATCTCAAATAAAAGCTTTGACAAGTATTACGAACATGGCAATAAAAGCACAAGCGTCTGAACTATGAAGAGATTACTGTTTTGGCCAGAGCTTGCCATCACCTGGGCTCCTTTTCGTCATTTCAACTTTGATAAACTTTAGATGAGAATAACAAAACTTGTAAACCAAATATGATCTTTTGAAGCGCTTGTTTTTATGATCATTTATTCAACAAGTAATCAAATTTGTGAGAATCAGCACGATTCAGCACTTAGTTGTAGAATGGAACAGTATCGACAGCACTTCCGGCAGTCCAAAATTCTTTGATGTCAGCGAGAAAGGCGTCGAAAGGATCAACCTTGCGCCCAAAATTGATTCGCTTATTCGAAAAACGCTTGGCTTTTTTAGAATCTACAAACAAAAGCCAATAAATAAAGCAATACAAGTCTTCTCTGGAGGACACTTGCTGCTGTCAAACCATGAGCACAGCGTTCTTTTTGAGCTAAACTGTTTAAAATCTATGAGATTACCAATGTCTCGCCGATCTCGACATTTGTCTCAATGAATGGACAGCAAAAAGTTGGGAATTTACAAAGCCCACAGAAGAAATAGAGAAACTCTAAAGTTTGCCAATTGAAACCTAGGAGAATGGTAAGAAATCTTTTCATTCACTTCACAAATATCATCAGAAACATAGCGAAAAATAGATGATTTCAAGACATTATTTCAATGACCTCCAGTAATTGAAATTAGTTCTAGCTAATCAGAAAGTAGACGACCAGCTCTCTTCTAATGGTATCAGTTCGAAAATGTTTCCTTTTCAGCAACCTGGTCGTACGCACTCTCAACTTGTCGTGATGACGGAGGCGAATTTATCTCGATTCACAACGCCTTCGAGAACGCCGTTTGGGCCAGCATTCAACAATGTAATCGAAGATTTTCTCTATAAAACACTTAAAACGGGGTTTTTTTAAACTCTTAATGCGGTAAACGTCATTTAGATGCATCTTTTCCCGTAGAGGATTTCTTGCTGGGTGCTCGGGTCGGACAGAACGATTCAGGATGACAGAACGTGGGCCTGGTCGGATGGGTTCATAGCGCATCAGACCTCCCCCCAGGATGACAACAAGTTTTACCTGTGCTGTCTCAAAACCTTTTGTCATCTTGGGGGGAGGTCTTATGTTTAGTTTTTTTTGGTGATTTGAAAACGGATTTTTTGCAACAACAACAACAACTAGTAAACTAGCCCCCGATCCCCCTCCCCCAAGCACTCCCCGGTGACGGAGGGGTCACCCTGAGCTATCTTGGAGGAACCACCCTGACCTCAAGCTCTGACGAAGACATAAATGTGCCAAAGGTCGATTTTTGACTACCACTAGACGTGACAATGTTTGTAACAAAAATACTCGACTAGCATCCAGTTAAAGCGGCTATTTTATAAGATCATAAATCAAGTTTAATAATAAAAATTAATGATTGAAAAAAGACGTGTCTGAGTCCTGGGAATAGAATCCTCAAAAATATCTCATGTAGTCTCAAAAAGTGGCAAGTTCTTATTCGAAAATTTTAATTTTATGCTTATTTTGGTTAACGAGTTTGTACAAACATATTGGCTTGAAAAGTTTTTGAATCTAGCTGTAAATCGCTGTATATCTACTGTATCTAGTAGTCGTTTTTCTCTAAATGTTCTTTTGTGTTCGTTTTCTCGGAATTTCCCCTGATTAGTAGAGTTTTTTTGTGATTGGAACGTGCGATAAACTCTTTCAAAAGCCCCACCGAAACATGCATTCACTTTATTTGTTTAATTTAATCTTTATTTGTTGAATTTGAAAAAGATTGTGTTTGTAAACTTTATTAACGCATGAAGTTTTAAATACCTAAATGAAAACAAGAAAAAGACATGATGGCAGTATTTTATAAAAGTGATTCCTTTGTGTTAAAAGTGTTAAAACTAGAAACAAGAACCTAGAAATATCAGAGCAAAAGATTTAGGTTTTCTAGACAGAAGGAGAAATTTCTCGTTGTTCTGGATTCTCAATTCTGTTAGCATTCTTATCGGATTTCTCATGAGGATTCCGGTTTCCAGTTACAATCCAATCATCGTTATAAATCAATGCGCCAGTTGGGATATCTTTCCAAAAAATCGCTTTTTCTCTTGTCCTTTTTGGTAGTGAATCTCTTCTTTCAATGTCCTCCATGATAACATGTCCCTTGATTTTCGGGATTCCTTTCAGTGCTGAATTTTTCTCTTCAGTCCAATCTTCGTCAGACTTGTACTTAAATTCAAAACCAAAATGGGCATCCGATGGTAGACACGGGTAAAGATTTCGGCTCGTTGGATTATCGAGATTGATCTCTGCGATGAACTGAATCATTGTGTTATTCACGTCGATCATAACTTTTGCTTCCCATTGAACCGGCACATAAACAAGAGAATCTTGCATGCACTTTGTCACTTCAAACTCTTCATCTCGAATTTTAAATGGTTGCTGATTGTTTATGAAATCGCAGATCGAGTCCAGGAGTTTGTTAACATCGAAAGTAGCATTTTCAGCAGAGAACTCAACATTCTTGACATTAAGCTCATGATTTTAAAAAAACGAAACAAGAATGTTTTTGATTTTTTGATTACTAACGCCTTTTTCGAGAGAAGGAAGCATTTTATTTGTTAGCGCTTTTGATTTCAGTGGATCGTTTATTGCGCGATCGATCTCATTTTCAAGCTCTTGAACGTTTACTCCATATTTCAGGACCGAGACAATCGCTTTCTTCAGTTCTTCCTTATTCACACCACCCGCTAGAAATCTCTGTAGAACAACAGTTTCTCGATATCTGCTCCAAATCAAATTCAATCGTTTACGAGCCTCTAGATAAGCTTCTTTTAAATGTGCTTTAATTGTTCTCCTTTTCGGTATTCTTACATCAATATCAGGATTTGCAATCCATTTGTTCGTGCTTTTTGTCAACCCTCCATATAGAGTCAAACTGAGCTCAACTGTGTGCTTTCCATTGCAAATTTCTTCACGAATCACCTCATCATTTTCGATACAGTCTGCAATTTTCTCTCTCAAAAACTTATTGCATAAATCTTGAATCTCCGGCACTCTTTGCTTCAAAGCGTCCAACAAACAGTCATATCCCTCACTGAGTGACTGAATGATTTGATCTTGACTGTTTTTCGCATTGAAATGCTCATCCTGATGAACAATCGTGATTTCTTTTGCAGACACCGTACTTCCCGAGGAATAAGTGAAACTTTCTCCATTCGCACCCTCAATTCTGATAATATATCCATCATTTGTTTTATATGTGATCTCATTTAGATGAGTATCTAAGAAGTTGCAAAATGCCTTCACACATTGTAAATCCATATGGCCACCCTCTCGAATGATATTCGCGAAGAGAAGAGAACAACGAGTTTTTATTTTCAGTTCATTTAGGAAAGTCTGATAGGTATAGTCGATTTGGTGATGCATCTCTGGTGATTCCAAAGCTTGTTGTTTATCCTTTTGATATTTCTCCTTTGCTTGTTTAAAGTCTTCGGCTGGATCACCACTCTTTCCTTGAATTTGATTCGAAGCATCACCCTGAAAAATATACACGGTATCTCAAAAGTTCCGACACTTTTTTTGTAAACAGTAATTTCTTTTGACTTGAAAACACGTCTAACATAGGATTCTAAAAATTCAGGTATTTTTACCATAAAAAGACTTAAACTCTCAACAACTTTTTGACGAGGATCTTTTACATTGAAGTCGATGAAGATCTTTTGCGAACGTTGATTTAAACTTTTCTACGAAAAAGTTCTATAAAATTTCTACGAAAAACTTTTGTTCCCAATTGATTAAGCGAAGTTTTTTTTTCCTTGAAAACAAGCTATAAAGAAAGTTAATAACTTAATAAAAGATTTTCAAGCAATTCACGAAGGGCACCCTGATCTCTAAATCAGAAAAAAAACACTACAATGTAATGTAGTGTTAAACATCATTAAAAAGTTTTTTGAAGTCGCAATTTTGGATATAAAAAGAGTATAATAGGGCGAAATCACTAAAATTTCATAAGCCGACGTTAGTTTTCCAAAACCTGTATATTCAAAATTCAAATAATCCGAAAAAGAAAGCTTTGAAAAGGTTCAGAAAGTTGTTTTCCTAGTCAAAATGACCTCTTACAAAAAGTCTCAAAACTTTTGAGAAGTCCTTTATTAAATACTTTATATTTCATTTTCTTTTTCAATATTTTTATGTGATTTTCTTTTCTTAAAGGCTTACCTGTCCAGCTGAGGATGAAATTGATTGCTCTTCTTTTTGAATTGCTTGTCGCTTGTTCAACACATCCAGGTCTTCACCAGCGTTGACCTAAACAAAATTTGTTATCTGTTAATTTTAAAGGGAAGAGAGGGGTGTCTTTTAAGTCATATATGAAAAAACGTCATTTTTTTGTGCACACAAACCATTTCTGAAGCTTCGCCAAGTCTTCTTTTCCGGATTATGTGATTTTTGTTTGTCACTTCAGAGGTCTGCTCATTTTTCTCTTGTTCGCTCTAAAAAATTACTTTTTTTTTTCGGAAATCTTTTTGCTGTCTTTAAAAACCTGTGAATTTTGAATATACAAGCCCAATGCCATTACCCGGGAGTATTTTGAGGCTGGCAAGAAAGCTCCTTTTATCCCAGAAGTTTAAATAAAACAAATATGTTTCTTTACCGGAAAATTCAAATATAGTTCTTCTTTTTTGTCGGATTCATTCGGTTCTAACGTTGTTTCCATCGAATGTTCGTCTGTGTGATTCATTTCTGAAAAATATCAATTATGAAATCTGAAAAGTATAAATGATTTGGGGAAATTTAGAAAATTTCAATGTAGAAGTGCAAGGAGAGAAAAGGGAGAGGGAATGGGAAGAGATTGGTGAACTCTACTGCAACTGGGGAAGCCAAAAAAAAACTAAAGAAGGTTTAAAAACTATAGAAACTTGTGGTAAGAGTGAAAACTTATTCAAAGAACTTTAGAAAAAAGTAAAATTTCGAAACAAGCTAAAACGAGCGTTAAGTAAATTATGTTAGAAAATAGAGCAGAATGCAAAAATGATGACAAAAAGGAAATTCGAAAAGAAGAAAAGGCACGATTGAATGAGGGGAAAAAGGGAAAAAGTGGAGGAGGGAAAAAGAATATGACCTGTGAGGGAAAAAAGAATACACATTGAAGCTCGTTGCTGGTGATTCCTTATCTGAGTGATTATTCGATCAGGGTTTTACCCATCTAAGAATTGAGAAAATCTTAATTTACCATCAAGAATTTGAGTTTGACATTTATCGATTTTTGATCAATGGATTTTTGCCTCAATTATTGATTATTATAAAAGCTTGTACTTAAATTCTTTCCATTCTTCAAAATAATAAAAGTATACACAAAATATCAGCAAAACTAACGCAGTCACACCAAAATAACGATTGTTTTATGTATGCGTTTCGGAAAAAAAGTTTATCAAAGAAAACTTTTCTTTGTTTAAACAGCTTTATCGTTTTGGCTTTATCATTTTTTAAAATCATTTTTCTAAATGCTAAACCAACACATCATCAGTTGGTCTAGGTTTGGATCTCGATGTTCTAAGGAGACAAGCCGATGATTCCAAGTTTCCCCGGCAGTCTTCAAGAAATGGGATGATGTCAGCTGTGATGTACCTCAATGGTGTGTGCAAGATCAGTTGGTCAAAGTAGCGATGTTACTTTCGATAAAGCTAATGCAATGTGCAAAGAGAATGGCGCGTTGTTGACATCAATTCACTCGTCATCAAAAAGAATCAAATTGTTAACGGTAATTAAAACAAATTTTCAATAATGCCATTTAGTTCTTGAAAAATGGTAGAATTGGAAAATAATCAAATAGATTCTAGAGCTGTACACAAGTTGTCCAAGTTGAGTTTAAAACTCACCTTTTCCGTCATGATCAGCTTTCGGTTTGACGAGTTTCCACTGGATCGATGACTCACCCGTCAATTACGCTAAATGGCCATCAATCATCAATGACAACAATAACTTGCCGTTTTGTGTTTAGATTGGAACTGTTGTAAATTGATAAACCGTGTCAATTCTAGGTTTTGGATCTCGATTTTCTAAGGAGACGAGCCGATGATTCCAAGTTTCCCCGGCAGTCTTCAAGAAATGGGATGATGTCAGTTGTGATGTAACTCAATGGTGTGTGCAAGATCAGATTGGATAATTGGAAGAAATTGTTAAAATATTATTTTTGTTTTCCTTTGTTAATTGTTCAGAACCTTAGTGTTTGAAAGAAAAAAAAAACTTGCTTTTCATTTGTCCCAACGATTTCTGAAATTGCAGATGTCACTAATCTTTGCCATATTTTATGTCGTTTAAATTCTATTTTACAAAATAACTTAATTATACGGTGAATAGTTATCAAATATTGGGTTGGGGAGAATAAGTGGGCGCCGAAAATGAAAAAAATGTCTAAAACTTCTATTCGACTTCGTCAAATAATATGCGTTTGATATGAGTAGAATGGTTAACTAATTCTCTACAAAATCACATTTAAAAGAAAATTCAAACAGCGCCTCCGCTCAAGAAAAAGCCATTTTTTCACAAAAACTACAAACTGTGATCTAGAAAAAACCATTGGTGGGATCTTCCTGCAAATTTGGCAACTTAAGTAATTGAATGTGCTCTATCTTTTTTATATAAACACCAAAGAAGGTTTATGTGAAAGAAACTGTTCAAATGATGAGTCGGACTCTTTGCCATTTTAACCAGCTGCGTTTGGAAGTTCATAAACTCGACGAAAGAAAAGCTTTGTGGAATCTCTCAAAAGTGATTTTGTAGAGAAATAGTGGATCCTTTTGATGAAACCAAACGTATGTTTAAAGAAGGCTTTATGTGTGCAAAAAGTCCCTTTAAAGTTTGGCGCCGACTCATTCTCCCCAACCCAATAGTTATCAATGAAAACTATAATAAATGATAAAGAAAAAAAATGAGCCAAAAAACAAGGATTTTCAGTTTGATATGTGAGTAGAAAAACATAATTTAAATCATCGTCATTTCAAGTAATCTAAACTATTTTTAAAGAAATCTGCTTCTTTAATAAACTCGTCGATTTGTTCCAGATTCTTTTATAATTCGATTTGTTGTAGCGGTATTTCTAAAAAAGTGAAATTAGCATTTCTATTTTGACTAACAGTAATGTAATGTTTTACATTTCGATAGTTCATTCTTAATCTTGTATCTTATCGTTAAGCTGAGAAATTTATAAAATTGTAAAAACGCTGGGTTCTTTCTTGTCAACCTAATAGATTTTTAGCAGGAATGATCTTTTTTTTGAAATGCATTTGAAAGATTTTCTATGAAAGCACGAATCTAAAGAGTTTAAAATGTTAAAAAACAAAAACTATTGTAGAAATTGTGCTGAATCTGAACTGGAAACTGGAAAATCGATAATTTATTCAAAGCTCTCAATGGTTTCATTCAGCGATGGTCCATCATATCCTCCAATCCATTCCAAATTCATCAAACAATATGGTGCCATTTTTGCTTCTCCAATCGTTTCTTCGTAGTTCAAGAGCCGATTCGCATTCTTGAGCACAAATTGATCAAAAACTAGATGTTCCTTTGCCCATTCCCTGATCGATTCAACCGGCTCATAGACATCAAAAGTACCTTGAAGAACGAAATGATCGGGAAGTTCAATCCTAATCAATGAATACTTATATTTATAGCATTTCAACAGCACTTTGTCCCTTTCTCTCATTTCTTTTGTCCGCAATGCATCGATTTTCTTTTCGATTTCCTCGACTTTTTCTCGATTCTCCTCAAAATCTCCTGGTAATTTTGGACAAACCAATTTGAATCCAGCTGGTATTTCAAAAGTTTTTGTATCTCTTGCCAATTTAAGACGAATCGGTTCTTCTTTCACAATTTTCCTCCAATCATCCAAAAGCTTCTCAACGTCAATGCTTTTGCTTTTCGATAAGAATAGGCATTTAGATGGATCAAATGGATCTCCATCTTGAATCTCCTCAAATCCCAAGGCTAGCAGAATCTCCAGACAACCACTAATCGCCAGAATTTTCTCCTGAACTTTCGGATTTTCCATCCTAATCTGCCGATATCTTTTCTCATTCGGGAATTCAATTATTTTACTTAAAAGTTTCTTTATCGTTTCCACAGCTTCTTCACATCGCTTTTCACTGTTAAAGGCGTAAAGGAAGCGAATTGCTGAACATAAATCACTGGGATTTGTCTTGGATTGATTCAAAAGATGAGATTTCACCTTTTCTCGTAGTCCTTCTTTACTCAAAAGAAGTTTTTCTTCAAAAAGCACTGATGTAAAGTAAACACCATCGACTGGGGATCCCGAGATCACTTTTTTGGGCTTTTCAAGTGGCCTTTCAAGTGATGATAGATTATTCTCCATTCCTGTTTGAGGTGTTCTACTACTTTCAAATGCTTCCCAAATATCTTCATTCGATGAGTCAGTTTCTTCATTTCTTTGACTACATTTCGGCTTTTCAAGAAGTCTTTCAAATGATGATAGATTATTCCCTATTCCTGTTTGAGGTGTTCTACTACTTTCTAATGCTTCATTCGATGAATCAGTCTCTTCTTGTCTTTGAATACATTTGCAACAACTGAGTCCCATTCTTGACAACTCCTAAAAATACAGCTTTTCTTAACTTTTTTTTACACTAAACATTTCAAAAGCTTGTATTTAAAGGAAATAATTGAAAAACTAAATGAAAAAAATACAGCTTTTCTTAACTTTTCTTAACTTAAGCTGTAAACTCAAGTGGCTTAATGTCAATTTTCAGGCACTTACCTTGAGAAATGTTCCACTTTGGACGACAATCAGATTAAAATAAAATTTACGGATAAGCAATATTGTGTCTCACAAAAAAAAATCAATCCAAACTACCTCTTAGAAAGTTTATCAGTTTTTAACAAGAGGCGGAGTCCGGGAATCGAATAATCTTGCATCATAAAAGATTCTTTCGCAAGAAAGCATGAGTAAGAAAATCTTTGCGAAATGAAAATACTGGTTATTGAGAAAAAGTCATTTAATTGTGGTAAGCTTGATGGAAAAAGCACAATCATTTTCTGACTTATGTAAAATCCAGAGGAGTTAGGCACTTTAAAGCCAATTACTCACTTTTTGGCAGACAACTGTTCAACCGTCACTTCCTGTTGTTTGTCTCAGAATCAACGAGTTTTCCCAAATGAAAAGATTGATAAATCTTTTTCTGACATAATCTTTTCCTTTTTTCTACAAAAAAACAATTAGTTATTGGCAAAAGTGTGTCTTAATCTTTGCGAGAGTTTAGACTCACCAGACTTTACCTTTTGGAATTTTCCATTTGAAACAATCTTGGTGACTAGGGACAAGGCGAGTGGATTTCTGTGAGAGAAAAGCATTTTATTGAAACCAGTTAAGTTGATTCAAGCCGATCTCATGCCAAACGTTTCCCAAAACAAATCGATTTTATTGAAACCAGACTCTCTAGCCGGTCGAACCTCTTGAAGATCTTAAAATAACAAATTCTGTTCGGTGAACTTTTTTGAATGCGACTCCTAATTTCCGAACGAGTTCCGAGGATTCGCTTGAACTCAAAGACCTTGCGATTCTCTAATAAAGATATTACAATATTGAAGAAATTCAAACTGGATTTGCGTTCAGAAAAAAAAGAAAAGTCATCAAGAATTAATTGAACATTCAGAAAAACTGTGCACAAGAGAATGTTTCTTGCACAATTTATAAGGTTGTTTAGACATCTTTTTGCCTTTCAAAGTTTGATTTGCATTGTTTTCCAAACCTGAAAAACCTGCTTACAATCGATTACAAAAGATTTGTACAGATTTCAAGATTTTCTCTGTGAAGAATCCAGTCAAGGATCACGTTCTGACTCTCAAAATCCTCTTGTCATTCTTCTCTGAGATTCTTATCCTTTCAATTCTTCTCACTTTAAAATCCTCTTCCACTAAAAGGCTAAAGGAAAGATTCGCATTTCTGATTAATGTTCCTTTTGCAAATAATTTCCCTATTAACTTTCATTTATTCGATATTTTGTGAGAGTTGTCTAATTGGATTTAATCTGTCACCGAGGTTCCTTATCTTTACAAATTTGGTTCCTTCTCTCTCTAAACTTGGTTCCTTATCTCTCTAAATTTGGTTCCTTGTCTCTGCAAATCTGGTTCCTTATCTCTCTAAATTTGGTTCCTTATCTCTGCAAATCTGGTTCCTTATCTCTCTAAACTTGGTTCCTTATCTCTCTAAATTTGGTTCCTTATCTCTCTAAACTTGGTTCCTTATCCCTCTAAATTTGGTTCCTTGTCTCTCTAAATTTGATTCCTTATCTCTCTAAATTTGGTTCCTTATCTCTACAAATTTGGTTCCTTATCTCTGCAAATCTGTCACCGAAACAAATCCGAAAAAGACCGTCTGGCATTTGGGAGAATCGATTTGAGACAAATAATGTAAGTAAGTTATAAATTTTCATTCAAAATTTCATTTATAAGGATCGATCAAATCAATGGGAGTTTGGGTGTGAAATTTTGTATGATCCCGAAGAATATGTCATCGTCGATGCGAATGATGATGTGTGATTTGTATCGATTCATTCATGGGGCAAGAGTCTTGAGTGATGAGACGAAAAAGTTCAGTTTCAAGAGTCAAATTTTATGAATTTAATTGCAGAAGATGCTTTGAGAAGGTCACAGAAAAGAATGAGAAAACGAAAGTGCTCACGTTTTTCGTCACAAGAGAGCCCATTGAGAGATTCATTTCCGCGTACATTATGATTTGTTTTTAAGTTTTGTCGAACTTGTTTTAGGAAAAGGGTACTTTTCGGTTATACCCCCGCCATAAAAATAAATGTTTCCTCGCTGAAGTGGCTAATCGAAGTACCAAGACGCTCGTTGACAAGCTTTTGGAATTTATCACTAGGATCGATGATTTACAGGTTACTGACGTCAAAAACCTCTGCCGAACTGACATCAGGCTAGGCTAAGTTCATCGAGACTGTTGTGACTTGGGCAGAGATCTTTAACGTCCAAAAACCTCTGCTAAACTGACATCAAGCTAGCCTAAATTCACAAATACATACATTGATGCATGGGAGGCGCTCACCGCATAGTATCGTTTTTTAAAATTGTGGAGTGGTGGAGGTATAACCGAAATGGAGAAAAGTAGGTAAATTTGATGATCAGTCTATTATGAATTTGAGGAAATATCTGTAAAATTTGAAAATTTGCTCTCATCTTGCTTTGTTTTTAATCATTTACCATTTTCTAGACGATTAGGGAGTTGTTCCGAATCTCAACAAGAATCAGTTCATCCATTTATCGATCAACTTTATCAAGATTTTCGACAACATTTCCAGCCAAAATGGAATGGAAAAAGAGCGCAATTTGTTGAACAACATCTTGGATTGCAGACTTGGTGAGAAGAAAATAAATAAAATTAAATGATAATGATGAAAGTAAAAGGATTTAGGCATTGCAACTCAAAGCGCTCAACCATAATCAAAATGGGGAAAGGATTGAGTGATGATGTTGAGAGATATTTAGTCGAACATCAAGTTGCTGAGCTGTACGCAAGAATTGTATGAGTTTTTCTTTTAGTGAAAATCGTGTAGTGTAGCTTTTGAATGGTTTTATCAAAAATTTTTGACTAAGTTAAGTCAAAAAAATCTGGTTTTAGGCAACGGATCGTCTACGTGGGGATCATTTGAATGAGATGCCGATTGGACTACGCAAATTGAGAGAACACATTCGATCAGAGATCTACTCGAATTGTTCGTCTCTTCAAATCTATTTTGTCGATTTCATCGAATTGGGATATACGTTTCCCGTTTTTGAGGAAAATAGTTTCAATTCGAATTTGACAAATTCTGATTTTGCTTGCAAGAGTTCATACTGTAAACCTTGGTGTTATCGCTCTTGTTCGATGAATAAAAATGGGTAATTGATTGGAGATTTATCTGCTTTTTGATTCTTATTGAATCAATCAGAAATCGTTTATTATCAATAAAATAAAAAAAAACGGCTCTTATCAGAGAAATGAGCATTTGGCCAACCATCATCATAATGATTCTCTATGCATTTTGTAAAATCGGTAATAAGTATCATTAAATTTTCTTTTTAAAATTTTACATAAAAAGAGTACAAAAGACAACTAGAAACATTGCAAAATGTTTTTTCTTTTTCTTTTTCCAGGTTTAGGAGAGTTTTTAGAGTTACAAAAGCAAAACTTTCAAAATAAAAACACTTTGCAATAGTTTTAATAGCAAAAATCCAAGAGCTCAACAGAATAAACAGAGCTGACAAAGTGTTTCAACTACTGTGCTCTTTATTCACTCACAAGGTGTACCTCCTGTCACAAATACCGTATTTTCTCTAATATGATAAAAGTCGTCATGATGAGAAAATATGTGCCACCTGGAAATGGAAAATTAAATAGATATTATAGATGTCGTAGCCGCTTACGAAATTCAGCCGCTAACGAATGAGGGTATTTCCGGGCATCCAATCAAAAAGTCACCCACATAAAAAATGTTCACAATACATATATTTCATAATAAATTTTTGAAATTAGCTCATTTGGTTGAGTAGAAAATTTTTTTTGAGCCTCCAAAGTTTAGGATCAAAAATGCCCTAAAATGGCTATAAAAAATTTTCTACTCAGCCAAAAAACTTGCCTAATAGCTCATTTTGTAGCCAATTTGATGTAGTTTCTTAAAGTAAAGCCATCTAAAACAATTTTTCGTTGAAAGTAGGAGAAAGAGGGCGAGGAACAAATTCAGGGCAATTCTCAAATGTGAAAACAGCGACCGAGTTCAACTGAAGTCGTTCCTCGCCCTCTTTCTCCTAGCTTTGAAAAGCAAATGCTCAATGTAGCACTTTAAGCTTTACTTTAAGAAACTACATCAAATTGGCTACAAAATGAGCTATTAGGCAAGTTTTTTGGCTGAGTAGAAAATTTTTTATAGCCATTTTAGGGCATTTTTGATCCTAAACTTTGGAGGCTCAAAAAAAATTTTCTACTCAACCAAATGAGCTAATTTCAAAAATTTATTATGAAATATATGTATTGTGAACATTTTTTATGTGGGTGACTTTTTGATTGGATGCCCGGAAATACCCTCATTCGTTAGCGGCTGAATTTCGTAAGCGGCTACGACATATATACCGTATTTTCTCTAATAGTAGTCGACCCCGACGAGTTGGTGACTATTTTACGGTTTCGAAGCTTTTGCAGAAGCTCAACACTCAAATCCCCCACTAGATCTCATCGTCAGCTGTATTTTCCGGCCCCACATCGATAGGTTCTGATAAGCGGTTCTCGAGATTTCGAGCAATTTAGGCGACGCTCAGGGTGCACTACTATTAGAGAAAATACGGTAACTGAATCAAACGTGCCGACATTCTAAGCGAATTCCAGTGATCGGATTGGATTGGATGGATTGATTCCAGCTCTTTTTTTTGCCTATGCTTATGCTTTAAAGAAGTTGACGGATGCAAAGAAATGTGTTGATTTTGTTCAAATTTGTTTCTTGAAGAAAGGATGGCGATGTTTACATCAACGATCCGAGTTTGGCTCTGACCCTCAGCAAAGAGCTAAATAAAGTTTCATCAAATTTGGAAGTGTACTTTTTCTAACAAATTCAAGAATCCCTTTATCCCTAAAATCTTTTCACTTTCAAACCCACGATATATAAAGATTGTTTTCCTGTCAAAATCATACCAGTGTTCTACGAGCAACAAAACATTTATTTCGATCAAAGAAAACAAATGAATTCCATACGTATTTCTATTTCATTTCAAACATCAAAAATAACTGATTTTCATAAAATTAATAATGTTTTTTTTGAATTTAAAGGGTGCGTCATAATTGTCGTCAACAAGGTGTCGCGAAAAAAAAAAAAGAAAAACATTTTGCAATGTTTGCAAAACATTTTTAGGGCATTTTTGAACCTAAACTTTGGAGGCTCAAAAAAAATTTTCTACTGAACCAAATAAGCTAATTTCAAAAATTTATTATAAAATATATGTATTGTGAACATTTTTTATGTGGGTGACTTTTTGATTGGATGCCCGGAAATACCCTCATTCATTAGCGGCTGAATTTCGTAAGCGGCTACGACATCTATAATATCTATTTAATTTTCCATTTCCAGGTGGCACATATTTTCTCATCATGACGACTTTTATCATATTAGAGAAAATACGGTATTTGTGACAGGAGGTACACCTTGTGAGTGAATAAAGAGCACAGTAGTTGAAACACTTTGTCAGCTCTGTTTATTCTGTTGAGCTCTTGGATTTTTGCTATTAAAACTATTGCAAAGTGTTTTTATTTTGAAAGTTTTGCTTTTGTAACCCTAAAAACTCTCCTAAACCTGGAAAAAGAAAAAGAAAAAACATTTTGCAATGTTTCTAGTTGACTTTTGTACTCTTGTTATGTAAAAATTAAAAAGAAAATTTAATGGTACTTATTACAGATTTTACAAAATACATAGAGAATCATTATGACGATGGTTGGCTGTCTTGTTGACGAACAAAGTAATATGGATGATTGCAATCCACGGCCTTAGACAATCATCACTGTGACAGCCGCCAATTTCAACGATTTAATTCAAATCAACGCACTTTTCCAAGAATACAACGAAACAAATTTCGTCTTACAAGAGCTACTCAAATTATACGTGTGTGAAGTAATGGAAAACGAAAAGTTCAAAGATTCCAGTGAAAGAGAATTCTTTCGCCAGGGTACTCAGGATTTTCGATTATCCGGCCCAATCACTTTGGCATTATGATCAAATTCTTCTTTTCTTTTTTACCTATAAGTAATGCTCCACATCTTCTTCAGAATTTTCACTGCTTGGAATCAATCATTTTGTAATATCAATTCCTTGCCTAACCACTAATGTCGATTTCATCGAATTAGAATATCCGTTTCCTGTATTTGAGGGAAATATTGGGTTGGGGAGAATAGGTCGGCGCCGAAAATCAAAGAAATTTCTAAAACTTCTCGCAGACTTCGTCAAATGAAAAGCGTTTGATATCAGTAGAAAGGTTAACTAATTCTCTACAAAATGACATTTAAAAGAGAACTCAAACAGCGCCTCAGCTCAACAGAAGACCATTTTTTCACAAAATCGATAAACTGTCATCTAGAGTAAACCGTTGGAGGGATCTTCCTGAAAATTTGGTAACTTATGTAATTGAGTGTGCTCTATCTTTTTTATATAAACACCAAAGGAGGTTTATGTGGAAGAAACTGTTCAAGCAATGAGTCGGACTTTTTGTCATTTTGATTAGCTGTGTTTGGGAATCCATAAAATCCCAAAAAAGAAAAGCTTTGTGGAATCTCTCAAAAGCCATTTTGTAAAGAAATAGTCGACCATTTTGATGAAACAAAACGTGTATTTAAAGAAGGTTTTATGGGTGCAAAAAGTTTCTTTAAATTTCGGCGCCGACTCATTCTCCCCAACCCAATAGATTAAATTCGAATTTGACAAATTCTGATTTTGCTTTTAAGAGTTCTTACTGTAGACATTGGTGTTATTAATCTTGTTTAATGAATACCTAAACATGTGTCAAAACAAATTTCCATAGAAAATGAAAGATGGATTGTCCGAATCAAAGTGGATAATTCAAAGTGGTTGCTGAAGCAATCGATTATTAAATTTAACTATTCGACTATTAAATTTAAAATTTGAATTTTAATCCAATCCAATCCAATGAAATCCAATGAAGAGTATTCTGAAAGAAATTCATTTCAAGGTTTACGACCAATTCTACTCTTTGAACAACTTCAAGATCAACTATAAAAACACAAAAGCGATGATTTGCTTTCCATAGATTTTTCAGATTGTTTTGCTTCAATAAACGATTGATAATTTAGATTTAAAATGGAAAAAAATGCGTACACTTTAGTAGAGTTTATCAACAAACTTCAGAAAAAATATAAAAAGCAGAAAAAGGCGTCACTTCTTCTCAATCAGACTTTCCGTTCAGAGAAGAAAATGGGTTTAAAGATAATACTTTTCTTTTCTTTTCCATTTGACCACTCCTTTCCTCTTTTCCAGCTACGATTTTTGCAAATTTACTCAATATGAAATGGTTCATTTTTGGATCAATACTTGCTTTTGCTTTGGCAAAACATAATCCTACAAATCTTGTCGATTATGGTAAGTTTTTTCTAATATTACCTGAATGAATTATTGAATTGTTGGTACTTTAAAGAATAACACTAGTTCAGGCTAGTTTTTTGGAGTGGCTTGAGTTCGGTGACGATACTAAAAGCACCATAACATTGATGGAGGTTAACTGCTAGCTTGCTCTTTTTACACGAACTCTTTCCGTCTTTTTGATGTTTTAAAGCCGGGTTGGCGAATTCGAGCTTGCGATTCTTTGATAGTTTCTCTGCTAATGCAGATTAGCAGAGAAACTATCAAAGAATCGCAAGCTCAAATCTGCTCTAATCTAATCTAATCTAATCTGCTAACTGCAAATCTTGATTGACCAAAAGAGATAGAGGAAAAAAAGATCATGTCCTTCTCTAGTTAACCTAATAGTTCTGAAGAAATTCGCCAAAATATCAGATTGGAAATGTCAAAACGACGGTGTTTATATTGGTGGTGATGTTTGCAATTGTAAACCATATTTCTATGGAATTGTTTGCGAGAATCGAATCTGTATGAATGGTGGACACAATTATGGCAATGATCCGACACAGAGATGCGTTTGTCCTCCCGGTTTTATTGGGAGACATTGTGAACCAAGTGAGTGATTGCTTAAGAGCTAAGCTTTACTATCATCAGAAACATAACAATATGATCAAGAGTTTTCACTAGGATCATGCTCTGGTGATGGAAAAACCTTGAGAACTTTTGATCCAAGAGACAATTCGATGATAAGTGTCTCCTATGTGCTCTCATGGACAAATGATATAGCAAAAAAAGCACAAGGGAATCCAAATGATCAAGTAATTCAAGGAATTTGTTCTGTTTTTGATCAAGGGATTGCTGAGGTTTATATCTATATAGCTCCAGGAGTTAGCAGCAAGAGATTCGGTTTGTCAATCTCATTCTTACAGGAAAATCTCTAGTTTAGAACAAAAAGCTGATTGTGATGCTTTTCTCAAGGAGATTCTGGGAAAATGTTCGAATAATGGGATTTGTGAATTGACAACAATCAAAGGAGAATATATTCAAAAAGCGATTAGCGAGTCTTTTCCTAATTCACCGGTTTGTTTCAAGCTTAGCTTTTAAATTTTAAATGTAAGCTGAGAAAATGGATAGCTTTTAACTGGATAGAAAACTAGATAGCTTTTAACTCGATAGCAAACTGGATAGCTTTTAACTAAATAACAAACTAGACAGCTTTCAACTGGATAGAAAACTAGATGGCTTTTAACTGGATGACAAACTAGATAGCTTTTAATTGGATAGCAAACTAGATAGCTTTTAACTGGATAGAAAACTAGATAGCTTTTAACTAGATAACAAACTAGATAGCTTTCAACTTTCAAATTCTTTCAGGTTTTTATCATTGGTAACACAAATCTAACAACAAGTCAATCTCAAATGGAAAACATTGTACAATTAGCTATTTCCCTTGGAATTACGGTGACAATGATAAAGATTTCCAAGAAAAATAATCTAGATTAATACATTACTTTTCTCTCCATCGGGCATTAATGATTTATCAATTTATCAAACAAATGGCTTTAAAGAATATGGAGAATTAGCTGAGAAGACTGGTGGTTGTTATATAACTTCCTATGATACAAAAGAGAGGAAATTGATTGGAAAAAATAACATCGCTGAGGTGAGGATTGTGAAAAGTGAGCAATAAAGTGATTTGTTTAGTCTTTGTCATCAGTTTTTGATCTAATGACAACAAGAAAACCAATCTTCCGAGATCCTTCAAACTCAATTACTCTTTATTCTTCTGATAACATTATCTATTTTCATTTTACGATGAGTGGTAAGGACTTTAGCAATGTTTTTCAGCTTTACTAATGTCCCTAAGTCTAAGTCTAAGCCTAAGCCTGAGCCTGAGCCTAAGCCTGAGCCTGAGCCTAAGACTGAGCCTAAGGCTGAGCCTAAAGCTGAGCCTAAGGCTGAGCCTAAGGCTGAGCCTAAGGCTGGGCCTAAGCCTAAGCCTGAGCCTAAGCCTAAGCCTGAGCCTGAGCCTAAGGCTGAGCCTAAGCCTGAGCCTAAGCCTAAGCCTAAGCCTGAGCCTAAGCCTGAGCCTAAGCCTAAGCCTAAGCCTAAGCCTAAGCACTTTAGCAATGTTTTTCAGCTTTACTAATGTCTCTAGATCTCGAAACTCTACCCGATTACACTTTTCAACTCATTTCCCCATCACCATCTGAAATGACTTGGGATCAACTCGAGAATGTTCTTGATACTGGATTTGAAAAGGTTTTCACAGTTGAAATCGACTTTTAACAGTTTTAGATCTATAAATATTCATTTCCTGATAGCGCTAAAGATTCAAAGATTTCTGTATTACTGCAAAAGAAAAATGATTCGATGACGAGGCTTAAAGTAAGAAATTTTATGCAAAAACTTCTAATAATAAAATAGATTTACGGGAAACCTTCATTTCCTTTATCTTTGGGAGTCTCAACAGCTGATCAAGTTGATTCATCTCATCCACATGCTGTTCCAATCAGAGATTTGAGTAAAAGTTTTTGTTTTAAATGTGATACTAATTTCTAGATGGTCCATCACTTTTGGTTAGTGCTGGTGAAGGGATTTCATTGATTCAGTCGAATCTAATGGATAATTGGATAATCGAGAGTGTAAGCAATTCAACGAGAAACTTCAAATGTTTGTATGGGAGTGTGATTGGAAGGGTGAAACAATGCGAGAATGGGACAATCAACTGGCTTTTGGTTGTTTTTTTTTGTTTAGATTCTTTAGAAAGCTTGTTCATCTAAATTTAGTTGACTCAAAACTCAAGTGGAAGCACCGGACTTGTGCCATTGTATTGTGGAGATGCGATTTATGGTAGCAGTGATTTTTGATTATAAGTTATTATACAAAATCAATGAATCAATTTCAGAATCAAGCAATAATCAGATTCGTTTCAAAAAGGAGAACATGAATCAAATGAAGATTTTGATGAATGCTGAGAAAGTTCAAGAGAATTTTGTTTCTGATGAGATTTGCCAACATGGATCACTGGTTAGAACAAGAATAATAAGATTAAGAATGCTTTAAAAGCCGTTGAAAGGCTTTGAAAGCCAGCTGATCATCCAAATCTCTTTGTTTTGAGTTCTTCGACTTCTTTAAGTATTGAAAAGTTGTGCAAACCAATTGTTTTAGTATAAGAACTCATGTGCTTGTAATATTGGTTGGATGGGTGCCTCTTGTGATGTGCCCGATTGTCAGAATGATGGCAAAGTAAATGCAGGAGGGACTTGTGATTGTCCTGATTGGACAAGTGGTCTTTTCTGTGAAAAAAGTTAGTGAAAGCTTTGATCAATGATTCAAGAATTCAGTTCTAAACTCTATTTGTGATCCGGTAAACACGTTTGCTGAATGGCGCACACAAATCGGTTCTCTTATCTTTGTCATCGAGGAATCTCTCGACGTGCAGATGAATGTGCAAAGTTGGATTGATTCGCTGAAAGGAATGAATCGATTATCTTTAACGAATTCGTTTCAAGCTTCACAAATCGTTCTTGTAACTTGTGAGTTTATTAAGTTTTGATTTTGATTCTGATTTTGATTTTAATCAATGCTTTAGACTCGGATTTGTTGGTTACCGCGAGATTCGCAAGCAATGATCCACGTGGAATTGTTCCAGCATTTCAAGACATTCAATGGATCGAGAAAATGAATGGAGTGAAACAAGAAGAGGCTTTGATAACTGGACTGCAATTACAGGTGAAGAATGATAGAGTTTTCAAGGCTTTATTGGATTGGTGAATTGAAAACTGGGGGCTATTGTGATATGTGACAGTTTGAGCACTTTCTTCAAAAGAAACCCATTTTGGTGTCAATAGAAAAGTTGTAGAGAATCAAAAATCAAGCTTATATCCAAATTTTCAGTACAATTCAAAAACTGGTTTTCAAGAAATGCGAAATTTACGAAACTTTCACAAAACTTGCATTTTAAGCGAAACTACTAAGTGTATCTTTTTGGAAATTTGGCTATAAGCCTAATTTTTGATTCTCTACAACTTTTCTATTGACACCAAAATGGGTTCCTTTTGAAGAAAGTGCTCAAACTGGGACATCTCCAGTCCTCGATTTTTGAGTCTCACACTTGTCTCACACACAAACCAAAATCCTACGCAGAAAGAGGAATCCGCAAATTGCCTGTAAAGGGCAGAAGTCGTCAATAATAATGGAAATTATTTGGAATGAATTCATGGTTTTATCTTGAATAAATTTTAGTTCAAAGTCCCGCAGTTTTCAATTCACCAACCCAATAAATTGAAAAGATAATGAAAAGATCAAGATAATAAGTACTTTCCTCAATAAGACTCATCGACGACAACGTGAGCCCTCATTTTGCAAAACTGACTAGCTCTAAAACAAACAGTCTTGGTTGGGAACTTTTGGCACATCCCCCATACAGTCCGGACCTTGCCCCTTCTGATTACTATTTATTCCGGACCATGAGTGATGAGCTTGCGGGAGAACACTTCGATTCGGAAGAAGCAGTCAAAAATTGGCTTTGAAAGTTTTTCGATTCAAAACCAAAATCCTACGCAGAAAGAGGAATCCGCAAATTGCCTGTAAAATGGGCAGAAGTCGTCAATAATAATGGAAATGATTTCGAATGAATTCATGGCTTTATGTTCAATAAATTTTAGTTCAACAAAGTTCGGCAGTTTTCAATTCACCAACCCAATATTTTAGACAACTGATCGATCTTTTCTCATCTGGATTACTTCTTCATTTCAAAATGACTCCTCTTCAAAAAGTGATATTCAAAAGAAACTTTTCAAAAAGATTTCCGATCAAAGAGCTGATTTGAGAATTTATACAACAAAACAGGTTTTGAAAGAGATGGCTTTAGATTAATCAACTTTTAGACTAAAACTCATTCACTTTTGAATCAATTGTCGATGCTCACTGTTTCAGTACCAATCATTTTACAAAATAAGGACAGCTTTCAAAAGGTTCGTGTTTTTTTAAAGCTTTAAAATCAATTTCATTTACAAATTTTCACTGACTACATCTCCGCTTCACTAACTGTTATCAATCAATTCACTCCAAATTCAAATACAATCGATTTCTCGACAAATTGCTATCTAAGCAAATCACCAACATGGGTCAGTGTTCAATTTTAGAATCTTAATAGCTGATGACTTAGTTAAACAGAACCGATTTTAGCTTTATTAGCTTTATTAGCTTTATTAGCTTTATTAGCTTTATTAACTTTATTTTAGCTTTATATTCCGACAATGACTTCAAAAGTTTTCATCTCCACACAATCACTCACTCCAATTATCAACCCAGCAGGTCTTTTTAAAACTTTTCCATTCCCAATTTCATTTTTAGATCCTTACATCTTGGAAGAAATCGATTCCAGCATTTTTTCGATTAATGGTTTGGTTAAAAAACAACAATCAAACAATCAAATTCAATCTTTTAGCCACTGAACTTGGCGGGAATCATTTAAACATTACTTTCACGGCAGATCTTAATGCAACTATGTGCAGTTATTCAATTGAAACGCTCAATGTTGAGCAAATCGCTTATGGAGTGACGGATGAGTTGATGAAAGAGGCAGATATGGGCAATTTAATGATGCCGAATGGTGGGTTGAAGAAAAAGGAACATTAGAAACATTAGAAACATTAGAAGAAACAGGAACAAAATTCAAATTCAAGCAAGAAAACCGTGATTTTCGTCAAAATCGATAAAAATCTCGATAAAAAGAATTTGATTGAAGCAATTTCTCGAAAAATCTCGCTATAAACCAAACTTTTTATGCTCTATCTTTTATCTATTGACAAAAAGATCGGTTTTCTTTAGATAAAATGTCTAACGTATCATCGAGCCGACATCTTTTTGACTAACCAACTTGAAACTCTCAATTGAAACTCCAGATTTTCCAGATTTTTTTGGAATCCAGACATATGACATTTTAAACCGATTTTAATGTTATTTTACAGAAAAATAATTGATAATCAAACAAATCTGGCGCATTTGTTGGCGCAACAAATCTGGTTGAATTGGCGCATTTGTCGGCGCGACAAATCTGGTTCAATTGACGTATTTGTTGGTGCAACAAGTCTGCTTCAATTGACGCATTTGTTGGCGCAACAAATCTTAGTTCAATTGACGCATTTGTTATTTTAAACGAAAGGACGAAAAGACTTTCTGAACAGCATAATTAGTACCAATTTCTCAACTTGAAACTCTCAAAAAAACTCAGACTTAACACATTCAAAACCCGTTTTAATGTGATTTTGAAGAAAATCAAATTAAAATTGACCTTTCTAATGAAAGAAATCATAGTTTAAAACAAGAACAACAACAAAAAATCATAGTTCAAAACAAGAACAACAACAAGAAAACCATCAATACAAGCTGGGAAATAGATTGGATCTAGAGCCGTATGCTGTAATAAAGCTTGAGTTTAGGTGATCACTGGCTGAACATTCGATGGAGTGGAATTGATGAGTACCGTCAGTACACATTTGATGCGAATGATGTATAGGGTTTAGAGAAAAACATTTCCAACCATTTTAGTCCTATCAAAATGTTCAACAATGGCCTGTTTCCACGAAGAATGACGACTATCAAATCGATTGGTCAATTCCTGGAAAGAACACAATTGCTATTGTTCTCAATTCAACCCAATGCACATATCGATATTCTCCAAAAATGTTGGCTTGTAATGGATCTATAAATGGGTTTTTGAATCGAGTAGGTAAAGTTTTTGGGTAATGTTTTTCAATTTACATCAGATTTTCACCGCATCACCTTTCAAAGAGAATTCTCATCTTCAAAAAATGATCTTTATTCCGTGTCTGGATTTCGATTTGAATAGTTTGTGGAAATTCGTAAATTTCGCATTTCTTGAAAACCAGTTTTTGAATCGTCCTGAAAATTCGGATATAAGCTTGATTTTTGATTCTCTACAACTTTTCCATTGACATCAAAATGGGTTTCTTTTGAAGAAAGTGCTCAAACTGTCACATATGACAATAGCCCGCAGTTTTCAATTCACCAACCCAATATTTACAAAACCTTAACATAACTTTACAGTTTGCAAAAATAATGGCACATTGGTGAATGATAAATGTGTTTGTTTGAAGCATTGGCGAGGATATGATTGCTCTGTTCGTTCTTGTTAATTATTGAAACCATTCTTCTTTAGTTACCAGTTTGTTTGAGTGGAGGGACACGAAATGGAGAGATCTGCAATTGTTTACCGGGTTTCTATGGGGTCAATTGTGAATGCAAGTCATTTATATGGTTTTACTGAAACCAATCTGCAATTGCACACTCATTTGGTAATGATTAGGAAATGTAGGATAAAAACTCTGTAGAGCTTCTCAGCTAAGCTCCTCAGCTATCAACCAATTAAGACTCAATAAAATGGAAAGATTTGCATTGTTTACCGGGTTTCCATGGGGTCAATTGTGAATGTATAAGTAATTTACATTGGGTACCGATCAGAATCAGGAAATGCAGGATAGAGCTCTGTAGAGCTCCTCAGCTAAGCTCCTCAGCTAAGCTCCTCAGCTATCAACCAATTAAGACTCAATAAAATTAATATCTCCAATCGATTCCCCAACTTGGAAAACCCTCGAATAAATTTCCAGCTGAATATCTCCTTTTTCCATCATCTACAAACTATTTTTGGCTATAATTCTCAAAATTCTCAAGAGATCGCTCCGGCAATTGTTAAACTCATTTCAGCCTCGACAACTCCGACAACGACAACAACCACTCCCAAAGTGACTTCAACCAAGCTCTCACTCTTTGTTTTCATCTTTTCCTTACTTTCCATGACATAAATAAACATTTCTTGATGTACAAATAAGTGATTGAACAGATTAAACATTCACAGATCTTGTTTGATGCCATGACACTTATTTGCATATTGTCTAATTGAATGCCATCAGCTTTAATCCTCTAACACATCATTATGTCAATAAAATTTTTCACAAATACCATTCGTCATTCTCAAGGAACTAAATTTGCTGAAGAGAAAGCTTTCGATTTTAAAGTACATCAATTGTATTCGGAAAGACTTCAAACTGGTGTACTTAAGATGAATCTTTGTTCTGATATCGGAGCAGAACACACTGCACACAGTGAGACAAAGATCAAGAAGACTGTCAGTTAAAGTACTGTATTATTTAAAAGTTTCAAAAAATGTGATAGCAGGCTGATTCTATGCCTGATTCTAGACTTTCTTAACTACAATCTTGCGTGTAATGCTCTCAATAAATGCTAATTTCGAGAGTTACTGTGATCTTTCCTCCAAATTCTTTGAAATTCAACTTATTAAAATAAATAGAAAGATGAGAATCCTATTATTTAGTAAGAAGAATAAGTTAAGCAGTCAAAAAAGTGCAAATTCAGCTTATTATTCTGTTCTTTGGGTGGCAATGAACTGTTAATCGTTAGCGGTTTATATCTAGCAATTCTAGTTCATTTCGTGTTCTCTTTTCAATCACAAACATCTCGAATGGGAGGAGTCTGTGAGCTCGCAATTCTCCAGTCTTTTTTCCCAAAAAAAGAACGAAGAAAAGAGATTTATAATGAAAAAGAGATCATTATAAAAGATCCCTTTTCCAGAAAAGTCGTTCATATAGTTTTCTCTGCATAGTTTCCTCTGCAAATCTCAGCAATCTCATAGATGATTATCCGAGCTGTGTTCTCAACTCTTTTATCATTGTATTTTCAAAGGGTTAAAGCAGAAAGTTCGGAGTTGATTTTGTCAAAGTATAGAGGCTTTCCGCAAGCTGAACTTGGCAATCGAGGGAATCAATTCTACAAATTTACGTGAGCTTTTTAGTTTATTAATTGATTAACACGTTGATGACATTGTCACTTGATGCTGTCTGACATTGTCTGACATTGTCTGACATTGTCTGACATTGTCTGACATTGACTGACATTGTCTGACATTGTCTGACATTGACTGACATTGTCTGACATTGTCTGACATTGTCTGACATTGACTGACATTGTCTGACATTGTCTGACATTGACTGACATTGTCTGACATTGTCTGACATTGACTGACATTGTCTGACATTGTCTGACATTGACTGACATTGTCTGACATTGTCTGACATTGACTGACATTGTCTGACATTGTCTGACACATTTCGACAGTTCTGACAGTTCGCCTGGGACATTGTCACCTGATGTCAGGTGACAGTACCAAAATTGATTTTTTCTGTGCATATTTATATTTGCTGATGATGGATATTAAATAAGCAAGTAGAGTAGTATCAATATTCGACTTGGTCCCGGAAAATGTCGATTTGTCGAAAAAAAAGAACTCTGTGGGACATTGTCACCTGATGTCAGGTGACATTTATTGTCAAAAAAAAACAACGTTGTCCCATGCGATTGTTTGTGCAAAAACGCCATTGTCGTCAACGTGTTAAAGCATTTTAAGCACAAAGTTTTAGCATTACCAGTTTGTAAAAAGGCTTGTAATCTTTTTTGCTAAACAAAATGATAAAGGATTTAGGATTTAATGATAAAACTAAGATTCAGTCTCTGCGCTTGCGACTCTCAAGTGTTCAATCCACAGAAAAGTCACGAATGCGAGTGTTCCCCAGAATTGCATGCAAAGTCGGCGAGTGAAAGCTCGTTTCAAGTGAGTTAAACTTGCAAAAATGAAGCATTTTGACACTTTTAACTCTATTTTTAACCTTTTCAAATTCAGGCCACTTACAGCGCCTCTTGTCTTCGTTCGTACAACCAACGAAAGTGTTTAAACGTGAATTTCCCTAGAAAGGTTTGTGATTTTAGCTGTAAAACGAATTTCACTATCAAATCAGGGTTTGTCATCATATTTCTATGTTCGTGTACATCTTGGCGAAACAATAATCACAAATCCAGTTTGGCAGAACATCCGAAATTCTCATTTAAAAACGATTGACACATTGACGACAACGGAGAGGAAAAGAATCGAGTAAATTGATAAAGGATAATAACCTAATAACAAAAGAAACACCTTTTTTTTAGAATCACTTATCAAATTCTGTCTAACTTTGATGAATCGCCTAAAATCTCAAATGGGAAAGGGAATTTGAAGAAATTGTATAAAATGACAACTCCAGCAATTTCCCTTGTGATTAAGGATACGCCAATACAACGCTTGAATACGGTAACTTCATTGAGCTTTAGAAAAACTACCATAAATACTGTTATAGTACCCCACCGCCCTCGTACAGTCGCGTAGTCGCAAAGTTTTTTAGTATTTCATTTTTTTCAAAGCGCTCGTACTTTCAAAAAATGCGTCTTTGGTATCAAAAAATAGCCCTGAATTTCAGCTATTTTTTGATACCTAAACGAGCATCGTAGCATAAACCAGTGTCGAGAAAAACTCGTTCAAAGCTAGACTACGCAACACTCCGCACCGTCATTATGGGAGTGGGGCACTATTAAAGTATTTACGGTAATAGGGTTAAAAAGCAAAATTTCAACTGAAACAGCTTATCAAAGCTTGCAAAATCATTGATTCAATCAATAAGAATCATTTTGGGGGTGGGACAAATGCGACCTTTTTTTTGCTGGAAAAGGCCTTAGGCAAGGCCGTAGAGCTTCAAAAATGTTTTCATGGAAGGGAATCGTATGCGTAGATTCCGAATTTCGACAAATCAGACCTCGCTGACACGTCAAATTTGGGCTAAAAGGCAAAAATTGCGGAAAAGCGTTAAGTTGCATAGTTTTTGCCTTTTAGCCGAAATTTGACGTGTCAGCGAGGTCTGATTTGTCGAAATTCGGAATCTACGCATACGATTCCCTTCTATGAAAACATTTTTGAAGCTCTACGGCCTTGCCTAAGGCCTTTTCCAGCAAAAAAAAGGTGCGCAAATGTCCAGGCGCGCAAAAAAAGGTCTCATTTGTTCCACTCCCATCATTTTTAAAACTTGAATCAAATGATAAAAGCTATCAATCATCAAATTTTAAAAAAAAACTTCTTTATAGTACTGCTTTGCACTATAAAAAACTAAAAAACAAACAGAGTTAAAGAGCAAAATTTCAACCAAAACTGCTTTACACTATAAAAAGGATGAATCATTTCAGTTGGAAGCTCTAAAGTTTTTCCTTCTCCGTGAAGGGATCCGTACTGGTCATCCAACAGGCTCATTTGATGTTTACACCTTCAAAAATCAGGTTTGTCTTTTTATTTTTACAAGTTCAACCTTTAAATCCTATCATTTATCAAAAAAAAAAGCAAGAAAAAGGAAAAAAAATTGATAGGAAAAGGAGAGATTGAATTGTTTATTGTGTAGTTTCGGGAAATTGAGAAAACTTTAGTTTTAATAAAATTGATGAAACATTTAACATTAAGATCATTAAGATCTTTATAAAGCTTTCAGTTAGTTGTCCATCACAATATGGTCCGTGCTAGACATGGCTGTTCAGCTCTTCAACGGGATTACTCGATGGATTCAGTTGCGCAAAGATGGGCTGATAGTTTAGCTGCGAATGAAGATTGTTTGATGCATGAAAGACCAAAGAAGTTTGTTTTATCAATACTTGTATTCGTTACTGTAACGATTTATAAACATAATCAGTGCTTTAATTCCAGTTACGGTGAGAATCTCTTCTTTTTCGGTGCTCGTCACCTGGTTTCTCCGGATCTTTTCGCTGAAGCGGTCACTCAAAGTTTTTATCAAGAGGGAATTGGATATGATTATGATAGGTGAATAGCTAAGATGGATTTTCATCTCAAAATTTGCTCTAAGCAGTCTTTCGAATTAGAATCAATGCTACTAAGTTTCGAGTAACCCATTCCAATCTCATTCCATTCCATTAAACCCATTCCATTCCATTAAGCCCATTCAAATTGGTTTAATTAGCCGACAAGTTTTTTGCCAATAGAAACAAAGAAAAGAGTTTAAAGTATTAAACGAAATACTAAAATCTACTAAAGAAAGTACACTTGTTGAGATGTAAATCGATGTGCAAAGTCTGAAGATCATTTAGAAAGCGGCGGCAATAAGCGGCGGCAATTCGCGAAATTAACTGCCCTATCAACTTTTGATGGTAGTTTAGTTGACTACCATGGTCGTAACGGGTAACGGGGGATCAGGGTTTGACTCCGGAGAGGATGCCTGAGAAACGGCAACCACATCTAAGGAAGGCAGCAGGCGCGCAAATTACCCACTCTCAATTCGAGGAGGTAGTGACAACAACTAACGAGACTGCTCCCTTTGGGAACAGTCATCGAAATGGGTACAATTTAAGCCCTTTAACGAGGATCAATGAGAGAGCGCCAGCAGCCGCGGTAATTCCAGCTCTCAAAGTGTATGTCATTATTGCTGCGGTTAAAAAGCTCGTAGTTGGATCTGATCATTTTCTTGGGTAAATGATCGTAAACCTGGGCTTACTCTTGTTGATTTCTACAAGATTTCCGCTAAATCCACATCCAATGATCCACGGTGACAATGTTTTGCACAAGAGATGAGCGATTCGGTGAATTGTGATGGATATTCTTGACAAAGTGGATCTTTTCCCCCATCAAGGCGCCATCATCAATCATTGCTTTGTCGCCTTTAGGGGAGATTATCAGCAGATCACCGGAAATCCTTTCGATATGAAAAAAAAAAGAAAAAGCTAGTCTTCGATAACCCACAAAAAGTGTTTGCATGATTTTTAAAGAGATCTCAGAGGGAAGACTGTAGATAGATTTTTGAAGGGATTGGTGAGAGATTTCAACAATTTCATGTCTTGTAAATCAAAAAAAAATTTAGCTAAAAGAGTACTTACAACTCTCAATTTTACCTAAGCCAATAAAAAACTTGTCTAAAAATAAAGAATCATCAATTGTTCAACAGTTTAAAAGTAATTTTGAGTCTTTTCAATGATTTCCTATTGTCCTTGGGGTTCTTGAAACGATGACCGAACTAAAATTTACACTAAAATTCGATTCTCATTCGGCTAACTAAAAGTGATAGTTATCGAAAGGAATTTCCGGTCAAAAAAATCAAGAAAGAAAAAGAATAGATAAGAAAAGAACTTGGCTAAAGTTGCAATCTCTGAAAAATATAGTGAAAAGAAGAGAACAGTCGGCTTTCCTTTACTTGACAATGTTTCAAGGACAAAGTGATCGTAAAAATGAATGCTCACCATTTAAGGGAATATCAGGAGAAAGTTAAAGCACAATAAGTTGATATTAGGTTGATGCAAAAGTCTTTTTCATTTTTTTCGTACTTCCGTTAAAAAGTAACAAATGCACCAATTGAACAACGGTTTATTGCATTCGAAAGGCCAATTATTTTTCTGCAAAATGACATTAAAACGAGTTTAAAATGTCTTATGTCTAGATTTTTTTGAGAGCCTGAAGTCGGGTAGTCAAAAAAGGCGACGGCTCGATGATGCATTTTAGACGCTTTAGCTAAGGAAACCAATCTTGATGTTAATAAATAAAAGATAGAGCACAAAAAGTTCGATATTTTTTTCAGATTTTCAGAGAAATTCATTCAGCCAATTTCTTTATAGAGGTTTTTATAGATTTTTATGAAAAACCCGTTTTCACTCTCGAATTTGCTTGAAAGTGAACCCAAATTGACTTAAAAAGATGGGAAATTCAACAATAAACACTTTTCATTTAGAGCAAACCATAGGTTAATTCATGACTTTGTTATTTTTCAAAAGAAGTACGAAAAAAATGAAAAAGACTTTTGCATCAACCTAATAGTTATTATTCTAGATTCTATCCTGGTGGTTATCATCGCGTTGGCCATTTCACTCAACTCATTTGGAGATCAACGAAGCGAATGGGAGTTGGGATTGCGATTCGGACATCAACTGGAAGGGGAAGGTTCGAGTAAAAAGATTACTTAAAAAGAGAAAAGGAACCAACTCTGTACAGAAAAGGAACCAATTCTGTAAAGAAAAGGGACCAAATCTGTAAAGAAATGGAACCAATTCTGTAGAGAAAAGGAACCAAATCTGTACAGAAAAGGAACCAAATCTGTGGAGAAAAGGAATCAATTCTGTAAAGAAATGGAACCAATTCTGTAGAGAAAAGGAACCAATTCTGTAAAGAAATGGAACCAAATCGGTAGAGAAAAGGAACCAACTCTTTACAGAAATGGAACCAAAGCTGTAAAGAAAACGAACCAATTCTCTAAAGAAATGAAACCAATTCTTGTAAAGAAAAGGAATATCAAAATAAAGTAACTTTAAACTAAGGTAAAGTCAAATAAATGAATAGATTGAATTCAAAAGTTGGTAGAACAATAATAAAAGCTAACAAAAAAGGTATAACTCTTTGGAAGAGTCACTGAATACTTTTTAAATCTAAAACCCGTTCAACTTTAATATCTAAACGTAAACTCATCTCACTTTTCAGATGCATTCGCCAGTCCGGTCTTCCACTTGTCTATGTCGTTGTCAAATATGATCCAATGGGTAATATGCAATCCTATTCACAATATATGCAAAATGTTTCACCACCACTCTTTAAAAGAAAAAGAATGTGAAGAATAGAAATGAGCGATGTAGAAATATTCACATTGATTCAAATTGTGATTCGGGTAGAAAAAATCGTTCAAAAGTTGCTCGTCTTCAAAAGATTTTGATCTCATTTATGTGTCGAAAAATAAATACGACTTTTTTTTTTTGATTGACAAATCAAATACTCTGTCTTCTTTATTGAATATTTATGAACACTTCGGTTGGATAAGAGATTGTGGAAACCATTTCTTTCCATTTGGGAAATCATTTCCTTCCATTTATAGAAACCATTTCTTTCCATTTATAGAAACCATTTCTTTCCGTCTACAGAAACCAATTCTTTCCATTTGTGGAAGCCATTTGTTTCCATTTATAGAAACCATTTCTTTTCATTTATAGAAATCATTTCTTTTCATTTATAGAAACCATTTCTTTCCATTTATAAAAACCATTTCTTTCCATTTCTTTCCATTTGTGGAAACCATTTTTTACTCAACCTAATCCATGGCTCTCGGAATTCTTTCTATTATCGGATCTCTTTTCCATGAGTAAATTGAAGTGAAACTTATGAAAGAAAGCTTCAATCGAGAGAAAGTTCCCAGCTAAACATACAAAGAAATGCCACGACACAACGTTTGACATTTCGAGATTACTCAATCAATTTTCATTCTCAAAATGTTCAAATCCATATTCTTATCATTATTTCTATTTTTATTAGTTCATTGTGAAGGAATAGAAAAGAAAATGGAAAAGGATTCGAGTCGTCAAAAGATCAATTGTGAGATGCTTGGTTTGTGTTTTCATTTCTTTTCAAATTTAAACTCTTTTCAAGTCAAAACTCTCAAAATCACCAAAAATTTGTCGTTTTCTCAAAGTCGAAGTCGTTAATGACAGTCAAAATCGTTAAAGACAATCAAAAAAATTCATAACTATTGGGTTGGTGAATTGAAAACTGCGGTCTATTGTCATATGTGACAGTTTGAGCACTTTCTTCAAAAGAAACCCATTTTGGTGTCAATGGAAAAGTTGTAGAGAATCAAAAATCAAGCTTATATCCAAATTTTCAGAACGATTCAAAAACTGGTTTTCAAGAAATGTGAAATTTACGAATTTTCACAAAACTTGCATTTTAAGCGAAACTACTAAGTGTATCTTTTTGAAAATTTGGCTATAAGCCTCATTTTTGATTCTCTACAACTTTTCTATTGACACCAAAATGGGTTTCTTTTGAAGAAAGTGCTCAAACTGGGACATCTCCAGTCCTCCATTTTCGAGTCTCACACTTGTCTCACACACAAACCAAAATCCTACGGTCGCGTCCGTTTCCTTCCTATTTGCGTTGCTATTTTGCAATTATTCGCGTCGCATTTTTCGCCCTTTTCTCCCTTCCCGAAATTGTTTTTTTTGGTCTGCGGGTTGCTTTTGCCTTCCCTCTTGGGGGACTTTTGTTGTTTCTTTTGATGCGCATGCTGTTTTTGTAATAGGTATTCTTGCATTTTGGTTTTGTACAAATAAACAGTAAAATTATAAATTCAACTGACTTTCTGCTACACTTCAGGTTTTAAATCCTGTTTAGATAACTGGTTTAACATTGTAGAGAGAGCTTACTAATATTTGTGTCGCCACGATTCTCTACAACTTTTCTATTGACACCAAAATTGGTTTCTTTTGAAGAAAGTGCTCAAACTGGGACATTGGGACATCTCCAGTCCTCGATTTTTGAGTCTCACACTTGTCTCACACACAAACCAAAATCCTACGCAGAAAGAGGAATCCGCAAATTGCCTGGAAAATGGGCACGAGTCGTCAATAATAATAACGTCAATAATAACGCACTGTATAGCGCTTTGAAGCTGGAAATTCAGAGGAACATTCCTATGCATAAACCATTCTCAGCAGACATTTATAATCACACCCAAAACATAAATTTTAGTTCAAAGTGCCGCAGTTTTCAACTCACCAACCCAATAGCTTTAGCAATCTAAATTTAAAACCAAAACAGCTTCGATTCAGCAAAGAAGTGTTTTAAAAAGGATTTTTATCAATTTTTGGTAATTTAGTTTAATAGTTTTTTTCAAATTTTTAGATGCAATGCTATGCACTTTCTTCAAAAAAGCTGAAAAAACCTTAACAACGATTTTTGGAGAAGAAAAATATGAGAAATTATATTGGAAAATTGTTGATGAATATAAAACAAAAAAGAGTCTTCCAAAGGATTTCACAAAAAAATACGAAAAAGAGATTCCAAATGATGAGATTGAGGAATTTCGTGAAAGTCTCATCAATTTAGCCTACGTTTTGGAAGCTGTTAAAAGTGAGTTTTTCAGAATAAAATAGTGATTTATTCTTTTTTTTATTTATTTGTTTTTTCAGCTCATTTTGGTCGTCTTGAACATTTTGATCAAAAATACGATAAAAAACAAATGGAACAAGTGCAATTGGAAAGGAAAAAAGCACAGAAAAGGAAAGAACGGATAAAATGTGATAGAATTGGTGAGGAAATGTTTGTGATCTATTGGGTTAATGGAAAACGTCCTTTCCGATTTCAAAAGCGTGGTATGGTGGCAATTCATTTGCTCAGCGATTTCCCGACTAACTAACGAAACCTGAAAACAGCCATTTTTTTAGCTCTGCCGCCCTTTACTAAAATAGTTGTAAAAACTTTTCGAAAAGAGATATCTCAAAACGGTTTTTACCAATCGATTCGTCTTGAATTCAGCTTTAGGATGAGCTATAAAACGTCAAAATTGGATGACAAAATTAAGGTACTCTCCCAAAAAATCGGAAAGGACTTTTCCATCAACCCAATACAAATTGCATTCATCATTCAATGAAACGTCGAAAAATGTGTGAACTTTTAAAAAAGTAACGTAAAACTTGAATCTAGATTGCTTAAAAGTAGATAAATTGAATCGTTTTTAAGGCAATCTATCAATTTTTTGTTAAACTTTACGATAAGAACTTCATTACGATTGTTTTTTTGAAAGTTAATAAGTTGGAAAATGCGTCCTTTGTAAATTCTTTGCGTCGTTGTTTGGCTCCTGTTTGCGTTCTGCGTTCTGTTTGATTCCTGTTCCTTCTGTCCTGTTCGTTCTGTTTAACTCCTGTTCCTCCTATCCTGTTCGTTCTGTTTAACTCCTGTTCCTCCTATCCTGTTCGTTCTGTTTGATTCCTGTTCCTCCTGTCCTGTTCGTTCTGTTTGATTCCTGTTCCTCTTGTCCTGTTCGTTCTGTTTAACTCCTGTTCCTCCTATCCTGTTCGTTTTGTTTGACTCCTGTTCCTCCTGTACGAGGCACAAAAAAAAGCATGAGCTACATTTTCTGCAACGTTTTCATAGCGGCTCCAAACTTTTGCCGCACCCTGTAAGTCTTGGAAAACCAACAGATTTTGTAATTTGACGTAAAAACATTCTTTTGGTGCACTAAACTTTCCTTTTTATTAATCAAAAAGTTGGGAATTAAAGCTTTGAAAAGCACAAATCGTTGAGTTTCTCAAAATAATTTTCTACTTTATAAAAGATAACCTAAATCAATGTCAATCAATCAATCAAATCAATCAAATCAATCAACACAATAATTGATTTCCAGGAATCTCCAATTGTTTTGCGTTTTCGAAAGCTGAAATGGAGCTGATTAAAATTCTCGATGAAGACCAATATGATATGCTTTTTTGGATTTTGGTCGAAGATGATTTAAAGGGAAAACCGACATTTGATCTCTCTCTCTTTCAACATAATACACTTGAAGAGAAAAAGCAATTCGATCAATATGTGACAACGATTGTTGATGTCATAAGTTTCTTTGATGATCTTTCAACAATTCTCTACATTTAGGAATATCACCGGATAAATTGGAAAATGCCAAAGATGAACTTTGAACTTTTCCTTTGCTATTCTTTATGATTTTACATGTTAAATAAGTTTATCTTTAATGTTTTACTCTATATAATAACGTTTGTATTTTATTATACTCACAACTTTACTTTTCAACGATTTTCAGATGATAATAACGATTAAAATAAGAGAAAAACTAAGAGAATAGATAAACGATTCGAGTCATATCAATTGTAAAAAAGTATACCGATTGATAAGTAAAGGATTCGAGTCATATCAATCAATTCTATACCGATTGATAAGTAAAGGAGTAGGAATATTTTCAAGAAATGAAAAAATTGAAAGACAAGTGGTCACAAGTCTGAATTTATATGTAAAATGTAAAAAGTAAAGTAATTAAAGCACACATAAATGATGAAAAAGCCAACTTAATGGGGGTGGGACAAATGCGACCTTTTTTTGCGCACCTGGACATTTGCGCACCTTTCTTTTGCTGAAAAAGGCCTTAGGAAAGGTCGTAGAGCTTCGAAAATATTTCCATATAAGGGAATCGTATGCGTAGATTCCGAATTTCGACAAATCAGACCTCGCTGACACGTCAAATTTGGGCTAAAAGGCAAAAACTGCGGAAAAGCGCTAAGTTGCGTAGTTTTCGCCTTTTAGCCCAAATTTGACGTGTCAGCGAGGTCTGATTTGTCGAAATTCGGAATCTACGCATACGATTCCCTTATATGGAAATATTTTCGAATTGTCACGGGATTGTCACGTTCCTCGTCGACGAGTGGCTTTTCTAAGAAGTTCTCTTGAAGACGAAGGAAATAGAAACAGAGAAACGAGCAAGCTGGGGTGAACAAAAAAAACACCATTTTATCTTTTTTTTAATTTTTATAATTTTTTTTTATTCTCTACAACTTTTCCATTCACACCAAAATGGGTTTCTTTTAAAGAAAGTCCTCAAACTGTGACATATCACAATAGCCAGCAGTTTTCAATTCATCAACCCAATTAAAAGAAATTTAATCGAATAATGAATGAGAAAATTTCGTTGACATCCAATAAAACCAATCAGCAATCAATAAATGACAATTCTTTTATAACATCTTTGCTTTTTAACCTACAATTTCTATGTAAAAGTTAGGGATAAAAAGAAAAAGTGAATAGCTAATATCAGAATGATTTCTGTGCTAGACAAGTCAGCCATTGTGCTTTTCAGTAAAGCTTTCACTGTAAAAAACGATTCAGAATTGTTAACTTGTTGTCTAAACGATTTTCTTGTGATTTTTAAATTAATCTATTAAATCTATTCTTAAGGATTACTTTCAGAATATTTGAAAATTTAAAAATGAATATAAAAGCGATTGAATTACTCGAAGAAATACTTGAAAAATGAGTAAAGAAAAGGGGAAATGTTTGAAAGAATCACTCGTTTTTGTTCAATTCTTTAATTGATCCTTTTTTTTATGAATTTCAATCGAAAAGAAACACTAGATTAATCAAAAAAATTCGAATTTTTATTATAATATGAGTATCAAGCAACTCTTAGTTTCAGTTTTAAAGAGATTTTGATTGTTCGTTTAAATATTAACTTCATGAATTGGCTAGTGAAGACTCAAAAGCGGGTCTATCCCAAAACAGCGCCGCCCAAAACAATGCCGACTAAAACAGCGCCGCCAAAACAGCGCCGTACCCAAAACAGCGCCGTCAAAACAACGCCGACCAAAATAGCGCAGCCCAAAACAATGCCGTACCCAAAACAGCGCAGCCCAAAGCAGCGCCAATGCAAAAACGCCCAAAACATTGTACAAGCTTTGCATTGTACAAAATGCATTATACAAAATGCATTGTACAAAATAGGACATTGCAATGTTCTATTTTGCTTAAAATCTAAAGATTCAAAAGAAAACTTGGCTATTTTAAAGATTAAAGAGAAATTTGAATAGATTATACTTGAATTTTAAGAATTTCTTTCTTTACTAAAGCACTAGCTATGTTCAAAGTAGCAATAAACAGCTGATTTCCCCCTCATTCAAATACAAATGATTTCCTTTACTGATCCTCTTTAGCCTCTTTCCCCTTCATTTGATTGTCTTAATCATTCACTCTCACTCATTTCACTTCCAAATCTTCTCTTTTCCTTTCAATTTTGAACTGATCAACAACTGACTCTTCTTTAATCTCTTTTCCCCCCACAAAGTGTTGATCTCTCATTGAATTTTCTTTTTTTTTTCCTTGAAATCGATTTGATTATTGCTTCAATCCACCCCCAACCTTCAATCTTTACATTTAATTCAAAAAGAAAACGAAAATCGTTGAAAATTTCGGCTTTTTTACGAAAAGAGGTGGAATTGTTATAGAAATGATAAAACTTGGAAATACCTTGCGACTTTTAAAGGTTCAGTGTTAGACCAAATGTTAGATATGAATCGATTTTCTCTTAATTTAAAGTTCAATCAAAATTTCCCTTTAAATCAATCGCGTTTTCTCTTATTTACTAAGTATTGCACTTTGTAGATTTCTCAATCAAAGTTCACTTTCATATATTTTAATATTACGTTTCCTTGTGAACTTTGGAATGAAATTACTTTTTTTTCCAATTGCTGAAAGATTGAAGACACATACACTACTGAACAATGAAATATGATATTTGAAAAAACGATCGTCACTTTCGCGCGTCTGTAACTCTCTTGTCTTTACCGCATTTCTAAATATTAATATTACCATTGTGTAGCCGTTGAAAAGAGCTTTCAGAAAATGTGTAACACTAATAGTTTAAACTCAAAGACAAGGGAGTTATAGACGCGCGAAAGTGACGATCGTTTTTCAAATATCATATTCCACTGTCCAGTACTGTACATTTGTTTCTTTAAGCTCTTTAAATCTTTCAACCGTTTGCAAATTGGTCGAATTTGGACCAAGATATACGAAAAACTTCGGAAAACCAACGTTAAAAGATTTTTGCCTATGACTGTATTTGTATTTTCTTTTAGATTACAAGTCAACTTTGACAAGTTAACGCTTTTTCATTATTTTTATCTATATTAGACTTTAACTTTTACTTACTCACAACTTTCAAATCATTCTCATTCCCACGAGACTTCCCCTTGCTCGAAATTCTTCTTTTCCTTGAAACGAATCAAAGCTAACATCATTTCGTGAATTCTCTTCCAATTCCCTTCCAAACCTTCAGAACATCTGGTTAGTGAAGAAAGAAAGGGAAAAGGGAAGAAGGGGAAAAAGGAAAAAAGGAAGAAGTTAGTTGAGTGAATGTGAGAGATAGGAACTCCTCATCTCTTTTCTCTCACCACCAAACCTCAACAACAGCCACCATCACCCATTCTTTTAGGTGATTAGATCGATCATAACTTTGATTAGTAATTTGAGCCTAAAATTGTTAGCATATTGGATTAAACAATGTCATTAGTTTCATGGTTGACTTCGTTGACTTGGGGCTTTAAAGTTATTCCAAACCCTACTAATACGATTCGCAAAAGAATGATAAAGGGAAAGATAAAGGGAAAGATGATGGGGATGAGAACCGACCGAAATTTGATAAGGATCACTACGTGTACTTCTAGAAATTTCTACAATTTCCAAGAGGCTTTGAAATTCTGGATGCGACTTAGGGTGGATTTTCATTTTCATTGATATTCATTGATGTTCATTGATTATCATTGATTTCCAATGATTTCCATTGATTTCCAATGATTTCCATTGATTTCCAATGATTTCCATTGATTTTCATTGATTTTCATTGATTTTCATTCTTTATCATTGATTTTCATTAATTTTCATTCTTTATCATTATCATTGATTTCTGTTTAGTAATTATTTCTTGACTTCCATCGATTTGCGTGATGAGATGAGCAGTTTTCGTCGTCGAGCTGCCATTCCATATCCAGATGCGTTCAATTCAATTGATGGTGGACCGATTATTGGTGAAATTTCGAGGAATTTAATGTCAATTTGTGATTCAGGCCATGAGAAAGACGATGTCCCGCTTTCATCACCGCTTTTTCGAAATGTTTATCGACCAAGTAGTTTACAACAGGTGAGAAAGATTTGACGAGATCTTTCTAAGTAAGATCTTTGATGAGATCTTTCTCTAGTTAACTAAGCTAACTAATATGAAACTCAATTTGAAACCCAAAATATCACTCTTTCCATTCAGCACAGTCCCTAAAAGATTCAAAGAAGCTAGTAGCAAGTACTACAAGTCTTATAGCAAGTACTACAAGTACTACAAATAGCAAGTACTACAAGTACTACAAATAGCAAGTACTACAATTACTACAAGTCTTTCTCTTTTTACACTCTTTTTCCCTCTCTAGCTATTCTCCAGTAAAAGGTTAATAAACCAAAATCCAGATCGAGATCCCTCACTCAGATATGCTCACCATTCCCACCCATTAGCAACCCCATCTCCCAAGACATATGTTCTTTGTGAGTTTTCCCAAAAAAATCTTTCCGCCAATCACTGGGAAAGGAGAAAAAAGAAGAAAAATAAACCTTTTCACTAGCTTTTTTTTCTTCTCCTTTTCGATAAACGACCCAAGAAATCTTTCATGAATGTGTAAGAACTCTCGGCTTTTCGCTTTTTCTTCCTTCTTCCTTCTTCCTTCTTTTTGCTCCTTGTTAATGTTGTCGAGCAATGAAGAATCAACTGTTCGTGGAAGATATTGGACAAAAAGAAGGGGAAATCGACCACAAGACTTGCAATTGACACAAAGGAAAAGGCAATCAAGGAATCCAATCATTTGGGCTATGAATTTATTGATTGGAACAAGAAAGACTTTCTCTATTTCAAGATCGGGAAAAGATTCTCTTCCATCAATATTTGCTACCTTTTTCTATGAGAAATCCGATTTGAAAACTGTTTGATTGAGACTTTTTTTTTGATGAAATGAAGAGTTTTAGGTGGTTGATGAGACGCATTTCTCGAAAAATGAAGTTCGATCAATATATCGGGCTTTCAAGGTAAATTTTTTGGTCAACGATTTAGTAAAATTTTATATTGGAACAAATGGTTGTGCTCGTAAAGCTTGACAGTTTCAGTGATTAAAGATAATGATTTTATGAGATCTTTTTTATCTCAAATATTATTACCAGCTGAATACAGGGTGACCAGAAAATACGGCGAATTTTTTCTCGACCTTTCGATATCAAGTTTTTCTTTGGTTTTTGTGATGTTTCTTTTCTATAATGCTTGTTTACGTTGTTCTGATTAATAATCTTTGAATTTTAGGGTCTTTCTACGCCATGAATTCAAAAGAAGATCGTGAGAAAGCGCGAATAACGATCGTCGAGTTGCACAAGAATGGCAAGAAGCCTCAAGAAATCATAAAAGCTACTGGATACAAGAAGGACATGGTCTACAAGGCTTTGAAACGTTACAAAGAGACCGGTGGAATTACAGATCGAAAGAGTAGAGGTCGTCCGGCAACAGTAACTACGCCACAAAACTTTAACAAGCTGCGATGCCGGATTCGGCGCAATCCCGAAAAATCGATGCGAGACATGGCAAAAAAGTTGAATCTTGGTCGGGAAAGTGTTCGATTGATGATCTGCAAGAAGCTTAAACTTGTTCCATACAAAATTGCCCGGGCACACTTCTTGGACGATCCTATGAAAGCAAAGAGACTACAGCGAGCGCGATTGATGAAGAGACTGGTCGCTGGACAGAATCTTGATAAGGTCTTATTCACAGATGAGAAAATTTTTACCATCGAGCCAAAGCACAACTTTCAAAATCATCGCCAGCTGTTGAAGAAAGGTCTTAAGAACACTTTTGCAGCAAAAATTATGGTGAGGCGTCATTTTCCAGCTTCTGTCATGGTATGGGCCGGGGTGTGTCAAGCGGAAAGACACCTCTTGTCTTCATCGATCGCAACGTCAAAATCAACGCTTCCGTGTATCAACAAAAGGTTCTAAAGGATGTCTTAGTTCCCTGGGTTGCAAAACACTTTGGCCAAAGCGGTTTTGTTCTACAACAAGACTGGGCTCCAGCCCATGGCGCTACTTCCACTCGACAGCTCTGTCAGCAGCTCTTTCCTGGATTTTGGGACAAGGATGTGTGGCCGGGAAACGCACCAGATTTGAACCCATTGGACTTTTCTGTGTGGTCAATTCTTGAAGAAAGGCTTCGCAAGTATCGATACACCACGGTTGCCGGTTTGAAAACGGCCTTGACTCGCGCTTGGAGCGAAATTACAACGCAAGAATGCGCGACCGTCATTCAGAACTTTCCGAAGCGGCTTAGCAAATGTGTTGAGGCTAAAGTTGGAAATTTTGAACATTTAATGTAGGAATTTTTGATAGAAAAGTTATTGTTGAGCTTGAAGTTGTTAATTCTTGTTAAACTTTCGAGATAAATCTTTTTAAAAAGTGCTGAGGGCTAAATTTGACGATGCGCAAAAAATTCGCCGTATTTTCTGGTCACCCTGTATTTTATCATTTCTAGTCTAGTCATTCTAGTCAGTCCAGTCAGTCTAGTCAGTCTAGTCCGTCTAGTCAGTCTAGTCAGTCTAGTCAGTCTAGTCAGTCCAGTCATTCTAGTCAGTCCAGTCATTCTAGTCAGTCCAGTCATTCTAGTCAGTCCAGTCAGTCTAGTCATTCTAGTCAGTCTAGTCAGACTTTACAATGTCTTTCAAATGAAATCTCGACCATTTTAGCATCTAATTTGTTATTTATTAACCCTATACGAGTTAAGACTGAAAGATCAAGATGTTATTTATTTAAGTAAATAAGCTGTTAAATCAGCTTAGTAAAGTTTAAAACCAAAATTGAAACATTCAGGAAACCTCGCCAAACGCCGTAATCAATCGAGAGATTCTTCGCGAGAAATTCGCTGAGCTTTTCCCACAAGGAGATATTGAACATTATGCTGATCTTCTTTTTGATACATTTGATGATGATGGAAGTGGAATCATTAATTTTCAAGTTTCAAACAGCTAGATTCCAAGTAAAACAATCATTTTCAGGAATTTGTTAGAGCTCTTTCTGTTCTTTGTCGAGGAACGATCGACGAGAAGTTGAATTGGCTGTATAAAGTGAGAGTTTGGGGGATATTTTTGAGTAAAATTGATTGATTACAATCCTTTTTTAGGTTTATGATCCAAAAGACAAAGGAGAGATCACATGGCATCGATTATTTTATGTAATTACGGCTACGGATGATTTGATAGGTTGAAAAAAATCATCTTTTCTCACTAATCTCTTACGAAACTTGCTTGCTTTTGCATGAGTATTTACTTTGATTACCGTTTTCTCTCTAATAGTAGTGTCGAGTTGTTGTGAGCCGATTTGATGACTATTTTACGGTTTCTAAGTTTTCCCAGAAGTTCAACACTCAAATCCCCCACAAAATCTCATCTTCAGCTACATTTCCTCATCCCACATCGACAGGTTCTGATAAGCGGTTCTCGAGATTTCGAGGAATTTAGGCAACGCTCATGATGCACCACTATTAGAGAGAATACGGGATTCGGCGATCACTGGATTCAGCTAAAACTATTGTAATCTAGAAATTAAATGCCTGAGAAAGTGGTATCACCTCACAGATGTTACCGTAATCTGCCAAAGCTGCTTGCTCTATTCTCTTTCTCTCTAATAGTAGTGCTGAGCCAAGTTGATGACTATTTTACAGTTTCCAAGTTTTCCCAGAAGCTCAACACTGAAATCCCCCCCAAGATCTCATCGTCAGCTACATTCTCTGACCCCACATCGATAGGTTCTGATAAGCGCTTTTCGAGATTTCGAGGAATTTAGGCAAAACTCAGGGTGCACTATTATTAGAGAGAATACGGTAAATGTTATGCGAATTTCTTGATTTTTAGGTGTTTATTGTTTTTCTATCTTTTGATTATTTTGATCATTAGCATTCTAAATTGATATAGAAACGGTTATCGGCGATTTGATACCCGCCCCACCCCTTTTCCCATTAACAATCTAACTTTGAGCTTAAATTTCTCGGTGTTGTTAATCTGCCAAAGCTGCTTGCTCCTAGTTTCAATTTTTCAGAATTTTATTAGAAAATTGAAATATTTTTAGGTCGAAAAGCCCGTCCAACAACAACGAGAGAACAACGCGCTGAGCGAGCGAATCAGATTTTTGAGGCAAGTCAAGCAAGATTTAACTCAACTCAGGAACTGATTAATATTCAAAAAAGTAACAATCTTTTCAGAAATTTGACCTCGGTAAAAAGGGTCGAATCACGAAAGCGGATTTCTTCCTCGTTTGTAAAAAAGATCCCCAAATTCACGAATCGATCTCAGCTTTGTACACAATTTTACCCGGGTAATTGTATGAATTGTATTTGTGGATAAATAAATCTTTAACACATCAATGAAATTGATTTCTTTTTAAGTTGTTGAATTGAAAAGCTTTTTGATCCATTTGATCACAAAATTTCGATAGATTTTTTTCAGGCAAAAATCACAATAAAACTCGTGAGGAAAGAGTGAAGATTGATAAAGAAAAGTCACCATTTTAGCAACTAGAATTCAATGTGTTTTACTTAGAAAAACTGAAGATCTGAAGTCAGCATAGACCTAGCCTCTCCACAAAAAGTACATACCGTAAATCTTTGGTCTTTTTTCTCCATTTCTCTGCAATAGAAAGCGTTTCCAAAGAAAGAAAGAAAGAAAGAAATTCTGGCGCTTTTAATTCATTGCAGAGAGAAATTGAATGCATTCGAAAAGAGTTTGTATCCGAATTCTTACCGTAAATACTGTAATAGTACTCCACTCCCATAATGACGGTGCGAAGCGTTGCGTAGTCTAGCTTTGGACGCGTTTTTCTCGACACTGGTTTATGCTACAATGCGCGCTTAGGTATCAAAAAATAGCTGAAATTCAGGGCTATTTTTTGATACCAAAGACGGTTTTTTGATGCCAAAGATAAGGACGGTACGGAGGGTTGCGTAGTCGAGCTTTGAACGAGTGTTTCTCGACACTGGTTTATGCTATTAGGTTGATGCAAAAGTCTTTTTCATTTTTTTCGTACTTCCGTTAAAAAGTAACAAATGCACGAATTGAACAACGGTTTATTGCATTCGAAAGGCCAATTATTTTTCTGCAAAATGACATTAAAACGAGTTTAAAATGTCTTATGTCTAGATTTTTTTGAGAGCCTGAAGTCGGGTAGTCAAAAAAGGCGACGGCTCGATGATGCATTTTAGACGCTTTAGCTAAGGAAACCAATCTTGATGTTAATAAATAAAAGATAGAGCACAAAAAGTTAAATATTTTTTCAGATTTTCAGAGAAATTCATTCAGCCAATTTCTTTATAGAGGTTTTTATAGATTTTTATGAAAAACCCGTTTTCACTCTCGAATTTGCTTGAAAGTGAACCCAAATTGACTTAAAAAGATGGGAAATTCAACAATAAACACTTTTCATTTAGAGCAAACCATAGGTTAATTGATGACTTTGTTATTTTTCAAAAGAAGTACGAAAAAAATGAAAAAGACTTTTGCATCAACCTAATACAATGCTCGCTTAGGTATCAAAAAATAGCTGAAATTCAGGGCTATTTTTTGATACCAAAGACGCATTTTTTGAAAGTACGGGCGCTTTGAAAAAAAATGAAATACTAAAAAACTTTTGCGACTACGCGACTTTACGAGGGCGGTGGGGTACTATCACAGTATTTACGGTATTTTAGTAAATACTCAATGCAAAGAAGATGACATCAAAAAATGATTTTTTTTTTGTTGAAATACAGCTTCTCTGTACAGTTTTTGGTTAAAAATAGAGATTATACAGCGTATTCCTCCATTTATGCTAACTGCAGGCGTTGGCTGTTTAAACATTTCGGCGCTTTATAAAATCTACTGTCACCATTCATTGTCAAAACGGTCGATTTGCTGTTTGAGGGTCTTTCTGCTATATTGTTTCTGCTCTGTCTTCCTCTGTCTTTCTGCTCTGTTTTCTTTTTCTTTATAGACACAAAAATTTATTCATAAAAGCGACAAAGAAAAAGATAAGATTTTTATATTAAATGATTTTCAATTGTTTTTTTCATTCAAAATGACTACCAGCGAATGGGGGATCAATTTTTGACACATTTTTCTTCGGAACTAACTACAAAATTCACTGTTTAAACATTTCTGTTTCAATTTTCAAATAAATCAATTAAGGAAATCCTGAATATAAACTCAATTTTTTTTTGGGGGGAATACACGTATGAAAATTATACTACTTAGGAGTTCAGAAGTAAACAAAAGCAGACAACAAAAGCAAACAAACAAACAAAAATTGATCAGTTTGATAAATGAACCGAAGCGGATCAATGAAAAAGTGCAAAATAGAGATAAAAGAGTACAATTTTTTTGAGTTTTTAGAGGAAATCTTGCAAAGCTAGTTGATGAGTTTTCAAAAGAAAACCCATCCAGGGCAGTTCTACAGCCGGTTTCAACAAAAATAGAGCAAAAAAAAACCAATAAATTAATGGGCATTGCACAATAAAACAGCAAAAATATCGACAAGGGAACAGCTGCCTCGTGGCCGAGTGGTTAGTAAGTTATCCCGCCGGCCAAACGGGTCTGGTTCGATCCCGGCCACTGGACAAAAGTTTTTCCTTTTTACATAAAATCCCGACCTGATCAAAACACGCATTACGCTAGAGATTATTTACACAAATTCAACAAATTTCAAATGCAACTTTCAACCCCAAATGCTATCTACAAGGAGTTTAGTGTCCAAGTAATGGGAAATTTGTGATTTTTTCACTTGACACAAAGAAAAGCGTAAACCACAATAGTGACCCATATTTCAAAAAAGCCTGATTAAAGATTTAAAAAAGAAAAAAGAAAAAAAACCACAAAGCGATGAAAGAAAAGGCGTTGAAAACTGACTAGAGAAGTCAGAAATAGATAAAGGAAAAGCTCAAAAAGTTAATCCATGAGTTTTTTTTTGATGTAAGAAAGGGGGGCACTAAAGGGCTTGAGTCACTCCTTGACAAATGAAGAGATTGCATGATTATTTTGTGGTGATTTTGAAGTTCCACATTTACGATAGAAAACGAGGTTGAATTCATCGAAAACTCCTTGCGAATAGCAGGCTTCAGTCGTGTAACCGACACGGAAACGATAAGCTGATTGCATAAAAGAACCAGCAGAGATCTCGAAGACATTCTCGGAGATCTGAAATTCGTTTGATTGGTTTGATTGGTTAGATCTAGATTATTTACAGCTACAGTTTAGAGCAAGAGCAGCAAGAGCAGCAAGAGCAAGCAAGAGCAAAAAATCCTGCTAACCTGTGTGGCGTAGGGTGTTGATGTTTGATGTGATGCGACACTTTCATCCTTTTGTGTTTGGCATGATTTCGTCAGGAACAACGACAAATAGCCACAATTGTTCACGATCTTTCCACGAGGAACACTAAAAGGATTCTTATAGATTCTGAAACCAGCTAAAGCGAAAAAACTCAGCTAAAAAACTCACTTGATTCTGATATGAAGTGGAATCGTCGGCATATAAGATGAGATCGGAATATAGTAGTTGAATCTTCCTCTCTGCTTATTGCAACTAATACAATAGTTGTCTCCAAGTGTTACATTCATATTAAGAATCTCAATCGAGACTTTCTCCGAATTAAATCCATTTGATGGAACGGATCGCTTGTCAAAGACCTGTAGATGAATCAGTGAAGTTCTAAAAAGAGTTTATTATACCTGTTGATGTGTGGCTAAAGCAACATTTCCATCAGAGTCATCAAATTTCAATTCATCAGCTTTATTCTTGTATGGATCGATGCAGCAATAGCGTTGGCATTCGGATTGGCGGCAGACACCCATCAATGGATCGACTCCTGGTTGACTGCCTGGCACCTAGAAAGGGATTTGTTTCACTTTCATTATAAAAGAAAGAAAGATTTCCACTTACCCAAGCTGTTTCAATCATGAATCCAAGATCTTCATTGTTTTCGGTTTTCGGTTTTGGATGAGAGGCTAATTCATAGACAGAGAAAGCGTTATTGTTTCTGTTGTGCCAATCAAGAATATAAAGAGCGGACATTGCGAGGAGACAAGCAGCCATGATAACGACAAGGGCAACAATGGTACCCTGAAAATGACTTTTGTAAATGGATTGGGAAAATCTATTGGCTAGATATTATTACAAATCATTTCTAAATCAGTTACCTGTGTAAATTTCGAGTTGCACAACGGCTCATTCCTGTGACACGATGGATTGTGACATTGCTTTTTCGGTCTCCTTTTCTCTTTTGGATCATAAAGTGATGGTTGTGAGATCGAGATGTAACTCTTCGAATCTCCAAATCCTGAGGTTGTCTCCGATAACCCGGAAGCAAGCGATCCAATCAACTCTTTCTTTCTCATCAAGAACTTGATTCTCTTCTGCAATTCGTCCACATTGTCAACGATTTTCTTGTCCAATTCTTGAGTGAGATTCCATAGTTCTTGAGTGACAACCATATTATCAAAGAAGAGACGATTCTCATCAATTGTTAGGAATTCTCCGTTTGTTGCAACGGCTTCAGGGTAGACCTCGCGAAGTTGTTGAGCAATCACACCGGCACGAGTCTGGAAATTCAAGAGTTTATAGTCTAGGAGGAGATTTGTAGACTTAAAATCAGAATAGAAAACTTGCAAAGTTGTAAACAAAGAATAAGTTTAAGTTCGCAAGCTCAAGAGCTCAAAGCTCAGCTCAGCTCAGCAGCTCAAAGCTTGCAAAAGTGATTCCCAACTGACCTTGCTTCTTTCATCCAAATTCCACGCTTCAGCAATCTCGGGTTTATAATCATAGACAACGAGATCATATTGTTTCATTCGCTCAATCGCTTGCGCTTTATCAATCGTGTGAATATTGCATTTGAGTCGTTCATCAGATGGACGAGAATAGGAGCCTGTGATGCAAACATCACCAGCCACAGAAAACGCGGCGTTCTAGAATATTGTTAATACTTTTACTAATAGAAAAAAAACTTTAAAAGTTGTATACTTTGAATTATAGTCCTTATCTATACTCTTTTTTCTACCTTTTCCACTTGTTTATCCGATCCAACATGCATTTTCCCAGGCCATATCATCAAATCACCGGTTTTCGCGAAGTTCAAGTCGACATCCGGTTGCTCGAATTGCCCGGGATTTGTTGCCTAAAATTCAGATATTTATTTGATTTTTATTTTATCTTATTGTTATTTTATGTTCTTTCACAATTCAGACAGAAAAAAACTAGGGTACTTAGAAATTCCCTGAGATCTTTGGATGCCTGGCAACCCTAAAAACCTTTCTCATCTCTAAGAAAATTCGAAAACACTCAAAAAACAATTTCAAAAATCTTTATATTCCTAATGACAGCCGAACCAGCAAATTCGAATACAAATGTTCCACCAAAAACTTTTGCTAAAGTTGTGGAATTAGAGACGAAAGAGTTGTACTATTCGGATAAAGATGAGCGATTGGTGGCAAAAGTCGTCATCGATAACAACAGTGATTTAAAGCATTCCTGTCAGGTGGAATTAGGAATTTCATATTTTCTGATTTTCAAAAGTTTCAGATCGTATTTCGGGGATATGTTCGACGGCAGAATGATTTGGTTTACGAGTTTTTACACGAGCAAGCTTGGGTGGTGGCCGGGCAAGGAGAGACGAGTCATACGTAAGGAAATTGTTCAAAAAAAAGCTCTCAAATCTCTCTCTAGTAAAGCTAAATAGTTATTAGTATAATAAATCTTATCTCTAAAAGAATTTTCTAGAGTTGAAGTCGAGGCTTGGCTCAATCGTTTCCCGCCGTCAATGGAAGTGATGAGAGGGACTTTTATCGAGTACAGGTACTACTAAATTATCTAGCCCACTATCGGCTAAGTCGCGATGGCCAACTGGCTACGCACCCTGTATCCTACTCGGGGGATCAAAGGTTCAATCCCACTTGCTAGATTTTTCGCTTTTTCCCTACATTTTACCACAATAAATGTGCATATTTTTATTTTAGATAACTAAAAGTCTTTAAAAATTATATTCCTAGTGTTCGAGCCTCTATCGATCCATGGTTTCTAAATCATCATGTAGAGAAAATTTTCTTTGTGAGAAGAACGCTGAAGCTGAAGATGCCTCATATAGCCGCATTTGAGACAAAACAAGTGGTGAATGAGTGTGTTGGTGAGAGAATTTGAAAATATTTGTGACAATTCTTTTAACCAGGACATGGTGGACTCTTTCATAAGAATTGCACGGCTTTGAATGGATATATTCAATTGGAGAAGGGAGCTTATACATGGGATGATGAGATCGAGTTCAAGTGGGGTTTAAGAACTGGCCAAGTCAGAGGCTAGTCTCGCAAACTTTGTGCTCATGGACACACATACTTTCTAGTGCACAGAATACTTGACTTTCCTTGAAAGAACGGTATGATTTCATGAGCTCAGTGCGCCAGAGATTTTTGAGTCCAAAGCACATAGTACAATGACTTTAAAGTAATTTCAATTTATCCAATATCTAGATGGGATCTCGATTGCACTCAAAAGCTGCAACAAGCGCGTGTCACTTTGCTTAAAACGATGGAATTTCGAAGCGCTGATCCTGGTCATCATATGGCGATTGAAACAATTCGACAAGAACTTGTCACCGAACAGAAACAGATTGGGAACGGAAAAGGGCATATAAGGTTAAAAGTGCCGAAAAATCTGCATACATCAATAGAAATGAGTCTCTGGAATGTGTTAGCTATCAAGTATTTCGTTCTTCTTCAAATCAAGGCTCAATCAGCGAGTAAATGGGTGGATATCTATCATCCAATGATTCTCAATAGTGAGCATATAAGTGTGAGTGTTTTGAATTCAAAATTTGGATTAAGAAAAGTTCAGCATCATGAAGGTGAGCCAGATAAAAGAGATCGTTTGCACAAAAGGGCGGTTGATGAGAATGATGATAGTGAAGATGATGATGATTGTGATTCGGAGATCGATGATTTGGATGAAGTCACAAAACAGAGGTAAAGAATAATCAGAATTGAACTTTGTTTCCTATTTCTTCTTTGGGGAAGCAGGCTCAATGGTAGAGCCTCTGGCTAGTAGGGAGTAGGTCTGGACCTCACCTTGGGTTCAATTCCCCTTGCATCCACTTTTGCCATTCATTTCTTAAAATCAAATCTAGAGACTTGGATGCCCGTTCACGTGGTCTTTACTCAATCGATATTGATGGTTTGAGAATCGTTTCCGATGATGGATTACATAATGCTTTCTGTGAAGTAGCTTTTGTCGTCAATTCAAGAGATCCAAGACCATTGCGGTCATTGAGGTTTCAATATTTACATTCTACAAAACTAGAACTTGCCCAGTTTTGTGCTAGTTTTATTCTATAGATATCTATAAAGCTGTACTGTATATTTCCCGTAATCCCAAGTCCTAGATTGATGATGATCGGTGAGGTTCGAGCGGGCCCTAGTTGGTATGAGTTTATTCGATATAAATCGATTGTCACAACCGATCCGAGAACCCTTTTTTCACCTGGAGAACATCGAGTGAAAGTTTGTTTTGATAAAGCTTTAAATTTTATTGATACAACGACTTTAGATTGGTCTCCCCTTTCTCGACAATCAATACGATACTCATATCTTACCGCCATCTTTAGGTGAAGATATCAAATATACGGTAAAAGTGACAACAAGCTCTTGGAAAATCAATCAAGTAAGGTGAATTAATATTTTTACATTAGATTCGCTTAGCTCGAGGGAGAACGAGATTTTCAAGTGACTCGTTGGGTGGACACTTGGGCAAGAGAGGAGTTCACTGCGGGTTTTCATGAGAAACTTGGAAAGTTGGTTTGAATAATGGATTTCAAAATTATCTATAAATTAAGATTTGGTATGACAATGACTCAACGTAATTTCCAAAAAGGGAAATGGATTTTCGCGACAGTTTACGGACCAGCGAAGAGAGTTCGAATGTCATTGATTCAACAAAGGAGATTGAGACAACCTGGGTTGAAAAGTGTAAGAATAGCTGTTAAACTGGAAAAGGATATTAGAATTATATAATAAATCATCTTTAGGATGGCAGTTATTGCACAGAAAGGCTAGTGACATCGGTGGAAAGTCCGGAGAATAAGGATTTATGGCCGGAGGTGGGCTTACAATAGGTTTTTGATATTCTAATCTAGATTGGTTTTGTTCTAGATTAGTATAGGTTTTGATATTCTAATCTAGAAATCTAGAAAAACAAAGATTTTCCATAAAAATCTATCTAGGAATGGGCATTACACATTCCTCCACATATCACTCCATCAATTGAGGTCAGCTACTGGAATGTGGTCGTGATTTCCTATGCTTTAGAGGTGAATTGAATGAGAAATCGATAAAATTAATTAGATGAGATGTATTTGAGTGATCGATCGCTCTATTTTTCTCAATATTTCTTTGGAAATCGCATTTTTGGCCTTTGCCATTGGAAATCTAACTTTAAGCTCAAATTTCTTGATGTTGAGCTGTGAAATTGAAATACTTTTTATACCAATCGATAGAGAAAGACTTGGCAAATCTAATGATATCAAGTAAATTGAAATTGAATAATCCAAGATGGAGATATTTGAGTTTAAAGTTAGATTGCTAATGGTAAAAAGGAGGGCTTATATTTACGCTGATAACGTGCTTTTTACGGTATTCTAGGTAATTTCCTATTCTGAAGTTGATGGTCATGAGCATCGTCATGTAATCCCGGTTTGGATTGGATGCACTGATGACAAATTGGGACCACCGAAAGAGCCAATGAAACGAGAAGGAGACCCGGGAATGGAATATGTCGATCCGATAGGTTAAATCTATTCAATTCAATGAATATTCTCCAAATTTTATCATTCTAGAAGAACTGCCTGAATTTGAAGTAGTAAAAGAGGGAGAAATCCATGATCATCCATTCTGGGTACAACGATTGAATGATGATACTTACAATGAGCTCCCTGTCAATTGGCAAGAATATTACAATTACCCGGAAAGGAAACTTGATTATGATGATTGAATAAATGTTAAGAACTAACCCTGACAATCACTTTCTCTGAGCAGAACATTTGGAAAACGATTTGCTCTCCTTGCTCAGTGACGGCAAAAAGTCGAACGATTAGAATGAAATAGCGTTGATCCGGGTTCGGTTTTCCGCTTTTTCGTTGATTCGACATTGTTGTCTCCGAAAAATGAAGACGTGGAACAGTCACTTTCGTTAATTGACGCTCTTTGAACTCGAATCTGTATAACGATATCGTTTTGATTAGCTTTACAAGAAAGAACTTACTGAACAGGTGTATGTGGCTGAGGTTTTCGATCGGTTTGTGATTGTTTAATCGCAATTTCGCTCGTTTGCAGTTCCCATTTCACCCCAGCGAATCCAATTCGAAACTCTTTGATCGGTTTGAGTTCACCGTTTACACGAACGAAACGAGCCGGTAGCGAGTCTTGAGCCTCGATGTTGACAGTGATCTGAAAAGTTTAAACTTAAGTAAGCCATGAGTTGTTGAATGTTCAAGTGTTTTTCAGGTAAACTGTGATAGGGTAAAACCTGACCTTAAAGTATACAATAAATCATTCAACCGACTCAATAAACGTACACGTAGTACACCGATCTAGTACATGGCTTAAAGGAAGTCAATCATTCAACTGATTCAGTAAATGGCTCAAAGTAGTACACTGATTCAGTACACGACTTAAATGAAGTCAATCGTTCAACTGATACAGTAAATGGCTCAAAGGAAGTCAATCATTCAACTGATTCAGTACACGGCTCAAAGTAGTACACTGATTCAGTGCACGGCTCAAAGGAAGTCAATCATTCAACTGATTCAGTAAATCCCAATCTAAAGCTCTAGCTCAGAAGCTGAATTCTTACAATTTCGTACTGTTATTATTCTAAAAACTCTCGATTTTCTGCCCGATCCCCGTAAATGGTTGTTGAGGTTGAGCGGTGTCTTTGGTCTTTTGCCCCTCAAGGCCTACACAACTCAGCTTTTTGCGGGGTTGGGGCGGTACTGAGCGGCACGCCCGACCCCCCTAGAAAAGAGAAAAGAGAAAAGAGAAAAGAGAGAAAAGACATGCAAGAACACTCTCGTCACTCTCGTTTTCCCATTTTCTCTCAAAATTCTCATTCTTTTCTCAAAAACCCCCGGGAAAACTGACCATCACAAACAAAAATTCTTGCGTGTACCGTTTCTCTGGGCATTTTTTGTGAAATCTTTTTTTTTCAAAAAGTGCAACTATGAAAGTACTAAGTAAAAGACAGGATTTTTGTGAAAAAAAGGGCAATTTCCTATTACCAAATTTCGTTTTTGCACTTTAAATCTTGAAAAAACTTGCCTGGAAATGATTTTTCTTTTGATTCACGAAACATGTGTCCATTCCAGAGAAATTGAATCCTTTATCAGCAACGACATGAGTCTAAAATGATAAAATGATAAAATGACAAAATTATACGAACCACAAGATGCGATAGTTGCTGATGATTGACGTCAAAGAGCGGTTGCCACATCTCAGGCTTGTACTCGTTGAATTGAATCATTCGCTGGAATAGAAAAGATTCTATATGTAATTAAAACTTATAAACATCTATATAATCTATAGCCAGCTTACCTCCGAAGTATGATACATATTCTCATCATATTCAGTGCCAACCGGACTTTGCAACATCGGCTGCATTCCGTTGTGAGTCATCACCGGCATTGGCATTCTTCTTCTAAATTTATAAGGTAAAAGATCCGATCTAAACTACAGTTTACTCACTTTTTTGAGTCCGGCGGGACACCAGCTGAGTTGATTGATCCATCAGAACCCGAATTATTCTGATACATCATCGATTCATCATAAAAATTCCCGTTCATTCGTTGATTGGTTGGCTGGGGAGAGACCTAAAATAGATATTTAATATAAAATCTAATACTAGAAATAAAAACAAACAAATGCAAACTCTCACTTGTGTCATACTAGCCGGGGTGGGTTGTTGCGGGTAGTTGATGTAGCTGTTCACTGATGGTGGGCTGGCTAACGGATGTGGATGAATGACACGACCAGTCATCTAGAAAAGAAAATCATATATTAGATAATAAATCTAAATATCTATAATGATGTAAATAAGCAACTTACGCCGGGGATTTGCTGTTGGAAAAGATCCGTGTGCGGATTGATGAGATTTTGTTGGAGTTCAGCGGCCGTCAAGATCAATCCGTTTCCATTATGACCAGGCATTACTAAAATTTTAAATAAAAGTTTAAACTCTACTCTTACATAAACATCAAATTTTCCCAATCAATTCCGATTTTTTTCAAGAATGGAGAAAAGAAAGCGGTACGCACAGGTACTAATGACAAGAATAGTTTAAAAAAAAAGTTGTAAAGTGAACTATTTCACAGTACAATGATGTAGAATTTATTTTTAAATGTTAAATTCAAATCTTTACCTCCATATTGATATTCTTGTGGACTGTAGGGACTGTCGGAGTTGCGGCTGTGCGGAGAAGCGGACGAGCCAGGCCCGGACACTTCGGTGATTGGTGGCGAATCGGGCAAACGGCCGGCTTGATACATTACTGGAAATTTGATTATAGATTTAGAAATAGATACATAAGATAATTATCTAAGTAATCCATTCAAAAGTTTACCGTTTCTCTGATTCCCATTCTGTTGTAAATGCTGTTGTTGATTCTGTTGGCGGGGATTTTGCGGTGAATCGACCGGGGTACTGAAAATATTCTTTAAAAACAAATAACAAAAATAACGAATTAAAATTCTTTGTCTAAACACCTGAGCAAATGAAGAAACTTTTTCTCGACTGACGTATACTTTGGTAGGAAAGGGTTATAAAAATTTGGATTTGAATAAGTGAATGATCGACTATTGATGGAGACGGGTTGCATGATGGTTGGCGAAAGTTTTCTATGAATGCATTGGTCACTTTGGTCAGTGATTCTGTTATCTATTGAAGCGGGAATCGGCCTCTCTCCAACTGGCACCGATGAGTCGAAACGATGAAGAGGAGAGGGAATAGAAACAACGCCAACAAGGGAGGTAAGTGGAGAGAGATTGGGAATCGAGGGAATTGGGAAACGAGACTGGGATTGGGACAGTGAATGAGGCTCACGGGTAGGCAGTGATTTCGAGAGCATTTCGTCGCAGAACAAAAGCCAGAATCTGTTGCAGTAGACCAATAAGTGGATGCTTCAAAGCAACTTTCCAGTGCTGACTTTCAAGAATTTCAACTTTCAAGCATGAAATCAAGCTTTGAACTTTTCACAAAGCTTTGAATCTTTGTTGTTTAATTGAGCTTGAATCGATTCAAATGGTAGAACTCGTCTTTGTCTTTGCTCTTTGCTCAAGAACGGGTAAAAAGGAAATCCAAATGATTGGAGAACGGGCCAAGTTCGGTTCAAATGGTAGAACTCGTCAAATCTTTGCTCAAGAACGGGTAAAGAGAAAATCCAAATGATTGGGGAACAGGGCCAAGTTCACTTTTTAAAAGACAAGTGGATTGGATTCAGAAAAATATTCTATGGCGAGGCTGAGACTGGGTTAAGAGGAAGGCAATTAGTCAAATCTTTGCCTCAGCCTCATCTAGTGACCTGAGATTAAATGAATGCTTTCCATTTTCCTTTTTCTTCTTGAAGGGTGTGTCGATTGGCATCCTAATCAGGCTCCTTTTTTCTTTTTTATGGAGTCAATTTTTTTCGCGGAGACACCCGGTATTAACCAGTACAAGGGAGAGCTTCGTTCTCGATTCCGATTCGATAGAAGAAGACGGGCAATGAAAAGGAGAAGAGGGAAAGGGCAAGTGTTCCACTCACTGAGCTCTCTCCATTTTGTTCTATATTGCAAGGGGCCAGGGCCAAGTCTACCCCTTTAGCTCCTTCTGTCCCCGGCGGGCCCCTCAAAGTACCCCCTGGCACGGAGCCCCTGTCTGCCTCAAAAAAGTGTGGTCAAAAAGAGGAAATCGGTGATAGTAAAAGGGGAATGTTTAAGAAGATATTTATCTTATTGAAAATTGAAAAGGGGGGTTTTTTTTAAAGTAAGCATTTATATTTGAGCGCCAAAATTTGATTGAATTCACTTTTGAATGAATCTTTGAAATTGTAAAGGCAAAAATCAAAAGTTTTTTTCGCGGGAAATGAAAGAAATGAAAAGAAAAAGGGCATCGCTAGCAAAAAAATTGTTATTCAAAGTGTTCTTTATGAAATTTTAAAAGATCGAGAAAGAGCTGTAGTGAAAATAGCAAATATTTTGCTATGAGGTTTGGTTGAGAGCTAAAGAATCGAGAATTTTTGAAATCTGTATGAGGCTCAGTCTGTACGCTATTAACTTTTTTTGATTTTTTTTATTACTTTCACATTTCTGTACTGTTTTCCATTGCAGGTTTCCTCTTGAATTCCCGTCTACCGTATTCTCATTGAATGAGTTCAACTCTTTAGAGCTATTTTCCGAGCGCTCTCGAAAAGCCTCAAAAAGGCATAGAAAGAAAGAAATGTGGACAGTAGAGAGTAAAGAAAAATGAGAGGGAATCGATTTATAGAATGGCACCGATATGAGAAGGGAAAGGGGAACTGACCATTGTTGAGAGGTCAAGGAGGGAAGAGAGATCAGAGAGAAGGGATGGATTGGGAAGATGAGTAGATCAGAGAGAAGGGATGGATTGGGAAGATGAGTAGATCAACACTGTGAGGTCCAGGAAGGGACAGTTGTTTAGAGAAAAATGGTGAGCGATGGATAGAGCTACAGATGAATACTAAAAGGTGGCAGCCGAGGGTTCGATTGACTCTGAGAAAAGAAAAAGATGAAGAGAAGAGATCGGCTAAAAGGATTAGAGAAAGGGAAAAGGATCAGGATCGACTCACAAAAAGATGAACAATAAGAAGTGGCTAGAGAAAGAGTGAGAATGGGAAGAGATGGGAAAGAATGGGAAGAGACGGGAAGAGATGGGAAAGAATGGGGACATCCCAAGGTCAGTCTTTAGTCAGTCTCTAGTCAGTTTGTGTACACAAAAAATGTCTGCGTTTGTCGGGTCACTTTTTACGGCTATAGATTGACTTTAAATCATCGTTTTTCCTGAAAAAGAACAAAAAGCTATGAAGTGCGGCTGTTGTACAGATGTGGAACGGTTTTTTTTGTTTATTTAAAAAGCAGTTAAAGAATTTGATTCAAGAAAGGGAAGGCAAAGAAAGTCTAGAAAAAGAAAAAGCTGGTAAAGGATTTAAAAAAAAAAGGCCAAACTAGTAAAAGAAAGGTTGAGGAAAATAAAGGAGGAATTTAGATTGAAATGAAGTTGAAAAAAGCAATGGTAAATTTAAATTTTTGAAATCTAATGTAAATTTTGATTTTTTCATAATAAAAACTTCAAATAGATGTATTTGGAAATAAAGGAAATATCAAATTGCTATCAAACAAACAGAATTCCTTTGAAAAAGTCTCAATATTTGAATCTGAAAAGATTAGAAAGCTTTGAATGTTGCAAATGAAAGCAATCGCAAAGAAAGCTATGAAGTTTGAAGTTTTTCTGGTTTTTTTTTGAATAATTCTGATAAGAGAAAGCAATGATATAGGTGAAAAATAGGTTTTTTCAATGAAGTTTTCAGCAAAAAAATTGCTGATTAAAGGAAACGATGAAAGGAAAAAGTGTAAATGTTTTGTGGAAGAAGGAAAGAAGGAAAGGTGTAGAAAAAGTGTAGAAGGAAAGGAAAGAGAAATCATGGAAATAAAGGAGATATCAGAAATATCAGAAATATCAGAAATATCAGTAATTTTATAAATTCTCCACACACAAAAAAAAAACTCACTCTCCTTCGGTGCCTTCTGTAAGAAATTGGAAAATGTTGAACGAAGCTCCCTCACAGTAATTCTCAAATGGATCGCCAAGGAAAGAATTCTCATCTGAAAAGTCATTCTTAAGATTTACATTTTCAATAACATCTTATAGCTTAAAGAGATAGCTTTAAACTATAGTTTTGTAGGTTAGGCCTGTAGGTTTGCTTATCGTAACTAAGATACAGCACTGGACAATGAAATATCATATTTGAAAAACGATCGTCACTTTCGCGCGTCTGTAACTCTCTTGTCTTTGAGTTTAAACTATTAGTGTTATACATTTTCTGAAAGCTCTTTTCAACGGCTACACAATGGTAATATTGGTATTTAGAAATACGGTAAAGACAAGGGAGTTTAATATAGCGTCTGAACAGCTTATTTTGCTAGTTATATGTTGTCTAATCGATCTAATTACTTCCATTCAAGCACAGGAAGTTAAAATTAAAGCATTGTAACTTTGGGTTTAAAATAATAGTGTAACCATTTCTGAAGCTCTTTTGAACGGCTAACAAGTAATATTAGCTGATTTACAAATACGTATAAGCTGGTTGAGTTACAGACGCGCGAAAGTGACGATCGATCTTTTTTCAATTATCATATTTCATTGTCCAGTAGTGCATAAATGGTAATCTCCATCTATAATATATGGCTCAATTTCTAGCTCATTCACCCACTTTTCTGAAAAGCTCTTTTCAAGGGCTACACAATGGTAATACTAATATTTAGAAATACGGCAAAGACAAGGGAGTTACAGACGCGCAAAAGTGACGATCGATCTTTTTTCAAATATCATATTTCATTGTCCAGTAGTGTAGCTTTAAACTATTCAAAAAACTGCTCAAAGTTTCATCACTCATCCATCAGTAAATCCATTTTATAACTCTTAAGTTCATTTTTTAAATGCTTAATTCAAGAAAAATCACTATCTAAGCAGAGTAAATGACAAGTATTATCATTAATCTTTTCATTTAAAAGTCTAAAATAATATTTAAACACGATAAAACCTTTAGCATTCGCTTAATATCAACTATTCTTAAATGAAAAAAAAAGTGATTTGATACAGATTATTAGTTTAAATCAATACTATGAATCGATGAATCAATAAAATAGCTTTATTACCTTTGACTTGAAGATCAAGCGGCAGGCGTTTTGCCATCGCGAATAGGGAAAAATCCCAAAAAATTCGAATATAAAAATTTTAGAAGAAAATAAGAAATGCTTGAGGGTATGCTTTTTGAAAGAAAAAGGGTCAAAGGGAGAAGGGAAAGGTTAGGAATATCGGTTAAAGAGAAGGGGCTAAGGGGACACACGTCCGATGTACGGGGAAGAGAGAGAGAGGAGTCGAGGGAGAGACACAGCACACCGAGAGAGGGGGTCCGTACCAGGCCGAGCCTCCCCCCACCCATTCCCTTCAATATCTTTGAATGTCTGTGTCTCTTTGGCACTCTCTACCACGTTTTAGGCCCTCGTCTGGCCACTTTCTATCTCTATTCCTCTCATTCCCGAGATCTGAAGTCTTCAAAAGGAAGCAACGGCCAAAAACGGGAAAATCAGAGGAAACTTGGGGAAATATTTGCTAAAGGAGGGATTTTAAGAGTGCTGATCATTAAGATTGAGGTAAAATTGAAGAAACAAGGTTTTCTAGGTTTTTGAGATCAATCTTTAGCTATTTAAGCTATAGTTCTTCACGTGAAAGGTTTCTAAACGAGGAATGGAAGAGGAAGGGGAAAGGAAGGGAAGAGAGAGAGGAAGGGGAAGAGGAAAAGGAGTTTATATTAGCAGGTAATGATAGTTTAGAACTTTCTTTAAAAGTAAGCAGTTAAGCAGTCATCTTTTTCCTGTTTTCCCTTAAAAATCAATGTAATATTGAGAATAGATGGTGAGGGCCAGATGTTTAAGTCCAAAAAAAAGGACTCTATACTGACTACTCTCATCATTCATTCTACTAGAAATTAAAGAATGGAAAAGAAATTTATTTCAAATGCATTCTTAAATCTAGATCTAAAAAGTGTTCGTAAATTTAGTTAAAGAGTATTTGAAGTTATTGAACAAGCAATATTGATTCTTTGTTGTACTTTGCATTGTAAAATGAATATTCTAGAACCAAATTTGATATTGTTATATACTTTTAAATGCTAAATATCTCCTCAAAACTCTCAGCTACAGTATTTTTCTCAAAAAAATGACATAAGATTTTGTTTTTCCTTTGCTACCAGTCTCTTTTTCCCAATTCCAATCCATTTCCCCCAAATCGAATGAGGTCAAGGTGAACGATTGGATGATTGAAAGGAAAAGAGACACTATGAAATGTTTTCCGGACAGAAAAATCGGCTTGCAAATCCACGTTCACACTAGGGTCATGAGAGGGAAAATATTTTAGAGATTTGAGGGAAATTGGGGAGAAGGGGACTAGGTCAATTGGTGGCTTTGGTTTCAGGAGATGTGAGATGGGCAATTGATATTTGGAAAGGAGAATCGAAAAGTATTAGGTAAGCTGGCTCATCAATGGTCAATAGTCACAGTTTCTTGCTTTGAAGATGTGTTAATGAAAGAATGCCTTTTACAATGCAAAGAATCAATGTTGCTTGTTCAATAACTTCAAATACTCTTTAACTAAACTTACGAACACTTTTTAGATCTATATTTAAGAAGCATTTAGCCTATTGGTAAGATTAAGTCGCCACTTTCGACCTTTGTTTTGATTATTTTTAAATTCAAGACCAAGAATTGTATGATGCCGTATTTAAAAACTAGATTACTTTAGTAGGATCGATTACAGCCGATTATTGATAACGATTACAGATCGATTATCGATTACGATTACAGTTGATTATCGATTACGATTACAGTCGATTATCGATTACGATTACAGATCGATTATCGATTACGATTAGAGTGGATTATCGATTACGATTACAGTCGATTATTGATTACGATTAGAGTCGATTATCGATTACGATTACAGTCGATTATCGATTACGATTACAGTCGATCATTGATTACGATTACAGATCGATTTAAAATCTAGCTTTAGTAGGATCGATTACATTATTGTAGTGAGAAATTTGACTCTTGTGAGAGTTTGAGTTTTAAGAATTGAAACTTGGTATTGTTTGGTATTGTTTAAGTTTACTTCTGGTTGATGAGTGACTAAACAAAGCAAATCTTAAACAGTTTTTTTACAGTTTTTAGTTTAGAATTGGATTTGTCGATTAGATTAGAGTAGATTTGAAATTCTCTGATACTCAATGATCGAAATTTCTTTCATATAAACAAACCGGGAAAATCGAAAGGCGGAAAATTGGTGTTTCTCGGTAACATTTTCACTTCTCTTCTCTTTTATCGCATTCCAATTGTAAGCAATTAAAATCTAAAAGATATAAAATTAAGAATAAAAAGAAATCAATTTAAATACTCGAAAAAAGAAAAGAAAAACGCTCAATTTTTATAACGATTTGAAATAAATTGAGATTAAAACTATATTATATAAAAGTTTAACAATCAAAATTACAAATTTTACAAGCATTTCTTGATTTTTGACTCTTTTTGATCGCTTTTTTTATGCAAAGTTTTTCAATAGGGGAAAGCAAAAAGATAAGAAATGGGGAAAAGAATTGACTGTGGTTGAAAAAAAAAGAGAAATATCAAAGGAATGATAAAGTCAAAGGTTTACTAATTAAAGACAAAAAAAACTGAAATAAATTGTTGAATAATATTATGTATGTTTACAGAAGATTCGAAAACAATATTACATACTTGAAGTTTTGTCTCTACGAACTTCTAGTCTCTACGAACTAGTCTCTACGAACTTCTAGTCTCTACGAACTAGTCTCTACGAACTAGTCTCTACGAACTAGTCTCTACGAACTAGTCTCTACGAACTTCTAGTCTCTACCAACTTCTAATCTCTACGAACTAGTCTCTACGAACTTCTAGTCTCTACGAACTTCTAGTCTCTACGAACTAGTCTCTACGAACTTCTAGTCTCTACGAACTAGTCTCTACCAACTTCTAGTCTCTACGAACTTTCTTGCCAACCTAATACAAAATCCAATGCTCTTATCAAAAAGAAAACTTGTTTTTTCGTTTATAATTTGACGAATTCAACTCAATTCAACACTTTTATAGTATACTTACCGTAAATACTGTAATGGTACCCCCACCCCCATAATAACGGTGCGAAACGTTGCGTAGTCTAGCTTTGGACGAGTGTTACTCGACACTGGTTTATGCTACAATGCGCGCTTAGATATCAAAAAAATAGCTCTGAATTTCAGCTTTTATTTAATACTTAAACGAACAGTGTAGCATAAACGGATGGCGAGAAAAATGCGTTTAAAGTTAGACTACGCGATGCTCCGACCGGCATTATCGGGTGGAGGGGCTACGATTAAAGGTATTACGATATGCTTTTCTTAGTTTAGCTTAACCTTTATCTACTATAATTCAATTTAGAACTCTAATTTAAACATATCGTAAATACTGTAATAGTATCCCACCCCCATAATGACGGTGCGGAGTGTTGCGTAGTCTAGCTTTGAACGAGTTTTTCTCGACACTGGTTTATACTACAATGTGCGCTTAGGTCTCAAAAAATAGCCCTGAATTTCAGCTATTTTTTGATACCAAAAACGCATTTGTTGAAAGTACGGGCGCTTTGAAAAAAATGAAATACTAAAAAACTTTTGCGACTACGCGACTGTACGAGGGAGAGTGGGGTACTATTACAGTATTTACGGTTGGTAGATGTTTTTTTTCACTTAATATCAATATTTACAATCAAAATACGAAAGCAAGATAAATCAAAGTGTAATTGCATTGTGAGAGAAATGAAATGTTAATTTTAGAAGAATTGAAACTTTATTTGTACCATTCAACTCAGCAAAAACTAGAAATAATAAGAAATAAATCAATAAGTCCAATCTAGAAACGATCAAAGCAAGACATGTGAAAGGAAAGAGATGAGGACTGGCAGGGTGCCCTTCCATTCCCCTTTTTTTTTTTCTTCCTTTCCTCCACCCCGCGCAAACGAGTGTGATGAAAAAACGTCTCTTTTCCTCTAAAATGTCCACAAAAGAGAAGGAAATAGAAGAAAAATTTGAGAGATTCTCGGCACAAATGTTCACAATTGCGAAACAGAAATGCTCACACAAAAGAACTTTCGAAAAAACTAGCGAAGAGACGGCAAAAATTTTAGAGAAAATAGTCATACGAAAAAGGATTTCAGAGGTGAGAATAGGATGAAATGACCTCGGAATTTGAAAGGATTGAAAAAAGAACAAGTGCTGAAGTGAATTTCATTTTGAACGAATTGATAATATTAGAGTGGTGCAAAAGAAACTTCCGATGGCTATCAGCTCTCATTTATCAGAAACGAGCGATGCTAACGGCATTATTTTTTCGGTGGAAAACATATATTTTTTATTTCTACCTAGTGGAGGCTAGTTTTTGAGAAAAACGCGTGCAAATTTTCATCAATTTCGACAAACAACTCGTCTATACTCGGAGCCAAGAAGAAGAAGAAGGAGGAGCGGCGGTAGTCTAGAGGATAGTGCCCTAGTCTGCGAAACTATGCCACCTTTGCTCGCGGTTTCAATTCCACTTCCAGCCAAACTTTTTGCTTTTTTTTGTGAAACTTTTGGAAACCATTATTTGAGGTTTCAAGAGTGTCTTAACAAATGCATTTGACCTATAATATTATGGTGATGCAAAAGAAACTTCCGATGGGTATCAGATCTTATTTATCAGAAACGAGCGAGCGGCATTATTTTTTTGTTTTGTTCGCATATTTGTTTGCTATTTATTTCGACATTGGAATTTTTTGGTTATTGTTTATTTTATTTAAAAATGCTTATATTTTTTATTTAGATCATGGTCGAGCAAACGTTTGTGCTACGAGCAGCATTACTGTTTAACTTCAAAATTAGAAAGTCTGCTGCCGAATCGCATCGTTCTCTCTGTGCTGCTTTCGGAGATGGCAATTTGTCTCTCAGGCAGTGTCAGACTTGGTTTCAAACGATTCCGAGAGGGAGACGAGACTTTGGAAGATTACGAGCACGGTTCGAGGCCAGAAGTCGTGAACGAAGCCAAGCTGAGGGACGTTATTCATCCCTCAGCTTGGCCGATCCATGTCAATCTGCTTGAGATCTCGCGAAA